AAAATCGTCGATCAACAATTTCTGAAGAGTGGAATATTTTCCGGAATTCCTACCTTGCAATCAGTACAATACCTGAAGCAGTTAAGGAGATCCATCTTCTCGGAAGTGACTTGTGACGAACACGCAGTAGCTTTGTCACAGGAGGAACCTTGACGTGCAGACGTTGGGAAGGGATTTATATTTGGACCCACGCGGCGGCACGGTTTTCCATGGCGAAAGAAGTAAGTCAATCCGTTGATGGAGGTAGTGTACCATGGAATGCTTCCTTTGGGACGCTATCTTCTTTGTCCGCAAATGTTATTCACCCGTTCCGGCAGCATACGAGTTGCTCCATATCAAAAATACTTTAGCGCAGTTTAAGGACTTGATAGACTTCGAAATCCCGAATTCAAGTCGGTGTGATGGAAATGGCGCGAGCTCTCCAACCCAATTTTGAGATGGGGGGCCCTCTCCAAGAGATGTACAGTATGACATATGGTGCGTTGAAACGCTATCCAGACTTTTAAGAGGGTTGTTCGCGTTCCTGGCGCGTCTTACATGCGCGTATGCGCAGAATCTTACAAACAAGGATATGAGGATGTCAGACGGGAAGGATTCCCGTTCTGAGATACGGCCAATCTGAAGCCTGGCGTGCCTGGCCAGATATGAGATTCTCATCGTTAGCTTGCCATTGTGCTGTGCAAAGTAAGCTTGTTTACTCTTCTTCTCTAGGAACAAAACCCTGAGAGACGAACTCGACCCTCTGGCTGAGATCTTGTTGGTAATCCTAAGTATATTTAGCCGTTGCTGCCGGAAGTCTATTAGACGGGGTACCGTAACAACTGCCGTTGTGTGAAGTAGGTGCCGATTCGAAGATGTTGTAGAGTGTCAGCCATGCTTACTGCATAAGAGAGAAATTTTATATGATGCAAGCAGAACTGTGCACCGTGAGCTCATTCTACGAGTATGATCGAAAATGCGGGCTCTTGCGCTCTCCTCTGCACCGAATCTCTTTGCAACACAGCCGTTGTTCGGCAGCAAGCAAGCCGACGCGCTGAAGAACTCTCTCGAGTCTGAATTGGGCTACCGTTGGGTATCATTCCGAAAAGAAGCTAGAAGTTGGACATCGGGGTCAAAGGACAAGGCGACCCAGCTCCACGTATAGGCGAAGTGATGAACTCCTAATCCGGTAAACAGATGTGTGATTTTCTCGGAGTCAACAACGTTTTCAGAGATCGACGTTACCTAAAACTCCTTGTCCTGGAAATATTGTCAAGACCATTTAGCAATACGACATCACCAGGGTGTCTGTGGCCTTAGTCTGAGCGGGGATCGGGGATCGAAGAAGGCCAGGGAAGAAGGCTCGCTACCAAAGATATGAAATTTGAACTTTGGTCAGAGGTTCATTAGGATTTATGCAAAAGCCTAGCCATAAGCTCAGTATGTTATGACTTTCAGATATCGTTGTTGCGAATCCCGTTATTATTGAACAGGTCATGTTTTTTATAGTTCGAGAAGAGGGGCAGTACTTTGTAACACTAGTGGCTGTGGAGGGGCAGTCGGGGCGGTTTCAGAAAATTGTCGTACCACCTTGGGGGTCACTACTGTACTTCGTACAGTACAGTACTTGTTAGAACCTTGGCCGTTCAGCGGCACAAAAATACGTTCCTATCAATAATACAGTGGTCAGAAAGCTTTGGTCTACGAAGGTATTATTGATCTGTTGTGTATACTTTATGTATAAGTGAATATGCTGTAAGTCAAGTAAAGCGCATTGCTGAAAACCAAATAATAGTCCTTGGAATTCTCTACCACACGATACATCTTTGTAACTCAAGCTGGCACATGTTCTTTTATATTGGTGTTGGCAACCGGGTCGACCTGAAGCCGGAAGTACTTTGAATGTACACTATGCTATAACTGAGAATGGCAAAAGGGCTTGAAACATTTTCAACTGACTTGGTAATGATTGAGTGACTTGGGGGTGAAACATTCATCGTCCAGCTGTACAAGTTCCTTGAAAGATCCCAGTGACGTATTTTTTGACTTTTGGCGTCTGCAGATTCCATGTTTCGTACTTCTCGTCCCGGAAGATTTCATCTAGGAAAGCATTCCTTCGACATTACACGTGGTTGTCACGATAAACTTCGGCTATCTGAGTCTGTGTAGCATATGGTGTGCAGAAGGAATGGCACAGACGGCAGGAAGCCTGCCAAAGATTGGCGACGAACTTCGCCATAAAGCCCCCAAGTAGGTAGAAGTTCAGCCTGAAAACCTCAATTGTATTCTTTTGGGCATTCGCTGACCTATTTGGAGCGCAACTCTGGATCCTGGGGATGATTAAGATTGATTACTTGGAGCATTGGATTGAGAGGATCGCGAGCGATCAAACTTGACTGCTCTTTCAGCGCATGACCAACATTGCGGCCTGCTCATTGACCGGATTGTGAAGCGTGATATCCAATACCTGGTGTTATCACTCAACAATTGTGTATCGGATTTTGATAGGCTTCTTGTGTACCGTCGGCAGCCAACGAGGGGTCGTGACCCTATTTTCGCCTGCCGGATTATCGATTCTGAGGCAACGCCACTCGTAAGGAACATCACGAATTATCTTGAAGAAATACAGGAAGAAGGATTTTCTAGGAGAAAATCTCATCATGCCGGCAAGTACGGTTCACAATGAGCAAGGTGCTGAATGATCTTGAATGGACGTGCTTCAACGGCCTTTTTTTCGAGGTGACACCTCGACATAGCTGGGCTGGCTGATACAACCGATTTGTAACTCAGATATTGGTTGCGAATTTGTACAGGGTTTCACAGTTACAACATTATTTTCAGTGACCTATGAAAATTGGATAACTCCTTTACATGAAAGCTCATGATGGCAAGTGTAAATGCATTTATGGAGTCGTCAAGAGAAGTTGGCTTTTCCAGACGAGGATCCACCTAAATCAGCCTCTAGGAATGATATCCTCCGTAGCTGCTTATCAAGTTTTATCTGATCGCGACTAAAATGCCTCCGCTAGAAATGACACACCTAGTGACGAACCAATCAGTCTGTCATTCTTTGTTTTCAAATTCATTGAATTGTGGTTGGGTCGTCGCGGTTAGCCCTAGACTGCCATGCGCGTAACATCTTGACCCCATTCGATGAAGCTGTTGGACGGATTGACCAACCACTGTTAACGCTCCCGCTTTTCTGTCTGCAATTGTTATTTCACTCCCAATTTTATGGCTCAGATATGAATTATGAAGTGAAGCATGTTTCGCTTCAAGACGGTGTAAAGTGTAGGAAGTGAGGATGGTTAACATGTTGGATATGGAAAGCTGAATTATGACTGTGTGGCTTCCTTCCACGACCTAAATTTCAGCATGGGATTTGCAATTAGGTTCAGGAGTTCGATAGCAAGATAATCCTGTGTGGGCCAACCGAAAAGTGCTAGATGGTTTTCGGAACTCGGGTCCTTTACAGTACGATATACGAAGGAGTGGACAGAGGTATATCTGGTGCAAACCCAATCATTAGTATACTGCAAAGCTCGCCGGAAAGCAAGCAGGTGCAGATAACCCAAGTGTACAGTACAGTAAGTACAGTAGAGCAGACTTAATCCTGGATCTTTGAAGCACACTGCTGTTGTTGCAGTAGCTCCAGGGGATTTAATATTCTAGCGCGTTGATTCGGAAAGGATTAATGGCTCAAATGTTTCCGAGTGGTGGGGTTATCAACTATGGAGCGACTCCACGGTTCTGAAAGGTGGGTGTCACTGGTCAGGAACCGTGCCTGTTTGTCCCATTTATTCCACTGTAATTGCCATTATTTGGCCGTGAAAGCACACTCAACCTTAAACCTGAGCACTCTTTATGTTTGAGGTACGATCTTGCTGCAAACTAAAGCTGTCCGGCCTAAGCTGACGAGGCAAACTGTATCTGCACCTATGTAAGTGACCAAAAGAAGGGGTCCTCAAGACTAGAGGTCGCTTGCTAGGCATGTCTTGGTTCACAGGACGGCAGGAGTCGCTACGGAGAAATAATAATAGGTGTCTTTGCGATATGCAGGTCCTCCAAACCACCCACGCCAGAGTGGCTTCCGGTAAGGACCGTTGACATTGTCACACACGTTATGCAGTGAATTGGTCGTACCTAGTCAGATACATAATTGTGTTGTTGTACAACATAATTGGAACGTCCAGCGGGGATTTCCACGGCTGCCAGGCAGATCTTTCAATAAAGAACCTGAGCAAGCTCAAAGTCCCTCCTGGATAGGCCCTAAGGCTAGAAGAGGATGGTCTTAGGGCAAGAACAGCCTGGAGCCGACTTGACCGTCAACGATCAGCAACCGGGCTCGCTGGTCTCCCAGGGTCGCGATGACGGCGTCGTTTTTGGAAGCATGGCTCCCGTCCAGAGCCAGCCCCTTTCTGAACTCGGTTAGCAAGCCACTCGCTAAAACAAGACCGAAGAACCTTCTCTGCTTCTCTCGCTGGTAGCGTGCATCGTGCAGCACTGCAGACTCTGCTCACGTCAAAAAAAGACGCATGTTATTCTTGCTTTTGTCTGATGATTTTGCTTCGTTCTGCTCTTGGGATGTTTCTCATCCTATGGGCAGATGATACGGTAGGCAGTCGTCATTCTTGCCTTCGGCATTTCCTTCAGGATCGTTGAAGCCTGAGAAGTTGGAGGAGCAGCGTGCTAGCTGTCGTTGTACGACAATTCGTAAGACAGTCTTCGAAAGATGTAAAACCCGCACAATGTGCATACTGCTCTTTACAGCTGCCACGCGAGGCCCGTAATAGTCGACAATGATTGACAATATGACGATCATACTTTTCACGATGTTATTAGGTGCAGTGCAGTACACCGACTAAGGCGCGCGTGTACTGTAGATGTGTTTAGTTACTGTCATCGCCTAAGTGCCCTTTCCGGCGCTTTAGTCACTGAACGGGTGTCCTTTCGGGACCGCTTTTTACAAGTGCTTTCTGGCCAACATGAGTGCTCATATACGCGAGTACAGCTCTGATGAGTTAGTTCTTTAGCGACTTGCCTTTCCCTTTGCCTCTGTAGCTCTTGGAGTACTCGAGTACTGTGCTCCATCTTGTGCTCGCCTCGTCCAGCCGTGCTGGCCTTTTGATATGCTGTGCCTTGGGGCCAGTGCCAATCTCTCGCCCGCGGCGAGTTGGCGCGCTGAAGCTGCCTTCTCCAAAGGCACCAAGCTCCGAACGTCTGTGGATCGCGACCCTGTCTCGCTCCCCAATCAACGCGGCGATCGGACCCGGTAAGCTCGACTTTCCATGACAGGCATCCTGCCCACCCCCTACAACCCCCCTACGACATCTTAGGGCACCCTGGGCCTCTGCCCTTGCCGGCCGGCTCAGTGGACTCATCTACGCGTATGCTGGGAACAGGCCCCTGAAGCCTGGCTGCGTGGAAACCACCTCGCCATATCCACTGGCGTGCACGTCGAAAGTATCCTCGTTTAACCAGCACGACCTATAGCATCCTCTTTTCAGTCGTCTTTCCATTCCCAATGTGTAAATGGCTAAACTTCCTCCGCAAGATCCACTGCCCTCTGCATCAGGTCGGACCATGAGAGGCCCAGCCGCTTGGCTTTTAACCCAGATCCCCTGCTCTTGCGGGCCCCTGACCCAAGTGGCCTGCCACTCACCTCTCCTTGCCACTAGACGAGGGCCGTCCCTTATGCTGTCCCAAAGTGGCTTTTCCCCAGCAATATCTCTTATGCAGTACCTCTTCCTACTGGCCCTGGGTGATAACAGTCCCATTTTTGTGTAGGACGCTCATTTATTATCTCACTCTTCCCCTCGACTTCTGCATTCGTACTTCTTTTCGGTCCATTCTCGTCATACACTCATTGATCGTATACTCACTCATTCAGACGGAAGCCAACCCTCTACCATCTCACTCACGCCATGACTTCAAGGAACTAACCTCCACAATCTCGAAAGGCTGGTCAGAAACACCCGGTACCGAAACGAACCGTCGAGCCCAAACAAACGTGCGGGGACTAGTACGAACTTCCCGGATACAGCACTGAAACACAATTCAGCGAGTGATTAAAACTTTTGCGAGCTGCTCCCGGAATACAGAGTTGTTCGCGTCGAGACGGTTGTTGTGATCATATAGGAACTGGAGTTCGCAGCTTCGTAGTCGGCTATTCTACAAGAACTCGAGTCGACACGAAATAGGAAAAGTTTAGACGCGATGGCCGCCAACGGAACTGCAGTAGGACAGGGTGCTTGCCCAGGACCATTTCTTCAAGAGGACCTTTTCAGCACAAGTGGTGGATGTGAGTGGAAACAACTTCTGTTTGTTTGACGTTCTCTCACTGACAATGTCTAGTCGTAAATGGTAGATTCTGCTCGGATCTGCTAGGTCCTTCCTGCTGCTTACCATGCCCACAAACGGAGTGGCTGTATCCGGACAACTTTCAAACCATCACATTAGCAGCAAACTGGATCAATGTGCTCTCTTTAGTTTGCATAGCCTTCCTTCTATTGTCGTTCGCGGTTCTACCAGTTGGCAAAACTCACCGTCATTATCTGAGCGTATGCCTAGCTATTGGAGTCACGTTCATGAGTGTAAGTGCTCTATCAACCTTTATTAGATCAATGCTTATTCGCAAGTAGCTTGGGTTCATCATTCCCTTAGGAGCGAAACCAAAGCAGTGCTACGATGCCATCACGCCGAATGACATGGGTTCAAATACTTCATGTGCTCTTTCCGGCGCTTTCTTGATTGCAGGTGGATGGGCGGCCGTGATATGGGTATTCTTACGCGCAATTGCACTGCACTTGCAAATTTGCTGGCAGATAGTCATTGGGAAGACTTTCATGTGGGGTGCACTTGCAACTGGGTGGGGAGTACCTGCAATAGGTGTGACTCTTGCGCTGGTTTTCAGCGGTGTCTCCTTCCGATTTGGCGACACTTGCCATATTAACCACAAGAACAGTCTTGCTGTTCTCTGGATACCTTTGCTGGTATTCGCAGGCATTACTGTCATCACACAGTTCGCAACGTTTGGTTATTGCATCAAGGTCTATCTCGCCTCCCTTGTCGACGACTCGACCACGACAGAAAACTCTGGTTTGCCGTCTTACACGAGCAGTGTACGAGGAACGATTTCGCCTAAACAGGCCTACCGAAGAGTAAAGCGTGTTATGGAATTGCAGTGGAGAGGCATTGTCGTTGTCCTTCTTATTGTCACCGACGTGATCTTTTTCGCCATCATTTTCGTCTTCATGGACGACATCGCGACGAACATGGTCAAAAATCCTACCAAATCGACAGCATGGCTCGGCTGTCTTATCCAAACTAATGGCAACAAGAATAAATGTCTTAGTCTCGCTCAACACATTGTCGTTAACCAAGCGACCGTCATGGCTGTACTTCTCCTCCTCTCCGTAAATGGCGTCTGGGTTCTTTGCCTCCTGGGCCGCTTTTCTATGTTCACAGGCTGGTATGAACTCATCCGCCATCGCGTCAAGCCTAACACCGAGTTTGTATCTGCCGATGCGCACGCATACAAAGACCCCAGCTCTTATGAGATGCTTGGACGGGAACGCGACAACGGCAACGGCGATAGCAAAACGCCAGAACCCTTCATGGCTACATCAAACGTAGTCACACCACTCTCGCCGGTTGCTAAAAGCGGTCGCGAGACTCCGGATTACTTTGGACGGGAAGCTCGATACAAGTCGCCTTCGCGGTCCTTCTCAAGTCCAAAACCACCTCCTGGACACGTATCACCCAACATACAATGGGAACCCCAACTCAGCACACAAAGAGCTGGGACTGGAATCAACGAGTGGGATGGTGCGAACACACACGCACAGTCCACATATTATACTGGCATGGACCCGTTGGCTATGAATAAGATCTAGTCTGACGTGCCTTTGCTATCTTTATTTCTTTGTCTTGCGCTTTAGCGTTTCTTTCTCATGTTTATATATGCGTTCTAGATATGATGGTGTTGTACCATCTCTTGTAACACCGGATGGTGTTGAGGCTGTATGTTGTCTGTCTGCCTTACAGAAGGGCTTTTGTCATGATGGTGTGAGGATTAGATGTTGTAGAAAAGCTTTGGGGTGTTGGATATCATCTGTGCACTACAAGATTACGAGCTCAGGCTCAGGCTTTGAATCCTGTTCCTCAGTTGGGGACAAAGTTTCACATTATAGCATTGCGATCTCAAAAGCATGTTTGGGAGATGTCATACTTGGAGTATACATGGCGGCATAGGAAAATGGGCTGTGTCATTAACGACCTTACTGGCGCTGGACGATAGATATAATTGTCATTCAATAAATATAAAAAACAAAATAAATCAAAAAATTAAAAACAAAAGCTTCCTCTGGTTCACACTGTGCTCATCTGTATTCTTCATCTCCCTATCTTGACTACTGTGTGTCCCCACTGACCAACTTGCCCAAGCAAAAATAAACAGCAAAAGCTGACTGCAACATCTCAAGAAGTTGTCCTAATCTCTAAACAGGTTACCCCGTTTGCTTTGTTAGGATGGAATTCAACAGCCTAGTGAGTTTAAGTCACAGAGTCTACGGGTATATTCCCGATATTTATCTACGATAAATTTCTTTTCTTCTTAGTCTTTTTTTTTCTTTTGGCTATTTTGCGAGAATTTGAGCTTAACGAGCGACAACTGCTCAACACTCATTTCTTTGTTTTGGAGAAATATTGGTAAGAGTTTGATTCCACATGAAGCTGGAATTTGTGATTGGTTATTAGAAATTTGCTTTTTGTAATTTATAAGGTATGAAAGGTGGTTTGGTGAATAGTGGAGCCTGCGATTAGTTTGGGTTCTGTGAATGACTCTTCGGTCTTTTCATTGTTCAATTTTCTTTCGGATCAAATTGCTGAGATTCGGATTGCATGTTGATTGGGAGGCTTTCTAGATTCGCGCCATTTTTATTCACCGTTATCAAATTTTCTACATGTCAAACATACCACTCAATGATCAAGTTGGACGGTATCACAGAACCGGAGTGGAGACTTTGATGAATACTTAAGTGGGTAGAATTTCATTATATAGACTTAACAACTACGTCAGATCAATCAGACTCTTCCATGTTTCGTAACACATCAGGAATGAGAAGCTCAACCCACGCTGGCGTCTCAGGGTGTTTAACCTGGATTTGCTGTTGCTCCCAAGGCCAATCAATAGTTCGGCCGCCCTTAACTCGTCGTCTACACGTCGGACAACTAACATACGTATGGCCATCTGTTCGCAGTATCGAGGTTCTCCATTCTTTGATACATTCAAAGCCAAACTTATGTCCTCGGCGCTTGCCCGCGCAACGCAGCTCTATCGGGTTATTGCATTTCTGATCACCGTCGCCAAATTCCATGTGGCAGATTGGGCAAATGTCGTCTTCTTCGATTTGTGACAGCGAGAGTGTCTTGTAAGGTAGACTGCGATAGTGATCTCTGGTGATCAGGTTGTACTCAAGAAGTTTCTTGATCAGGGTTATCACAGTGTCCATCACCAACAAATCGTCTATAGTGTTGAACAACCCTCGTCTGTGTGCATGAGTTGCGGGGTATTGCGTTGACGGATCTAGGAAAGCTTTGTCGAAGGGGTGGGGTTCACGGACGGGCTCCCAGCGATCGATGTTCTTTTCGAAGATATAAACCATCTGAATCATTTTTATGACCCTCAACAAGCTGACGCATACATTTTCACTCAGGTAAACCTTTGCCTGTTCCCTTGTTGCCTTCTCAGATTTCGTGTAGTCGACGGTCGAGTGTCGATAGATGACCTGTTCAACGCCAGTCATCACTTTCTCGCTTGTCAACTCTCCAAATCCAGGAACCATGGGTACTTTCATATTGACGGCACTGACTAGGCACTGAAAGCAGCAGTATGTTAGCTTTATAGTATGCCTGAGATGGAAATTGATTCGATAATCTCTGTTGTTGACCACAGTGAAATTGGGATCAAGCACGCGTTCTATGTGGTGACATGTATATTCAAAACGGTAGAACTTGCGCATTTTCGGAGAGTTTTTCAAGGTAGCGAGCATAAACACTGCGTTCGGCATGATTTTGGCTTTACTATTGGCTGTCTTTGAAAAATTAGGAAAGCTGGCAGGTTGTCTAATTCGACTGAAAGTTTTCGATCGTATATGTACGGCTGTTGTTCTCTTTGTTCAGCTGTGATTGAAATTTCCAGAACAGTCAACGAGCTTGCGAATTCATCTGCACTCTTTAACTGTTCCAGAAAAACAGAATGAACACTACGCAGATTCTAATCATGGTCGTTAGCATTACTTGGACTGTCTCGCTGCCAGAGGTGGTTCTCATGGCTTACCCTGACTCTTTGAATTGCTGACAACCTCTGGTCAATTATGACCAGTTCACAGATATCCGCATAAAAGTCGCATGTTGATTTCTCAAGAGAAAAGATCCTCGTTTTCTTTTGGGGATATAGAAGAATCAGCCATCAAAGACTGCTGTCAAATGAATGATTAACTTGCCGACCTCGGGTACACACTGGTAATGGTGAGGTGTGTTTAGTCTTGAAAGCAGCATTTGACATCAAGTTTTCCTGTCTCAATGGTATGTCATTTACGTGCTTAAATTATTTAAGACAGTATCTCAAATGACTCAACACGCTCAACAAAGCTCGACATTGAAGATATACGCTAAACCACACAACAAGAATGCAAATTGAAAAAGATAAGTGTTGTTTATTCAAGATTGACGTTCACCTTGTTAAGTTTGAAGTACACTTGGCTCTTCTATTTTGTTACCTAAGCTTTTTCTCATTATCACTAACTGACGCTACTTTTTATTCAATCCTCAAATGTAAAATCTTAACGAATTTCCATTGCTAAACATGACTGAGTTCAAACCGACCTACCTCGCTCACGTCCACATACATTATTTCCTCCTAACACCCAGCTACCAATTTATCCTCGACCAAATTTCCAGCACTGCAGGAATGAGCATCGACTTTAGCCACGATGGCGTTGGCAAAATAAAAGTTGGTTCAAGAGGAGTATCTGCGTCCGGCCAATAGTACCCACCGTCAGTGTAAAAGAGCGCCGTACAGAATGGACAAGTCAAAATCGCAGCTGTTCCGTAGCCCTCCTCAGATTTCATTCAGTGTAGCTCGCACGCCCAATTCAAGATACAGCTTTTGCCAAATATATGCCTACAAGGCAGTTGTACCGGGTTTGGCAGCCAGTTGAGCTAGCCTTCTGTGGTAGCGAGCAGATTGAACACCTACGACGATAGTCGCTGAGATCAGACAGTGCCACTGGGACGTATAGACATCGTGACCTGTCCAATATCAAGGCGGCGTTTCGATCGACAACATCGCACAGGAATCGAGTTGTTCGTAGCAAGTTCTGTGTTTGCTCATCTCGGTATGCTGGATTGAACCGAACTCTTAGCTCAAGTTTCTTCAGCAAATATGTCGATTCCAAAATCCCTAGCAGTGTCGTTGCTATGTCGTGATATTTTTTTGGATGTCTCCACGAAGCTGAGGTCAAGGTTGTAATTGTCCCTATTTTTGAAGTAAGAAGCAGAGGTGAAGTTTTCGCAAACCTGCGTCGCAACTCTGACTGTTTCGTCGCTTGGCTTTTTAAAGTGAGCAGTAGGGTGTACCGATCTGCCAGCTTTATTTACGGATAGGAGACAGGAAGCACAAAGAGGATCCATTTCAACCGTAATGACTTTGCTGGCGGGTAAGCTTGTGTACCACCAGATGCGGACAGTATTACCTACCAGCATGGTGCAGATATGACCACAGGCTGAGCGTAGTGTATATTGGCGATGAAGATAACTGACTTGGTGATCTAAAAATTCATCTGGAAAAGCATAATAGAGTCGAATCTGTGATGTATCCATTTTGAGAACTTTTAGGTAGCTGTTGCCAGAAAGAGAGATTTTTCGGAGCGAAGAAGAAATAGTTGGGAAAATGGAAGAAGGGATGAAGTGTGTAAAGTAAAGGAAGAAGGAAGTTGGAAAAACCTATGATATTACAACGAGCCGATGGAAATCAAAGAACAACAAAGTGCTTCGAAGAACAATCATATCATACAATCACATCCACTGTATAAAACCACGAACAAGCTTTGGTTATCCATCACAGTAAGGAGGTCAAGCGATTTCCTGACCAGAATAGATCATCTAACCACCTCGTAGTATGACATTGTACCCAGCCAAAGGTAAAAGCTTGTTAGGCAGGTATCACTCTTCATGTAGTTCAAGTCATCCATAACATACTGATTCCTCTCGAGGGCTTGCAAGGATACTACTCGTGATTTGAAATGTAAGTGTTCATCTCGATTTTCAAGTCCCGTATGTACCATGTCGGAACTTGGAATAACGTAACTCAGAGCAGCCCTTTCCACTAGAATTTACAAACCGCGGCTGAAATCCAAGAAAACTCTGATGGTCAAGATATGATTTCGACATTGTTGTGGGGGGAAGAAATAGCATTGACTCTTACTTGAACGTTTCATGCATGCTTAGAATCAGAGTCCACCCCACAAGCACATGTAATTCTGTCACGCACCTTCCATTCATAAAAGGACCAAGCAGTATAACGCAAGCTACAAAGAGCAGACCTCACGTTCAGTCAATGGTATGTTTTATAGATTTAGATTCTTTTAAATTAGAATGAACGCAACACTAAAGTAGCTATTTTCCACATATCTCTTTTTCCCCCTGGGAGCTGACACCATCCATGTCAATAATTAACAATTCCACCCATTTATCTACCAAGCACATACATGAGGCAATGCCGTTGTCATTCGCCTCGCGAAGCCGGGTGGCGAGGCTCGCAAAAGGAGGTGATATTTTACAAAGTCGAAATGTAGAAAAGAAGAGGTTGTCTCGTGCCGAGTATGTTTTGGCAAGCTGTAAACATTAAGGGCTCCATATTGTTGTTTTTCCGAGTTTAAGAGAAAGGAAAGGTGCACTGTAGATTTGTTGTAGTCGAGATGTGTGTTCGTCGAAAAAGGCCGTAGAGATAACTCATCGTGGTGTGGTGTGTAAGTACGCCAAAAATGAAAAGGGTATGTCGCAAAAAATGTTCGACAGAAAGTGCAAAAAGGCCCCCCATCGGCCTATCCAGAACGCCATTAAATCCCAGCCCGTACTCCATTAGATTATCTTCTTCATATCCTTGTTGATTGCTTTTCTACGCCACTTCGCCCCTGGCCTAGTGATCCGAAAAGCTGTTCTGGCGGTATTCGGGAAGTGCCCCGATCGTATGATGATGTTTGTGCTGCTGGCATGTATCCTTCGCGTTTTCTCCGTAGGCGCTCGGCTACGACACCAGCGACAACGAGGAGGAATACAAGGCCAAGTGCACAGGCCAGAGCTATTAAAACAACGAAGCCAACCGCGAGGCGACCACCTATTTCAAGTCAGCACAGGAGTCACATGAATATGGTGAAATACTTACTCTTATTGGATCCAAACTGAACCACCTTGGATGAGAAGAATTGGGAGAGACTTCCACTAGTGCTAGTAGCAGAATTCGTAAGAGCATATGGTAGGTAGTCGGTGCCGTTAAAAACGACGGCTGAAGCATTGCCAAATCCAGGTATGTTCAAGGAGCCGGTCATCAAGAGCACCTGATCTCTAGACAGAAATTCAGAGCTGCCGTGGTCAGATGTAACTGGCAAGATTTGTAAGCCTCGAACGCTGGATCCAGATCCTAAGGTTGCAGGAACCGAGTTCCAGTTACTGCCATCGTATTTCATGACAAAAGCCGAACCATTTGCCGAGAAACCCGCAACCCAGAGTTGTGCGGAATCATTATTGACTGAAGTCATGGCAGTGACGGGCCCAGGAATCATAGTCGCAGCAGGTGCCGCCGTCCAATTTTGAGCTTTAGCATCATACATAGCAACGGAAATATTGCCTCCATCAAGGTTCAGTTCCCCACCAGCGATGAGCATGGTCTCTGAAGCCCAAAACATGGTATGAGCAATGCCAGCAAGAGTTGAGCCAGGTCGATCCCACTGTGAAGAGCCGGTGACAAAGACGCATACTGCAGGACATTGCAAGGCGCCAGCGGATTCGAAGCTGCCACCAACATATATGTCTCCAGTATCAGGTCTGACCGCAATAGTTCGGGCAGTACTATCTCCGCCGGCAAGTGCAGGTGGTTGAGCTCCAAACGTTGAGCTTGCAAGATTATAGGAGAAGAGTCCGTTGACAGCACTATCTCCGACAGTACCTCTCAAGGAACCTCCTATCCATAATGTATCATCCTGCAGTGCCAAAGCCAAGATGGTCGAATCGTTTGAGATCTCGTCTCCAACGCCGGAAACGTCGTTGGAGGCTGCATTGTTAATGATAACAAGATTGTTGATCTGGCTACCATCGGTGGCATTAGCAGTGAAATGGCCTCCCAGGATCGTAAGATTACGATTCCTGCTCTCGTCAAAGAGACCAGTGGTTACTCCGCTTAGGTTTCCGGTAGTAGTGGCTCTCTTGCTAAGCGTACTTGAGGTTTGCGATTGCTGAGGCTGGATACGGACGGGAAATGTACCAAGCGACGAGGTAGATTGAAGTTCGACCGCACCGTTGGTATTGAACTGTGATGTAGATAGGTGTCCGGCAAATAGAGAAACGCCAGACGATACTTCAACAGTAGCACTCAATTTACCCTGGATGCTTGTCGTTGCGGAGTCGATGTTCTGAAGCCAGTTGTTTCTAGATGGTACCCACGTGGCGAACCCGGCAACTGCGATTGATCTGTTGCTCCCAAAGGCGTTGATGTTACCGAAAGTTCCTGAAAGTGTTATGACGGACTCCAAGGTGTTGGCGCTTATGTTAATGGAAAGGGGAATAATCTCAGACACCATCCCATCCACGCCAGCTCCTAGTGCGGCCCAAGTGTTCCTAGACGTATCGTAAAGGCCGACATGACTTAAACCAGCGACTGTTGAGGTATTGGTGTTTGTGAAATTACCTCCAACATATAAGGAGGTGCCGTCAACAAAGAGAGTCGACACGGCTCCATTAAGGCTTCCGCCCGGAAGAGGTGTTGCACCAGCGTCGGTGATGGAAAAGATGTTCGAGAAGTTGTTTGAGCTGAAGTCACCTCCAATGAAGGTGGTACTGCCAGAGGTAATCAAAGAGGAAATCCCACTCCCTGCCGAAATGCTCATTCCCGCTGTGTCGAACGTCGAGTTGGCAAAATCGGCGGTGTTGACAGTTGCTTGAGAAGGATCGTATTCAAAGATGCCGTTTAAGCCGCCCGTTGAGCTCGGCGCAGTCAAGATAAAGCTAACACGCTGAGCCACGACGGAGAAATTAGGTATATTTTGCCCTGCTTTTGGTGACAGGGTTACTGACGGTCGAAAAGAACTGCTGGTGGCATCGACGGAGCCGAAGAAAATCTGGTCATATTTGTCGAACTCATTTGTTTGGAAGATGTCCCGGAACGTCTGATTACCAGTTGTACCAGACAAAACTCCACTCAATGTAACTTCCCCCCTGGTTGCGCAACTGTTGTCTTGCCGGCAGCCTGGCGTATAAATATTGACTGAATACGTACCGGATTGTTTTATATCAGGATAAAAGACAACATTATCTGTTGTAGATTGATCGACGACGGCTGTGAGATATTGAGATGAGCTCGCGCCGGATGGGGTTATGGCCCAGGGACCGGTATTAGTTGCATTGGAAGGAGATCCAGTGCTAGAACAAGTTGGTTCATTGAAACTGTTAATGGCGTAGGCGAATATATCGTCTTGGAAGAGCTCAATCCCATTCAGACCACCGCCACTTCCATAGAAAGCTGATATATCAATTCGAAAAGCGTTCATACCAACGTCATTGACAAAATGAAAATCTTGGAACTCAACATCGCTCCTATCGCTCAGTGGACATTCAGAAGTACAAGACGCGTTCTGCCCAGTCGCAGGGTCTGTGTAAGTAAAATTCATTATGCCGTTGATTGGTTGAGCCGTAAATCTCCACGTCTTCGTACCTCGACCGTCCAGATGGGTGTTTCTTAATCGAAGTTTTGTGGGTTGGAATCCAAATCCAAAAGTGGCTTGCCAGAAGCCTGGGGTGTTGTCTGCAAGCAGCCAGGTAGACCCGGCGCCATCAGTGCTGCTATTTTTACATAGGATGTTTCTGGGATCGCTGAATCCTGCAGCTGCAGTTGATGAACCGGATGTGATGTTGGCACCAGAGATATTGACGATTTGTTGATCAGGATTGCTAGGTCCAGTAGCATTGCCCAAACCAGTAAAGTTGCCCCCAAAGATAATGTTACCATTTCCGGCCTTGGTTATGGAGCTGACAGGTCCATTGAAGCCCGCAAAGGGAAGATTTGTCCACCCGGCATCTCCCACCCACATTATGGCGTTCGTAGAATTGGCACCTGTAAAACTGCCTCCTACATAAACGGAATTTGACGATGGATCGCAAAGTAAGGCGTTGACACTCCCCGTCAGTCCAGTCAATGGTGTGACTGCAGATGTATTCGCATTGATCAGCGCTGCTCCTCTCGTCTCGACTCCACCTATACTTGTAAAAGATCCCCCAACAACAACGCCAGCCATTGCCCCATCCTTCACAAATGAGCACATTGCTTGAATACTGCCATCCGCCGATGCAAGACTCGTAAACGCGCCATTGGGCAGGCGTGCGAGGATCGATTGACTACCATTTGTGCTGAATCCATTCTGGCCCTGTCCCTCAAATTCATAAAGCGAGATCCCACTGAAATCTCCTACTAGTCCCACACGTCCTGACGAGGATAAATCGAGGTTTGCCGAAGGTACCGGAGTAAAAGTGATCGCTTCTGAGACTGTTGATAAAGAGGCTAGGAGTAATGCGAAGCGTAATGACGATGGAGGTTCCTTCACTGGACTCCACCACGTAGAGAGCTTCATTGTAGAAACCAGTCACAACCTGGTCGCGATTTTTTCTCCTTGCTTAGGTCTTTGGAGCGCCTAGGTGGCTGGTGTCGGTCGTGGTGTTTTCGGTCGCCCTTAGCAACTCAAACTCGATTACCGCGTTTATTCCATTCCCTTGCTTCGACAAAAAGATCTGCTGTGAACGGATATCTGCGGCCACGAAGTATATTCACTGTCGCAAAATCCCCCCTGATAACGAGCGTCGCGTGGTGGTGAGATCGATTGTGCGTGGTGGCAGGAGAAGGCGGAGATTTTGGAAAGGTATGAGGTCGCCTAGCGCAAGCCCGTTCAGCTTAAGGTTGTCGCAAAGGCAGGCTATCTGGCGACTAGTCTGACCGGCTTCCTGTACGTTGGTAATTGAAGGTAAATTGCAACACGACGATGATATACGAGGATGTCTGTTAATAATTCGTTCGGAGAGGTGTAAGGAAGGTGTGTTTTGTAAAGGAGTGTGTGGTCGTGGACCTGGTGCACCGTGAATCGTCAGTGGATGGTCGATCGATACAATCCAAGGTTGTGGAGTGCAGGCGGCGGGCGTGGAGAGTTTGGCCTCTTTCGCCGCTGGAGATGCTGGACCTACCAAGCTTGTACGTGGATACCTCCGTTTAAACGAGTGATGGAAGCGTCCGAGTTGATGAAGATGTTGAAAACCCCCCTCAAATGTTCATTCCGTCGATGTAAAATCGAGTCGCGAAGGCCGCGAGGTTGGAGATCGGATGGACCCGCTCAATCTCCTATTTTCGTTTGTTTGACCCCTGACGAAGCGGGTGTGAAGTGGACCGTTCGAGCCGTTGTACTGCCGTACCTGACGAATGAGTTTTCCAGTGCCAGCGCAATTATTCAGAAGGACGAACGAAATCAATTGTTTTGCTCTTGAACGTTCAAAATGCATGGATTCAAGACAAACTACGCAAAGTCAAATCTCATTCAAGCCCAATGGCGATCAAGCTCGCTCTGTTCCACACGTAGGAGCACGGAAGGTTTGGGGAGGAATCTCGTATCCATGGCAATCTGAGCCTTTCGTCCAATCAGCGTGCGTCCTGGCATTTTCAAACATCAAGATCTTCATCTGTTTTCGTGGCACCAGGAACATATCACGTGTCGTGGTTTAACTGTGCATGTTCTAGCTGCGAAGTATTACATATTGGCAGCCTAGATAATCGTCCTAGAAACAAATTGAGTGTCTAGGTTGGAAAAAGGCAATGCCCGTTTGTCACCCTGCCGTCGAGAGGCACAAGTAGATCGTGAAAGAGGAATAATGACTGCCGGATATCACCAAATGTGTCCTCTACCATTGGTGCTACAATTCACTGGCACAACAATCATGGCTAGATCAGAAGATTTCTTGATCAACAATCAAGATGGTCATTGTATTTGTCGGCGATCATAGCGATCTGTATATCTGTGTATCCCAGGGGTGTTTGTTTATTCGGTTCCATAGCACATCGAAACGGCTTTCCATGGCGCTGCTGCTTAGGCTATAACTTGAAGGATCAAGAACCTCTAGTCGTGAGGCTATAACGTTTTAAACGTGGGAGGCTCCTCTAAACAATGACGCATATGCGCGAAACCTCCAAACAGTAAGGCGCACCACGAATGGTACATGTACAAACATGACAAGCACTTCCTGGAGGATCTGACACCCATGATACCGTTCGAAAATCCTCAATTGGGTAATACTTCACGACAGCGCCGTAGAACATTCATTTATTCTTCCTCCAAATAACAAATCTCTGTACAAACGACCCAATCATCGAAGTTGTATCTTCGGATACTTTAGGTGTCTTGGGTATCACTTTATCAGACGTGGTCATATCTGCAGTTCTCGTCTTGTATGCTCTCGGGCTCTCAAAATCTTTCGCTTTGCCCGCCCAGATGCCCTTCTTCAGTTGTTTGGCTTTTGCTTCCACATCTCGATATTCTTCCTCAAACGCCCCAAATTCAGCTCCTGCCTTCGCATCATAAATCGTCGCCCAGCCTGCCTTCAGCATCTCTTTGCCCACATCCCTCTGAATGAGCCAGCGGCGCACCCAAACGGTAGCAACAACCCGCTCGTATTGATCGCGTTTGTAGATGTAAGCTCGAACCTTTCGATTCAGAATGTAATCTTTCAACCACTGTAAAGCTTCATCTGAATGTGGTTGCGCCGGTTTCCCAAAATGTGCTCCTTCCGGCGCGTCAACTCCTGCGATTCTGACATGAATCTGTTATGATCAGCTCAGTCCCAAAAGGGCATTCAGAAGACATACAGTGTTATTCTTGAGATCCAGCTTTTTCACTGGTACCCTCCTCCTCGAAAGAGGCAACCAGCCCCATCCCGCCCATTTTCCTCCCGGTGTATGAAAAAAATGGAAATTATCCGCGTCGCCCACTCGCGTCACCGTCCCAAACAAAGACCTTTTCCTGAATAGTTCCGGCCTTATATAGGTAGCTTCAGGTATGCGACGTAGGTAGGAGCGGTATACGCGCACTGAGAGTAGGATGGTGGAGGTGAGGAGGAGCGTTGGAATTATAGTCCGAGGATCGGTATAATGCGTCCAGTCGGTAGCATTGAGACTGGAGCCCCATTGGATATACTTGTGTTTCTTGGAGGAATCGTCATCGGTAGATGATGAGACCATCGCAAGGAGGACGAAGGTATTTCTGGTGTTAGAGCGTGGAGGCCGTGGGGACCTCGGGAAGAATCTAGGAAACTCGCTTGGTAGAGGTTGTCAGGGGTGACCTCCAGGTGCAGTTGAAGCAACTGTAATTAGAGCAGTTTTCCCGTAAAACTCCTCATTTCTATTGAGATGTTATAGATGTGGAGTAATTGCAATTCGTAATGTTGAATTCCATTGGGCCTTTTAGTGTAATAGAGGAAGGGGATTCGAGACCCATTGCCGGAACGGCTTGCCGTTGCTAGGTTTTTATTTTGTGTTACAAGTACAATTATATAATACATAGAACCATTCATCCTAACCTTCTCCTCTTTGCTCTTTGATTTCTCGGACTATCCTTGAAGTCCTTTATCAATTCAACAGTATTTTCTTCCTCGAACTCATCCTTAATTCCGTTCAAAAGATATTCTTGTTTCACTACCGTCTTTACCTCAACAGTTGTCTCCCCTTCTTGCTTAACCTTGACTTCTTCCACCTTAATTTCCTTCGCTTTACTAGTCAGTCTTTCTGAGAATGTTTTCAGATCTGCCGCAAAAAGTACTGAGTGCGCCCAACCAGCTTCAATTCCCCAGAGTTGTCTGAAATGGTCACCGACCGCATCGTAAGTAGCCTTTGTTAAGCTCTTGTGCTTTCCCTTGCCGAATTTATAATCCCTCTGCGCGAATTGCCATACGTGTGTATCTACAGGCACAGATTCCCCCCAACCAAGACCCATGAGACAAACACAATCCGCCACCTTAGGGCCTACACCTTGGAGTTGTAGGAGTTCCTCATGAGCCTTTCGGTAGCCATCGCGGCCCCCAGGCGGCATTTTCTGGTCTGGACTGTGGTCAACATTAGATAAATTCTGCAGCCAGCCTTCCGGCTTCTCCTTGGCAACCATCTTAGCCGTCTTAGCTATATAGCTTGCGCGATAGCCAAATCCCAGTTCACGCAGGTGAGCCTCGACTCCAGGCCCTGTAAGAGTTTCAGGTGCTGGGAAGTCATGATATGGTTGAGCATCAACGTGGCCAATGAGAGGTCCATAATGTAGACAAAGATTGTTGACCTTGATGAGTATTGTTAGCTAACGGAAACGCTGTGTCATGAGTAAGAAATATACCATCTGTGATATTCGTATAATATTATTATTACTACTGCAAATAAATCCCACAAGAGCTTCCCAAGCATCCTGCTTCAAGATCCTGACTCCTGTGAATTTCGGCGCTCTCTTCTTGAAGTTCGGATCAACAGAAGACCAATACTCATAAAGTGCAGTGAGGTTCGGCTCTAGATTCAGATAATGCTTGAGGAGTCTCTCGGTGTCATCTTCATCTTCATCCTTGATCGGATCTTGAATTTCAGCTTTTATATTTAAAGACCCATTTGAAGATCCTAGAGTATACGGCCTCATAGACCGGTAATGGAGGTATGAATCATCTTGCTTTAAACTCAGGATTCGACCGTGTAGAGTACAAGTCCTAGACGAACTGTGAGCCCCTATCTCATTTCACTGACGAGTGGACATACCACTCCTCATTTTTGAGCTTCTTCCATCTAAAAGACTGTCCGCAGCGCAATGTTGTGTCAATACATAACTCTGCTAAGCTTACTGGAAGTTTTCGCCATTCTGAAACGCGTAAACTCGCCATAAATTGAAGATTGAGAGAAATATTCTTGTTGTACTTGTGAATGAATTTCACGGAGCCTTGTTCATGGAGCCGATGAGACCACGACAGGGGTATCGTTTCTTAGCGCCAAATCGCGCATCGACAGAAGGAAAAACATAAGTCCCAAAGCCTCGTCGCAATCACTAGATGATCAGTATCCTTCAGAACTTGAAACTAATTTCTTCATTAACCAAAGAAGTCGTTAGCAACAAGCATGAACGGCGACTCATATAGAGGCATGGCCCCCTTAAACAGCAACCCAAAACCACATGGCAGAGCAAGTATGGCTGACGATAAAACATTAACAGATAGCGGAAGGCATGGTTCTTCGAGAGATCACGGTGTACGAAGTCCCCATTATGCGAGTTACTCAAAGCTAATTAGGCATCAGTCCTCCCGCGATGATCGACGAGGAGACAGAGGTGATCGCGAACGACGTCGCTCGCGATCCCCAGGCCACCGAGGAGCACGCCCTTCACGCCGAGACGGAGACGTAGACTCTTATTCTACGAGCCGCGACTACCGAGAGAGGGAACGTGAGGAGAGATACTCTGGTAGAGATGCAGGTCGGGAGCGCCGGGGTGGAGGTGATAGAGAATGGGACCGAGATAGAGGTAACGCGCGCCGCGAGTCGCGAAGAGACGACGAGAGACCTCCAAGAAGAGACAGGGATCTGTTTGACGACAGAAGAAACGGAGCCGGCGGTGGTGGTAGGCGTGGAGGACGGGGTGATCGCGATGGAGGGCGTGATGGAGGGCGCGATGGAGGCTTTGGGCGAGAAATGCAATCCCAACGAGAAAAAAGCGCAACCCCTCCACCCAAAAAGAAGGAACCTACGCCCGATTTGACAGACGTCGTGTCTGTTCTCGAGAGACGGAGAAGATTGACCCAGTGGGATATCAAACCCCAAGGCTATGAGAATGTTACAGCTGAACAAGCTAAGCTATCTGGCATGTTTCCACTTCCCGGAGCTCCTCGACAGCAGCCTATGGATCCAAGCAAACTCCAAGCTATCATGGCGCAACCAAGCGGATCCGTAACCAATGCAGCCTTGAAGCCATCGAACTCCCGTCAAGCTAAACGCCTTCTGGTACACAACCTTCCTTCGACATCCATTAGCGAAGAAGCCATCATCAATTTCTTCAACCTTCAAATGAACGGACTCAATATTGTTGAGGGCTCGGATCCATGCATTAGTGCTCAGATTTCAAAGGACAAGTCCTTTGCTTTGCTGGAATTCAAGACACCTTCCGATGCTACATTAGCTTTGGCTTTTGATGGGATTACAATGGACGATAGCGAATATGTCAATAGAGAGGCAAATGGTGGTGACACTAAAGGTCTTTCTATCCGCCGCCCTAAAGATTATATTGTCCCTGCAGTTTCGGATGAGACGCCACAAGAGCCTGGAGTAGTGTCAAGTGTGGTCGTTGACACTCAGAATAAAATCTGCATGTCGAATGTTCCTCTTTATCTTACCGATGAACAGGTTATTGAACTTTTGACATCCTTTGGCGAACTGAAAGCCTTTGTTTTGGTCAAAGACAACAGCACTGGGGAGTCCAGGGTAAGTTTATTGTAGCGATCTGAATTGAAATTCGCTAATATCATGGCAGGGTATTGCATTTTGTGAGTATGCTGACCCCGCAGCGGCAACTGATATTGCGGTTGAGGGATTGAATGGTATGGAGTTAGGAGATAAACACCTTAGGGTCCAGAGGGCGAGTATTGGTAATACACAGGTATCTGGTCTTGAGATGGGCGTCAACGCAATGTCCATGCTGGCTGGCACTACTTCTGCAGGTCTAGAGGATGGCCGCGTCCTACAACTACTCAATATGGTCACACCGGAAGAGCTTGTTGATAACGATGATTACGAAGGTATATTGTTTCCCCATCTCTAGTTTAATCGGTAGTCACTGACCTAATCTCCACAGAAATCTGCGAAGACGTCAAGGAAGAATGCGAGAAATATGGCAAAGTTCTTGACATGAAGGTTCCTCGACCCACAGGTGGCAGCAGACAATCTAATGGGGTTGGCAAAATCTTCGTCAAGTTTGACACTCCAGAGTCGGCGGGCAAAGCACTTCGAGCCCTTGCTGGTCGTAAATTCGCGGATCGTACAGTTGTTACCACCTATTTCTCCGAAGTATGTATAACTCTAGCCTCATAAGAAAAGCCCACTAATATCTCGTGCAGGAAAACTTCGAGGTGGCCGCATGGTAAAAGGAAGTTTTGGCTGCAGAGCATTACCCCATTTCCTATCTAACCTGCTCACTCCAAAAGCGTTGCAGTGTAAAGTCGCGAATCTGTACCTCTGTAACTCTAGTTAATCCGTCGATTTGGCGCACATAAGGAATTTTAAAAGCAGACAGTGTTTAACACATAGGATACTAACGTCCAAGAGCGATCTTTTTCGTTATGTGTACCGGATGTTCATCATGACGGATGAAAACTACCTGGGAGTATGGCTGGATAATGACTTTATACTAAAACTACTAGTTTACTGACCCTGCTGATGTGACTAACTCCCTCCAGTCACTGCCCAGGTGACATTGTACAGCTGCAAACCCAGTATCTCCTCTTTTTCTATCGGATGCTCGACTGCTGTCCTCCTTTCAAGCAGACGATACTATTGTCATCGGCGCGTCCTAATTTACTTTGGTACAGTGTCCTACGTCCCTTCGACCTGGAAGTTCAGAGGACTAATTGGATATATATCAAATGGTCACACGTCACGGCTGATAGTGTGAATGAACAAGCCCGACCCCTCACAGATATAGGTTTTATCAAGACAGCCTAATTCTCTTGGGGAAGGCGAAGCTAGATGTTAGGCATAGACTGTTCACGTCTTATGTCTATATCGAAAAGAGAAAACTCGGTAAGTTTGCGACAGGAGTACCGCTCCAGCAGATACTCTTCTCGCGCCTGCATGACCAGTAAATACCATGGCCTCGAAGGAAATATGCTAGCCAGTGTGCCCTAGGAATGCTCTGTAATAACACGAAGCGGCACTTAAACATGCTACCCAGTTGCCATCATGTCCACAACATATCACATCATGAAACCCCTCACCGAGCTCAGTTTAGATTCACATTATAGTAGTAATTGTCTTAAGTATTGTAATACTATTCTAGACAGAGGAATAATTTACGGAAACAGTTTACTCAATGAGTATTCAGTAAGACGAAAGTAGATAGAAGTTGGGTCAAGAACGATATTATGGGTAAAATTTTCTATCATAATCTATCTAATGTTCCTACAATGAGCGACACGATTTCATTCACCTCTATGACATTCTGACCTGTCTTCGTTGCGTTAGTGAAGAATCCAACACCAGTGTAACAACGAGCAAAAATAACGTGAACAAGGGATATCAGAAGTCCGTTTAGATCATCGCGTTCCCCGCAGGGAACACTAAATCAAGAGGTACCAGAAAAAGTAAAATATGGAGTATCATCATTTGACCTTGTGTTCAGAGACGCTAAAAGAATGGTTGGGAGCTGACTTACTTGGCTATGCCTGACGTTTGCTGAGCGAAAGCTCCCATCAATGATGAGCTCTCACCTGTTCCGACAATTTGGTGCTCCTGAAACACAGATACACCACAGTCGCGACTCATACAACACCTCATGAAAGAGATACGGGAGTAAACACTCAGCTTCTGGCACTGAACGCCTGGCAAGCTAAATGCGAGTTTTCGTGTTGTCCTGCTGTTGTTGAGCTCACACGGGTCTTGGAGATTTTTTCATATGAAGAGCTATGCGCACGAGCCATAAGACTAACCACAAATGGCTTAGCGATCAGGACAATTCTAAGCGAACGCACTCAGAAATTCTCACGATAGTTTCGATGCGCATTTCTGAACCTCGAATTCCCAACACCAATCCCGACAACTTCGACAATACATAATCACCATGGGTCGTCTTCACAGCAACGGAAAGGGCATATCAGCCTCCGCCATCCCATACTCCCGAACCCCTCCAGCATGGCTCAAGACCACCCCAGAGCAAGTTGTTGACCAGATCTGCAAGCTCGCTAAGAAGGGCGCAACTCCATCGCAAATTGGTGTTGTCCTCAGAGATTCTCACGGTATCGCTCAGGTCAAGGTTGTTACTGGTATGTCTATCGCATTGTGCCCAACCGAATGAATTGCTATGGAACCATGTACTAATGTATCTCGCGCAGGTAACAAGATTCTTAGAATCCTCAAGTCCAACGGTACGATATATCCGATATGAATGATTTCAATGTGGAAACTGCTTCGGCGGTCCACTGTGAATGAAAATACAATATTGCCTCTGCTTGGTCTTTGACTGACGGAGTGAAATGAATAGGTCTCGCACCAGAGATTCCAGAGGATCTTTACATGTTGATCAAGAAGGTACGATTTCAATTCGCACTAGCTCTCGGGTTTTATGCTAATGAAGCTCCCAAGGCCGTTGCTGTCCGCAAGCATCTCGAGCGCAACCGAAAGGACAAAGACTCCAAGTTCCGTCTTATTCTCATCGAGTCCAGAATCCACCGTCTCTCCCGTTACTACAAGACCGTCGGTGTTCTCCCACCAACCTGGAGATACGAGTCCGCCACTGCCTCCACCATGGTTTCATAGATGTCTAAAAGAATTGAAAAGGGCGCTGTTTGGCTTGGAGTTTGGGGTGTGGGCATATTTGCATTGGTGGACGGTCTATAATAATAGACGTTGATAAGCCTACATAGGAATCACGAAGCAAAAACCTCATTCCAACATCTCAGTGTGAACTTGTCTGTTTAGATCATAGTGACGAGATAGCACAACGAACGTGTGCTAGGCCTCTTTAAGCAGTTGTCGGTTCAGTTATATTATAATTTTCTCCTGCCATATGTTGTGACAAGACTCCCCAACTCCTGTGACTTTTAATCCAGATATACCGCGGAGACATAGCCGCGGAATATCTTTTCGTATTCTGCAGTGCTTTCCACAGATGTCAAGCAAAGAATCCTCCAAAGACATATGCCTATTACTGCGTCCCTTCAATCTCCCGCGAACGCTGTAAAAGGTACTCCCCAAGCACACGTAGAGGGTCTTTAGGCCTGTATTTTGATTAACACTTTGCCAGCAAGGCGCTTGAAAGTAAAACCCACTGTTCCTTTGCTATGATTTTCATGCCCTCCAACACAGGCCCCGTAACCTTGCCATTCAAGTACTGTCTCGTAGGCGCGCCATGTGGAGGAGCCTCTTTGGGTATCATTGTCGCAGGATCGGGATGCTGTGATGTCGCGCGACTGGTAACATCGTGGCCGTTTGTATTGCGACTCGGTGTCCCTATGCGTGGAGGGGCAGGGCTGTGGTTGCCCACTGCTGGACTCTGTTGACATGTCAGTATTGCCCTTAAATTCGTGTGGTAACCACAGAGCTGCGTACCCCTGGCCGATCGGGTGTGCGGTCACTCATTACGGTATCCCTCATGTTGTCAAGCAGAGGAGTTTGCGCGACTGCTGAGGGTGCGACTGTAGGTTGAATTGCAGCTTCGAAAGCTTGTGCGGCTGCATTCTGAGGAGCGGAAGCTTCGGTGGGGCCATTCTCTTGAGCATGAGGCTGTAAAGACATGATGTCCTATTCGTCTGAAGGCGGGGTGTGTGACGGTTCTCAAATTATGAAGCTTCGGCGGAGGGGAAGAATTGAGAAGCTCGGAATATCATTACTAGTAGTAAGAATTAAAAACCAAAATTAATTTAGGGTTGTGTAAACAATAACAGCTATTTAGCAACCCTAACTATGATCAACTACAAAAGCAATCTTTTCAATAGTAATAGAGAAAGTTAATTGCTACGTTAATCGAAGCTTACCTCTCAAAACCGACGCGTAGTCACATGCCAACGCGTTGCTGCCTTACGATGACGCGACTAGTCATGAAGTTATCAAACTCAATCTTTTACGAACAGTTCCACTTCTCCAGCTCTGGACCATGGTCCTTACGAAGCAAAGGACGGCAGTACATAATTCAATGCTTGGTCGACGAATTCCTCATCCTTCATCCACCAATTTCACTGACGATTCGCCTCCATCAAAGCGCTTGAAAACTCATGAAAGCACCGACGATGACTTCCGTGATGTTTCTCCTCTCCGAACACCACGCGCTGAAACCCCAGACTCAGATGATGAATGTTCATCTGGGGAGGTTGGAGCTTCTAACGTCCACGTTACGGAGCTAGAAAGTGCACTGGGGCCGGTAAAAACCGACAAAGAAGCGATCCAGGAGTATGAGGCTATGCGAGCAGCCGAAGGCTCGTTGGATGAGAGCGAGGATGTTCCCGGTGCTGGTGATCTAAATGACAGGTTAAGTAAAAGGAGCTGGACCAGAGGGAAGAGTTCAATTTATGTGGATGCTTTCAATTTAGCTCTGGAGACGGTGCTCGAGGATGAAGGGCACTTATTTGATGAGAGGGAGATGAAAGTATTCCAGATATGGAGGGAGTTGGATTATGAGGCTCAATATCTGTAAGTCAGGTTAAACGCATGGTATATTTGGATCATGATGTTTTAAATTGCATTCGCGCAAACCATTCAGCAGAAGTCCCTCATAATTGTCCAACTAATATTCATCTCCTCCATACTTCTTCAACTTCTAGCATATTCTTGACCATGGCCACTAGCTGACATTGACCAGTTACGTCCGTCTATTTCTACGCAAAACATCTGTCTGGCATCGTATAAACAAGCTGGGCTACTATGGCGATATAGCAGATCTCCCTGCTGCTGTTGATATACTTCAAACTACCCATAGCTTGCCTGAGACAACAGCAGAAATTCAGGTCAACCCCGCTGAACATGCTCCCCCCGATGGCACTGTGCTTGACTCCACCTTCACATTCGCTGATTCCTCTGACGGAATGATCACTTCACTTGAAGAAGCTTCTTCACTTCTGAATTTGGAAGAACTAAAAGTGATTGGAAAAGAATCCAAACTTCGGGGAAAGAATAAAACGGAGCTTCTCAACTCTCTCCGTTCTATGAGTCGCCGACAGAGTGGCTTGGGATGGGTTGGTTTAAAGAGATCTGATAGTGAACAGACGAGCGTCTCTGACTCTGGCGAGAACGATGATACTGGCGCTGAGGATGACGGGATGTCCGACAGCAACCGTGACAAACATTTCTTGAGGAAGATAATGAATACGACAGGCGCCTGTATCAGACTCTCTTTACCAACCCTGAAGCTATTTGAGCGAGTTCACTTGGTATTTTATAGGTCAACAGAATGGACAGAGAAGTCCCTCACGACGATTATTCTAGCACGAATATCTCGTCGAAACTTCCCTGACTATATTGTATCTCGGTCAGCCAATATCTTCACTTCTCGAGCAGAGTTACTGGAGTTCGAGGCGGGACTTCGAACACAGTTTCGAGTAGAAGATATACTAGAGATGAATGGCAACCCTGGAAAAGCTGGTCTAGAGGAGGTGAAAGCCATTTTTGATGAAGTATACCCTCGCTGGAAAGTTCTTCTAGAGGAAGAACAACGCAAAGAGGAACGAGTGTATGAGAGTGGTGAAGGTGCATACTTACGACGATTTTCGCCCGCGTGGGTATACACACGGATTGTCCATAAAGGTACTTACGTTTTAGGGAGGTTTAAACTCCACGCTGAGGAGCACGAAGTGTTGAGTAAATTACTGGGTCAGCATCTATTTCACGCTGCTCGTCGAGGAGCGTGGTATCAGCGCAAAGCGTTGTTAGAAGAGCATTATATGTATGCTATTGCTCCACCTGAGAATCTCTCCGACCCAGAGAAGCACAAACGGCATTGGAAACGAATTGCTCTACAAACATGTGAGCAAGGTTTGCAAGATAAAGACTGCCATATAATATACCATTACGACCTCCAAAAGCGAATCAAAAAGATCGAGAAGAATATCAAGATGCCCATGAGAGAACAGCACGATTTCGACCATGTCTTACTCGCCAAACCTATTGAAGTAACAGTCGAAGGTATCCAAATCAAGAAGAACTACCCACCATCACTCAAACGAAGGACAAGCAACACACATCCACCTGAAGAGAAACTTCGAAGCACAAAGACTATCTGGGTGGATGAAGCTGAAACCGGCGGAGAATGCAGCGTAGAAGCCATGTGTCTCTCCCACTACCGCTCGCAAGGCTTCAAAGGCTATCATGCTGAAGGAGGTATCATACGGACACTATTCGCATACCTCTTCTTCGATATTCTCTTCATCTACATTCCCAACGTCTTTCAGACCGCATACCAAACCTGTCCATTAGACCTTCATACCGACGCGTTCTTCCCGTCTCGCATATCGGAGATCAATCATCGTCTCGTCGAGATTGCGAATGGAAATGCGGCGGACATCATCCGCTCTGTTGACTCGAGAGAACGGGAAAGAGCGACTTGTGTTATTGGTTTGAGGTGGGATTTTGAACTTGATGATCTCTTAGAGATTGTGGCATGTTTTCCCGATGAGGCACTCGCGGCTGTGTGTAAAGTTATGGCGCAGGAGTATCGGGTTAGGGGAGGTGGTATTCCGGATCTGTTTATTTGGAAACCAGCGACGGGAGAGGAAAAGGGCGAGGTGAGGTTCGTGGAGGTTAAGAGTGAGAATGATAGGTTGAGTGATACGCAGAGGTTGTGGATTCATGTGCTTACTGGGGCGGGAGTTAGAGTGGAATTGTGTAATGCTGTGGCGAAGGAAGTCAAGGTTATTGATGTTGAGAGGTGAAGATTAGCTTTTGACATATCTAAATGAAGAAAACTATCATCAGTCATTGAACGTGTTTGACAAATTTCAGTCGAATCGAAATCTGTCCTATCTACGTACACCTCAATGCCAACGGTTTGTCCCAATTTACTCAACTTCCACTAACCAGGACCTCACCTTCAAATCCATCACACAGTCACACTGAATCATAATCCACCCCTATTACCCCTTCCAGCATCGCCAGTGAATCAAAACCCTCTCCCCTCCTCCAATCAGCGTCGGCGGGCCCACCCCCTCACGTAATCATCCTTTGGGTATAAATATCGTCAACTCCTTCGCGACATGCAACAAAAAATATTTTCCCACAATTTCAGGTATGCGTTTGAATTCGATTGTGTGTGGGATTCGGGACACGCCTCACGTGGTTAGTCGGTCTTGGGTATAAATATCGTCAGCTCCCTCGCGACGTGCAACAAAAACATTTTTCTTATACTATTCTGTGAGGTGGGCTGATGGAAGTGTGGGCAGCAACAGATCGATCGATTATATACTAGCATGATATCTTCTATTACTACATATTTCTGCAATGTGTAGGTTCGCTTTTGCGAGAGGTATTTATGTGATTTCAAAAATCCTCCATAAAGTAAGATCTGGTAATGATTGTATATACTTTATGAGTGGAAGTCTTAACGGCAAGGGACATTCCCTAGCTTCGGGGAGAAAGGATTAATTCTTGGTCATATTCCTCGACACTAGTGGGTGGAAGGTGTAGATGCATTTATACCACCCTTGAGGTTCGAAAGACAAATTGTATTGTTCGAGATCTTCTTGCCATGTCCAAGAAGATGGACGAGCTCGATCTATTACCAAAACTTCACCTTCACACTTTCACCTCACCTAAGTATTTCACATATAACCACTACAAAATTCACCAGCTCTCCTACTGCTTCGTCATTTACTCTCATCGCTCATCAACCCAATATCGGTTGTCCGTATAAATAATGACTTTCTGTTATTTCCTTTAGACTAATAACTTGCATCCCAGCAAAGTTTACTATTCCCAATTTCACAACCGACTTCGTATATTATAAACGCACGCAGGCTGATGCGCATCTCATTCTCCGTCCTCCCGCTAACGCAAATAAGTAAACATTCGAACCTGCATGAGAAGAAATCGAACCCATCGTTCTATAGATCAACATCCAAACTCGGCTTATAATCTCACTCATAAACTCTGGACTAGAACTACAGTGTATCCCCGGAATGCTAAACTGATTTACGATGGAATGAATAATGAACCAAAATTGTTTGATTGTTGGCTGTTTCCGTCACCTCTTGGATGTCAATTGATTCTCTGGATCTGGGATTCTGAGTGAGTAGCGCGGTGGCTGCTTATACTACGATACAATATAGAGTACGTAACAATTTATAACATGCAGAACATCTTCATTTCACGCTCTACTATTCACTTACAAATAGCTTTATCACTTGAAATCTATTAAGATCGCTAAAAGCCTATGTTTTCACACGTAGCTAGGCTTATCATCCTTACTCGGGTGTTCCAATCTTTATTTCAGAGTCGGGATCATGACATATCGAGGTTTATCTAAGCCGTCCTTTGCAGAACAACTTACCACCTCGAATATTTTCTAAAACCAGTTGCCTATTGCCCGTCTCACTTCACAACTACCTAATATCGATTAATCGTCTATCTCATTGACCACTCGACACATAATTTTTTGGACGATTTCAATGTTGGTGAAAAAAAGCACCGCAGATCGAACAGAGTTTACGCTGAGTCCTCGTTCTACAGCGGCCTCCTCATTCCACGTCTTCGTCAATATCGACAGCACATTCGGAATCCAAACCGCTAGATTCTTGCGTTACTAGTCACTACATCGTGCTCGACCTCTGTAAGAGTAGATGCGATGCTCGAGTATACCAAGGCAGCCTAATCACCACCTAAAAGCCAAAAGACATGGTATTTGACCATGCCATTAACAACATCTTATCCCCCGGCGGTTCTATCCAGCATACCGTCATTCCATCCTTGCTCGCGGCCGGTTTTTGCAAGTTTCCAGTTACTGACCTTCTCATGCCAATGTTACGAATACTGCTCTCGGTGGTGGTGGCAGAGAATTCAGTCTCGCAGCATAGAGATAATGTCCGGGTTAGGCGGATGGGTTGAAGCTAGGAAAACCAAGATGGTATTGGAGTTTGGGGATGTGGATAAGGCGCGTGAGGAGTTTAGGAAGGAGGGAGGAGAAGGGGCTGGGAGGAAATTATTGTTAGGTTTTCGCTTTGAGATTAAGGATTCGAAGAGCTGTTTGTCTGTCAAGTATTTTATGTGGAAATTATATCACTCCTTGAAAGCGGAGTTGAAGATTATATGGTGATGTACTTCGTATCTGAGAACGTAGAATCTCCGCTGAAGATTTTTAATATTCGTACTTTATACTATGCTGTCAGATGGAACTGGTACCAGAAGTGTAAAGAGCTTCTAAGATAAAAAAGTAGAATTGTCACGCAAACTGCAATTCCGACATCTCACTTCCTTCTATGTCTAACTTGGTCAATCTTCACTTAACCGCTCACTACTCACTTCACACACCTAGAGTAGGATCTATAGACAACCAAAAATTCAATGGATTCATTCATTCCTTTCCTCTACTTCCTCGATGTCGTCCCAAGCACAACGCACTATTATTCACATTCTAGGGTCCTGAGGGTCACTGCCAAACCCACCCCATCCCCAAGTTCAACCGCACTAAACCCCCACGCCCCGGCTCGTGCCGCCGTCAACCACCACCACACAACAACCTCTCCCTTCCTCGTTCCCAATCCATTCCACCAACATAAAAACCCCCCGGTCTTTAGAGTCCGAATACACAACACAGCACACCACATTAACCATTACATCACCCCTTCAACCCATCACCCAATCTCATCTTCACCTGTGCCTAAACGATGCACACGCCCTAAGACCGATGCGACCTCATCCTTACCGCCCATCAAGCCACCGACCTCACCGTGCATGTCGAAGGATTCGACCGGGTGTGATTGGTCGGATGAGTACTTCCGGCGTTTGTGTGTCATGATGACATGGGGGGATATGTTTTGGGGCGTTGGTTTGATTCGCGGAGGGTTATGGCTTTTGGACCCTGAGTTTCTTGGCGGGGGACGTGGAGGGCATTGGATTGAGATGTAAGGACACTAGGTGGGAGCAGGGGCATAATGACGGTGGTGAGGTGAGAAAATAAGTGAGCGAAGGGAAGTAAGATAATGTAGAGAGCTTGAATTTGTGTTAATATCCCGCAAATCAAACGATCAAAGTCGAAGTATACAGATAACCTCTAATCCCACAAACAACCTACATTGAATTTGCCTACCCAATCACCCACTCCACAGCCTCAAATTCAGCCTATAAACCTCCAAAATCGGACCTCCTCCAGATCAGACAAAAGCCCTCGTTTCAGAATAAAACACAATCCGTCAAGGCTATATAAATTTCAATCGAATGAAAAGTCGACACCGCTGGCACTGAGGTCATGAGTGTAACCCCACCCCACCCCACCTTCCCAGGGAATAAGGAGGAGGGGTGGTATATCCGGTGTATAACATACAAATCTCTAGCACCGAATAAAAAAAGAATGAAATATTCAATAGCTAGATAGATATCATTTCACCAAGTACCTAGCAAAATACCACCGAGAAAAGAAAAACACACAAGATAGAATAGAGATTTCCCACGTGCCCATCCTCTCACAAGAAACACCATCAGGTCGCCGATGTAACCGATCGCTTCGTGATCAAGTGCCCGAATCTTCATCACTCCAGTACCACTCGTGAAGATACAAAATGGTTTGCCCAATGACAGCAAATTTCTGCACCCAATGGAAATGATATTTATGATTGAAGCGGCTTGGCTGATTTGATGGGAATAGTTCCCGTCGAATGGATGAAAAAGACGGTGTGAATGCGGAAGGTGACACAGGGGGTTGGGAATCCTTCGCGTGAGAAGTTTACCGCGAATGGGATGAATGTGTTGTCAAGCAAAAAGCCTTGGGAATAAATTTTGGAACCATTCCAATTGGAATTGACCTTTCGATTTGAAGTCACGCTCACTGTCTGCTTTGTCCTAGATTGATGATTTAAATCTTTTTATATATTTTAATATTGACTTTGATATCTCGAATACTGATTATCTATTATGTAGCGACTGTATAAATGAGTAGTCCTTCTGACCAACCCACGGGGTATATATGACAGTGAGAGTGAGACCATGAAAAAACCCGCTAATCATACATCCTCCCTCTCTTCATCAAGGCATCTGCCAATATCGCAGGCTGCCGTACCGGAACTCCTGTAGACAAAAACCCAACAGAGATACTCAACTCGAGTGAATCCCATCCCAAGCAAAAATGTTTCGCAATCATCTAAATAGGTCGGAGGATGCAGCCTCGACTCTAAACGACAGTATCTGAAGCGAATCATCTATCAAGCCGTAACCCCAACAAAAGCTCCATGCTGTACAACTAGGGACAAGAACAACTTGAACCCAACAAATCGGAATATAAACACGCGAATGGGAGGGATATCGCAACGAGAAAAAACTGAATAAACATCGTTCGGCGGAGGAAGTCGTCTCCTTTTTTGCGCTTTTCTACACCATGATAGTGTTATGACGTTTCTGTGATTTTACAATCGGAATCGAGGTCGTAAGAATGCTCAATCATCTGAATGATGGTCCTCGGACCCAGCTTCTGACATCGCTTCCCCTTTGTGGACTTTGCGATGTCTTCTTAAATTGGAGACGACGGAGAAATGTCTACCGCAACCTTCAACTTCACAGCAGAATGCTAAATGATGTTAGTCTTGACTCAGATTATTCCAAGATGATTGCTTACGCTTCTCGCCTGTGTGGCTGTACATGTGCGTTTGTAACGAACTTGGTCGCGTAAACCTCTTGTCGCAAACCTTGCACTTGTGTTTCTTCTGTGTGCTTGATGATACTTTTGAACTGAATTGACCCATCATTGACTGAGGCGCTGGCGGTAAACCATTGCTCGAAGCGAAGTTTGATGGCCTTGGAAGCGTCCGTGACGAGACAGACTCAATGTCTGAACCGGCATTAGAATAATCGCTAACCGATGAATCTACCGATCCACTGTTGAAATATGAAGGATAGTTCGACGATGATGAAATCGACGAACTTGATGAATGCGCTGGTGGAAACCCGTACGAATCACCTGATCCTCTTCCAACACGTCCTTGCGCTCCATATATATTTCTTGGTGTCGTATTCTGGCTCATTGCGATCATGCCTCTGCTCGCGTCAATGGCATCGCCAAAGCTTCGTGTCTGATCATTTGGCATTCCTCTGTCGTGAAAGTCAATAATTGAGTTTTGACGTTGGAGGCGTTCCTCCGAGATGTCGGGGTAAGAACTAGAACTTGAGGCTACTGACGGGGTGGAGGATAGACGTCTTGTGTCTTGGTGTGAGATTGCGTATGTTGATCGTACCGGCGCAGGCGCATATCCCATAGCGTCATATGGTGACGATGTTGGTGGGTAATTGCTGTGAACAGGAGAAGACGCATTGCCATAGAGAGCTTCGGCTGCAAAGCCAGTCGGACGAACAGGACTCAGTAACTGATCTTGGGACATGGTGAGTAAATCCTGCGTGCCATACGCGTCTGCTAAGAGAGAGCTACCTGCTGATGCCGCGCTGATGGGTACGCCAGCATATGATCCCATTGAAGCTTGTTGCTTCGCAATACCATCCAGTCCGACATTGGTCGGTAGGCCGTGAGACTGAGCGTAGATATCTTGGCTCTGAGCTGGCGGCGACTGTGATGTCCACGGGTTGGTGAACTGTGGTGGGTTGGTATAAGGCATGTCGAAGTTCAATCCACCGAAGCGTTGCTGGTTGTCGATAGCCATTGTCATCTTCAAGGAAGATCTTTAACAAGATTGACAAAGATGGGATTCGAAGGATGGAGTTTCGAAGATACGTGGATCAGATGCAGGATCCCGTAAGAAAGTTCGTGTTGCACGGTATGGACCGAGGAAGAATGGCAGTATGGGGAGACGATCAGTTTGTCTCGAAAGATGGGATCGGCGTTCTTATGTGCTTGTCAGTGCACAAGTGTGTGTCGAGCAGATGCTTTGGACCTGGTTGGCTAGGGTCGAGTAGAGTTTCTGTGGACAGCAAAGGCGGTTCGTTTGGAACGAGTAGGAGAATAGTGAGTGGGTGCCGGTGGGAGTGGTGGGAGGACGTGCTTCGGTATGCGTGCCTCAGAAATGACCTCTTCTCAACTTTCGGGCAAGATCGACAGCAGTCAAGCAGCTGTCTAATTCCCCTAAGAATGCGGTCCTGCCTTAAACTTTTCTGCTAAGACTTTTTGCTCAGAGTTTCTGCTCTGGGTGTAGTCCGCCTTTCGATGCTGGTCGCAATTTATCGTCTGTTTACACCCTTGATCGCAGTCGTCCAGCTGTCAGATGGTGCGGTGATCGTCTGGGTAGAAATGCCAGCTGCTCGGTGGTGGTGTCGAAGCGGTGCAACGGTTCTCCAGGAGGATGGATGTGTCTAAGAGCAAGCGTGTTTGAAGATGCTTGAATGACAAGGAGTAGTGATGTTTAGATCAATATTGAGGACGATCTTGGTGAACAATTGGAGACGTGAGGATGGAGATTCGAGGGATGAGGGAAGTATATGGACGATCTTGAATTCTGGTGGGGGGGCAATTGCCTTTACATAAGAAGTCCTGGACTGACGTTGTCGAGGAGGTCTTGGTGGTCGAGGAAGTCCCTTGTGGCATCGACAAGCCAAACCTGTTAACCACCGACCCTGGTACGGTACTTCTGGGACCTGCCCCTCGCATCCTAGCCGTCGAGGTCAGCCAAGAGCCAGTGGCTACAGCACCGGACTAGGGAGGGGGTAAATGGTTGCACTGAAAGCCACAGACCTAAAAGCGCCATTTGATTAATTGCAGTCGACCCTTTTCCCTTTGGTCAGTCAACCCTTTGGTATGCGGGTAGCGTCGATGTCTCACGCTCTCCCATTCGATTGAGAGGATTGGTGCTAACTGCATTCAACTCCCTACATCCCCATCGGGACGAGCAGTCCTGAATTGCATCATGTTTTCGATGTTTTCACCCCCGCGAGTTCTCACTGTGCTGTTTCTATACGGGATTCCGGTACCTTCGTACCGATGATGCTCTCCAACGCGCCAGGACGGGGACACAAATGGCATGCAAAGTATGCGATCATCGTGCTGGGTCCCGGCGACCATTGTGTCGTCTTTCCTTCGTCGTGTGTGGTGAATCCGTCTGTGCTTGCTCGTCTGGCAGTTCAACACTGCAAGGTGGTTGCAAATCGGGGTGGACAGAGCAGAAGCAGAAGCAGAGACATCAGCCTGGCGGAGTGGAATTAGCATCAAAGGGGAAGCGCTGTCGTCGGTGGTGGAGCGTAGCGGGTCCGAAGGGCTCCATCGAGCGAATCACAAACTCGGAGTGGACCCGCAACGTCAGGGCGGTGTGGGTGCAGACTATCCGCTTTCCTCTCTCTCCTCACTCCTCACTCCTCGTCCCAAACGGACTGTGGTCACCCTGAGCCCTGGGGTCTCTCGTCGGTGGGACGGGGGCCGAAGACATGGGTTTTTGGGTGCAAGTCGTCATTTTCAAGAATCAAGTTGAGCCTCGTCCAATCAGCAAGAGGTCGTCCCGCCGGGGCAGAGGAAGTGGGTCGAGATTTATGGGCGTCATCTTCAGCCCTTGCACCTGACTAACCTTCAACAAGTGGAAGAGTCGAAGAGTCGAAGACAACGAGGGGGACCGGGGAACCAAGCAGACTGAACAAGAGCTTGTGAACGAGCTTACTCGAGTACTTTCTGAAAACACCACACGATTCAAGCACGGATCTCAAGGGTCCTTGGACTAGTCGCACCTATCAGATATCCCCAGAATTGTGGTTCCCGGCTGGTGACGGCGTCGGTTGCTGAACCTTCAGCAGCTAAACCAGCACCAGTAATTGCACTTTCTCCGCGATGGGATACCGGTTCCCTGGATGCTCAAATACAGAGGTGACGGGTGCAACAGTGACAAGTGACTCGTGGGCACAACACCAAATTCGTGGTACTCGAGGTACGATATATTTCCCCAAACCACCCTGAGCCTCTCACCAGCCTCTATCCCAGCCTCTGAGGACCCCGAATTCTCTCTCCAGTGCAAGATGACGAACGAACTATCCAGCAGCCAATGACCGCTGCAGCAGTCAGAGAAGGCGTCTGCAACCAGCACTGGTGGCGTCGGGCTTGCAGAGGAGGTGCAGGCGCCACGAAATCATAATTAATTATTATCGGTTATTATTATTATTTTATTAATTAGTATCAGTTATTGCCAGTTGTTATCACTGATGGAATCTGGTCACTTGATTTCCATCTCATCTCCAGCCTTGATCGCATGCTTGGGCCTTCTCACCGAAGCGGCCAATAGCCTCATTTACGATGGCAGCTTCTGCCCAATTCAACACGACCACAACCACGATTGTGGAGATCATGAACAAGTCATTCTGCTCCCACTCCTTGCCGGGAAAAAGCAATTGCTTGGGAATGGGAACCCGGAAGCTTGGACTGCCACTCTCCTTATCTTCAATCAATAAACTTCGTCCCTGAAAATAGGGCTCGCCCAATCAGCGCATTCCCCGGTTACCAAATCGTCAAATCTAAGCCTCCTTTTGCGCCTTGCGCGCAAGAAGAGGTTTGTATGGTTGGCCGCTTCTCACATCTCAGCCTTCCCTTGAAACAACCGGTGGAAGCACCCTAGCATCGATGCTTCCGCCGATCTATTGCACTTTTCACACCTCGGCATGCATCTCAGGGCACGACCCGAATGTCACTTCCACCCGCTCGAGGGAGGTTGCCGGTGGCAAATCCACTTGGTGTCTGCTGAAGTTACTTGGTGAAATGGGACTTCGATAGTGAGGCAGCATTGCGCCGATTGGATTGGGTATTTTCAGCGGATTGTAAAAAATGCAAAATGCCCAACGAATCATGCCGTGAGCTAATCCCCATGTCTTAGATGACGGGTCGATCCATCCGCTGGCAAATGGTCACGGCCGCACGGAGCGCAACTACCTTTGCTCCATCTTTGCTAGTCGGTGCATTGGTGTGCGCCAAAGGAATGAGTGCATTAGAGGAGCTTGGCGAGTATTATGTTTCAGATGGCATGTTGTTGACTTTATCTCTGTGTAGGTTACCGTCAGGTCACGGTTTATAGGTAGGTCATGATTATGATAGCTGTTGAACTATCTACCTTCTCAGCATGCTACAATCAAGTTGAATGCCTAGACACTTTGAGAATCTTACAGTGTCGTTGACGGCCGGACACTTACTCCTACAGCACTAGATCACTCGACACGCACAATACCCAAATGCGAACTGCTGTACTAAGTAAGTTGGGTTCTGCACCATCAAGCCCACGGCTTGCCATGCCAGATCCAACTGCACAGTAGGTCAGATCTAAGCAAGGATCCAGTTCACATACCACTTTTGAGGCTTTTCTTTCCAACCTACTCAACGCCAACCGCTGGCAGTTTTCTCTGTGGCTTCTGGCACTACGACTCAAAACTGCTGTCCAAGGCCTACACTACTCAGGATATCCCGTTTGGCTCACGCCGGGTCTGAGGTTGGCCGAAAACAAAACAAACTATCAATTCCTCTTCTCCACACTTTGGCTTTCCTCTGCCAACGATTTCGCGAATTCGAGCGCTTGTCAAGTGAGGCTTGACGCCATTCTCGGGAAAGCTGTAGATCCGGACGGCAATCACAAGTTCGGTGGGTATTGGTGGCTGGCTGGCTGCGAAGTGTACGGACCACCAGGTCGCTCGAGAAACCAACGGTTTCCCTTGCGGAAATTTTTCTCCTGACGTTCGGCCAAATAGTCTGAAATATTGTGACAGTTATTTACTAGGTTTGTTGCCGTCCAAAGATGCTTTGCGTTACGGAACATGGGATTATTCAACTTGTCGGGATGGGAAATGTTAAGATTGAGGTGGTGCTGGGCAGCCCCCAATTTGAGTCCCGTGCGAGAAGCAATCATGCAGTTGAGAAGATCATCCAATCAGCAATTCACAAAGTGTCGAAACACACAAGGCCCCTTGTTTACTGATGGATGGGGAAAATCAACAATGCCGACTCCACTTGACAACGACAAGACTGTCTTTGCATCGCGCTATTCGACCTTCACGGGGAAGCTTGTCAAAGTTATCACAGAAGACTCACATTTCCGCGGGAACAACACGGGGTTGCAATTGCCAAGAAGTGTACGCGTCCTCACTGGAGATGTTTGTATTAACTATTCAACAAGCTCGTTGTTAGTCTCTGTATGAATCGCAAATCGTGATGACGGTAAACCCCGCGGTTCTAACAGCACCAGCTCGTGCTGAGCTGTCTCGAGAAGACGATAGGTCCCAAAGCGGAGTTCCAGTAAGGATTTAGCCTCTAAAAAGAGCGGACAAATTAATAATACCAAGGAAGCACCGACCATGAGTTCCAGGTCTTATTTTCTGTACAACTGATAACACGATCGTTGTGTGTATCTTATTGCGGAGATGGCCTTTCCGAAAAAAAGCCACGCAGCGCAACATGTCCCCTCCCGAGACCCTCATAAACTCTCCTCGATGGATGCAAAAACCGTCACTTACAAGGTAATTGTCTAACCCTAGATAAAATAATCACCCATTGTGAAAGATGAGGAAGGATCACGAAATCTAATCTCCTTTTTCATCCGCGGCTCCGCCAAGAATGTAAATGGTTATATCACACATCTGCGGTAAGACATCAACACATGATGATGGTCGCCGACGTGAACCATACCCTTGGGACCCGACGGAGGAGAACAAAACTCCGGGTGTAGGTGATGGGTGTTGGACAGAGCACGAGTGAGGGAGGGACAGGAACACGACAATTCGGAAGAGGAACCGAGGATGTTATTTTGCTTGGGAATTTATTTTTTGTTGAGAGCGCGGGTTTAGTTTCCCGGACGAGCAAATTCGACATTATTTTTGTGATACCACCGCCGCCAAACAGCAAAATACGTTTTCTGCCCTACGCGCAAGGCTCCAAGGCAATTCTTCATCATTGATTTGAACTTCGCACAGACAATCGATGAACCCGGTACTTGCTCCTCCTCATCTCTGCATCTCGTGATCCCCGCAAATGCGAAATTGCCAATTCAGATAACTAACCCGCATCCAGAAAGTTTCGTGTTTCACATCTTCCCCAATGGTATCTCACCCTGGTCTCCCTAATCTCAAAGCACAGAAGTTAGCATGGTTGATTGGTGCGTCCCCACCGGCACTTATGGGCCGCGGGGAAGATGGCAACACGCAAAGGGAAAGGAAATCGGTGATCTGGACGGCGGTGGGTAGAGCCGAATATACCGCCGAGTGGTGGAGAGGGTTGTTTATATCAGATTCGGGAGGATGTGATGGAGTTTTGGGGAGACGGATTGGGAGTGGGAATTGGAGGTCGGATGGATAGGGATTGGGTATTTGTGGGGGTCGCGGCAAAAGAGGAAGATGGAATTTACTGGAGTGAGGGGGTTGTGACTGGACTGGGTCGGGTGAGTGAGTGAGTGAGTGGAGTGGATTTGAAGGATTTGGATTTGTGATCTACAGATTGAGAGTATTGGGAAAGAGAAGGTCTGTGAGGGGATTCTCGAGTGGGTTACACGATCTGGACTTTTGAGAATGTTTGGAGTAGTGTTGAGGTGTGGGAAATGGGATGGTTGGGAAGGGAAAGAGGGTAAGTGTTTATCGTGATTATGGATTTGTGAGGTTGAGGGTTATTGGTGTTTCTATATACAGAGTGAAGTTTTACGATACCCAGTTCCACAACTGCAGGAATTTTTCTCCTTCTTTCCTACTTCTATTTTTCTCAACCATTTCTCGTCTTTCTATCCGTTTGAAGTGAAGTGCTATATGACTATGGCAAGGCTACCAAAACCACATTCTTTTCATTCAAACATGCTTCTCCCTAACGTACTCTCTGTGGATTGGCCGGAACAGTCTCATAAATTCTTCAGCAAATTCCACGGGAGGAATGAGAGTGGTGAGGAATGTTGGTCGTGAGACCGGATGAAGCCGTCTTGTTTAGAATCCCCAGTTAGACGTGCAACATATTTCTAATAAATAGAATATTAGTATAACTTTGTGAGTACTGACCAAGTTTCTTACTTGATACTTATTAGAGTAATCCTCGTAAGCAAGACTTAATTTTGCACTTGGCATCTGTCAAGAGCCCAAACAATCGTATAACGAAGAGTGATTTATACGTGTACATGTCACTTGCGACGTAGGCAGAAGATTTTATCATTTGGAGTTCGTCTTCTTGATTACTGGATTTTCTGGGACTTCTGTAGAGAGAAGCACTTGTCGCTGAGATATCCATGCTGAAGTAGTTTATTGGTTCGAGATAGGTGGAATGGTTCAACTGTATCACACGGGGAAAAACTGAATGCTTTCGACTGATATTGTTACCTGCTAGTGTCTGTTAAGATTTTCGTTAGAGTCGTAAAGTACGGTTTCAGTTTTGACAGTCCCTTCCAAACAGTTTCCGCCAACATGATGAGCATCCTAGTATTTGGAATGGCACATCGTATCAAGACGTCTTTTCTTAGTTCTCTAACCCGCTTCTCATTTGACGATGGCTTTTCTTCTGAACCACATCGCCATCACAATCTCACATACATACATGCTCCATTGATGGCAAAATGTCTCTTTTTCCACGCTCAAGCCTGAAAGATTGATAGATGTTTAACTCTTCCTAAGTTGCGTCTGAGTAAGGAAGAACATCTCACTTCATCAATGATGAAATAAGAGCGCATATCGAGAATACCCAACGTCTTTTTACATACCTGCTTACTGCTCATCTGTGATATCACTCTTTTCAATTAGCGTACTCGTAAGGAAATCATCTCACTTATAATTTGTCAGGAGTTAATACTTCATATCAATCAACACTCAATACCTTTATATACTTCGCTCATCCGTGATAGGAAAGGTCCCAGACTTTAGCCTCGAAGTCTAATGATCGAGTTCTAGTAATGTTGCACATGACGCTCAACGAGACACTGTTCAAATCCACGGTATCAAACACCCACAAACTCAAAAATAATTAACAACGACGTTCTTGGAGACGTGGAATAAAACTTCCCACCATCAGGGATCCTACTATCCACTTGTACTAAAACACTACTAACAATCCCCATGATACTGGACAGTATTCAAACATCTCTTTCATTTTTGCTAGACTGACTGTCCTTTCGCTTTTCAGACTCTGAGGCCTCAAGTTAAATCGCCGGGGGTACGCTTACGATACCAGCTTTTCGGTGCGAAGGGTGATGCCTCCACACGTTGTACGCACTTGCCATGATCTAGAATTTTGGGATAAAAACGTTTTCAGTATCATCAACGCTACAATTACACGGTAAGATGCTACTCTTTTAGTATATTCTATAATAGCATAGTATCAATACAATTTTGCGGCTTGCAGTGATGGAGTCATGTATAAGCATCGTACAAATGAATAAAAAGCTATTCCTCGGGTATAATTAGTTTGCTTATTTTACATTTGCCCAGTATCATACATCAAATTAGATGGACGCCATTTCCTTCCCTCCAACCATCCTATCCATCCATGCCCTAAATAACAATCGCCAGCTCAGGTCTATCCATTCTCTCGTCATCCAGGTTCGGATAGTAAGGTACAATTGCATCGGCGGACTGAACGTAGCAGTCATTATATAATCGCTATTCCCAAGTTAGTAAAGTATTCCTAAGGTTCAGATTGTAGGAGGAGAACTTACCCAGTATGGTTGCCTCACCTTCCGCGCTGGATGGAAAAGACCTGCCCAAACGTAATTCATCGTTAGACCAGGACCGACCGCCATACGAATTGCATCAATGGCCTCGATGATTCGATCGATGACGTGGGGACTTGTTTCGAAGAGATTAGGATACAAGAGATTGAGAAGATGCAACATTGCGTCTTCACATCCAAGTCCAACCACACCCAGCGCAACATGCTTGACTACAGAAGCAGCAGTTTGACGATGGACTTGATCTCTGTCGATAAGAGCATCTTCGAGTAGTGGGGTGACGGCATAAACATAATCCTTTGCCATCTCACCAATATATTCGAATAGGAAAGAGAGCGATTTTAGAACTCCGTTTTGTACATTCAGCTCAGGAACTCGATATTCGTTCATCAATGCTGGCAGGACAGTGAAGGGTGCGCAAGTTTCCGCGACAATACCGATAGCGACGGCTGTACACACACGAGATTGACGTTCTTGAACTCTCAAGTTGTTAAGAAGAGTCGCTAGTACATCTTGCGGACCGATAGCTTTGGCGATGAAACCAAATGTGTTATTTGCAGCTCTTCGAATTCCCTTCTTATGAGCTTTCAACATGTCAAGAAGTTCGAAGCAAATTCTCATCCATTCTCTTGCATTGACACTCTCAGGGCCTCGATCTGCGATTCGACCAACAAGGTCAATGGTGTTTTCTTGCACCTTCTCATGTCTGTTACGGAGAATTGGCGTGAGTCGAGGAAGAAGATCCTTGATAGGAGGTTGCATCTGACTGATACCAACCACCGTAACAATGGAACGTAGCGCACCGAGAATTGAACCAAGAACCTCAGGGTACTCTTCTCCCAGGTACTCATAAAGAACGATACCAAGTTTGCCCATCAAGGCGTCCTCACCACATTGCTTCATGACCATGGCGATTCGAGAAATAAGGTCTGCGGCTTGTTGTCGGACAGTGGCAGACTTGTTGTTCAGCCTCCAAAGGATGGTACTTACAATCTGCGGCAGATAGTCCTTGCAACGTGTACCAAGGGCGTTCACAACAGTACCGAAGCCATTAAGCATGACGATATCCTCGACACTTTGTTCCTGGAAGGAGTGTAGTATACCATCAATCAGCCGTGTCTCCAATCTCTCCCCGATACTGGCAGCTCCTAAACTCGCAACGACCTTCTCCACTGTTTCCACAGTCATTTTTCGATATGCCTCGCTCTCATCCTTCAAGTTGTTGACAATCCGCTCGACAATCTCTCCGACGCCGACTTTTTGGCCAAGGTCAACTGTAGTTTCTACGACCTGCCTGTAATTTCGCTTATCCAAAGCCATTCGACGAACCCAGAAGCTCTTGAAGAATTCATCCAGAACGTGTTCCTTCAGGTATCCAGCAGTCACACCATCAGTCCCAGCGCATTGGGAGACGACTTTCAGCACAACCTTCTTCATCTCCTCGTCTGGTGAAGAAAATTCTCTGAGCAGAATCTCCATGATCTGACTAGTGTAGTAATTGGCATATTCTTCGTCCATCAACGGAATGATATAGCCAACGGCCTTCAAGAAACCAGCCAACCCCTTTCCTCGCTGCTTTCGTGCTCCTGTCCACAAAGGGTTGAGAATTTCATCGAAACTTTCGATACCATAAGGATTTGCGGCCTCCGCTAACGCTGCAATCGCCAAACTAGTAACAGTTCGTACTTTGGTTTGATCATCATTGAGATTTCCGCCAATGCAATCGACAAGTCCTTTCAAATGCGGTAGCACAGCACATCCCATCAGAATGGGAATCTGCTGAACGATCTTGACACCGGTATGTCGTGCTTGCCAAGATCTTTTACTTCTACAAACAGCACGTAAGAAGGGAAGAAGTGCTGGAATACCGAGTGCAGAGGCAACAACAGCAAAAGCTCTTGCCGTAGTGTTTCGTACGTACTCATCGACGTGGTCAATATCAGGTCGCATAGTACTAATCATGTGTGCTAAGCCAGCGGCTTTACTAAGGTTAGAAATGATTTCTCTACCCTCAACTCGCGCATAGTAGTCTTGATCAATCAACAGTGGTTCAATGACCACCAAAATTTTATGGACATACGGTCTGACGAGCTCGTCAAGTTTGTATAGAACACGGTCGATGACTTTGACCAGCAAATGTCGCTCTTGATCTTCCAAAGTCTTCTCCATAAGGAGTGGTAAGATTTGATTGAACAGTGGTCCAGCACCGAATTGTTTCGCGTTATCAGTGAGTTGACGAAGTGCGGTTTTCCTCATAGGGGGAGTACCATTCTTGACCTTAAGTAACAAGCGCATGATTTTCCGTTCCTTGAGCTCTTCCACGCTCATGGCATTCTCGTCACTGCCATCTGTAAGCTTGCCGAAATATGCCATGTCTTCTGCCTTGAAGAATTGAAGATCACCAACACCCGGAATCTCGGTTGGAAGCTGTTTCCCCAAGGCTCTGCCGCTGTCTGGATCCTGCATCATGAAGCCTCCAAAACCAGCCGCACCACCAGCAGGAGTCGGAGTCGCCATCATTTTCTGCGAGACCGTCCGAATGGGCGCGTATCCAGGAGGGGGATCAAGAATTTTGTAGCCCTCAGATGGTAACATCATATCAAGATCTTCGTCCGACCATGGGGCATTTCGCTGTGAGATATCCGTACCGAATGCTGTTGGTAAGACTGGGCCTCCCATTTGTGAGGGATGCATTGGAGTCACGAGTCCTTGATTGCCCATCGGTGTAGCTGCAGGAGCTTGATCCCATCTCGACCGTTTCCGAGGCGTCTGGTCCACGGAAGCTGCCCCGGGAGCAGGTGTCTGATCCCATCTTGACCGTTTGGTCTTCGCATCGGTCGTCGCTGTAGCTGAATCTGCCGAGTCCGTTCCAACATCCCACCTCTTCTTTCTTTTACGGCCTGCTGCCGCTGCCTCCGTAGACCCTGATTCCTTGTTCTCCTTATCACTTGGTGAGCCACTCCCTTCTTTGACCAAGGTTGCCTTGTGATGTACAACATCTCCATTTGCAGTCTTCTCTTCAATTGCCTTTCTAACCCTGTCCTCTTCTCTTTCTAATTCCCGGCGCGCCATGATCTCCCTATAACTCTCGCCATCCTCCGAAGCCCCAGCCTGCCTATTTGCAGCGAAAGCGTCAGCTCTAGTAGGTGTCAGGACACGGTCCAGTCGACGTTTCTGATAGTCAGTTTCACGGTCCGCAATCCGCGCACTCTTCTCCCTTCCAAGGAGAATATCTTCTTCCTCAACGCCGTTGCCATGCGCGAATTCGTTCATTTGCTCCTTCGACGCCGTGTACTGCCCAACCAGCCTCCTACTGGTATCTTCCTCCGCATCATCGTCGTCGCCATCAGCAACAGCGATAGAAGTATTGTAGCCGGCGAATTTGTCAGATGAATCGCGCTCGTAAAGGGTGGTATCGAAGCTTTCGGTCAGGGAAGCCTTGGTGGATACATCAGTTCGTTGATTAGACGGATCAAACGTCTTCGACCCCTTCTTACCAGCAGAAGCGGCATTCCGCTCAGCCTGAAGCTTCCTGATCGTATCAAAGTCGCTATCAGACATTGTTGCGTCGTGTTGCTGCGATAGTATGGTGAAGGGAGGTTGATGGCGACGTTCGGGTAATCGCGTTGCCAGAAAATCTGGCGATCGAGGGACCAGTCGACGTCACGTGATAGCCATCAAATGTTTGAACATGACCCGTTCACTCGACTTGCAATACCAATAGGGCTGAGCCATTAGGCGTCTAACTAACAGTGAGAGACTGTAAAGCGGCCCCCCATAGTTTACTATCATTTCAAGAAGATAAATGGCTTGCACACAAGGCTGATTTTAATGTACATCACGTAAATACTTGCTCCGCCTTGTAAGTCGAAGGAGCAGCTCTCTTGGCGGACATAATTACTTAGTACAGGTGCAATCACTCTCCCTCTTAAACCAAATTTAATTTTGAAATGTGAAGTTCCTGCCTAGACAAATTTCCAAGCAAAAATGTTCTTCAAAAAACCAGCCGCCTTAGAAACAGAGTGCGCCTCAGCGAAAGACGATCTGAGCTTGAGCTCATTGCCTCCTACAACGCATGCTCTGATGAATGAAGAACGAGCAGAGCGTTTAAGAATTCGGAAAGAAAAGCATGCCGCAGCCACCAAGCAGAAGGAAAAGGAGTACAGGAGAAAGGAAAAGATATATGATCATGCAAAGTGAGATAACCGACAATCTTTCTGATCCGTGAAAATCTTTCTAACGGTAGAATTTAGTTCGAGTGGAGGCGTGTACACCCAATACTACAAAAAGGATAATGGAAAGATGAATTGGTGGGTCTTTTGTTTCTCGTGAGAGGAGCAAGTATTCGATGTATATTTGGATCGCTTAGCAAGGAGTACTGGCACTTTTGGATTTGGGTAGAAACTTGGGATATTTGATATCATGATTGTATTGGTAGCTGCCAGCACGAAAGCAGTAAATATTTTTAGCTGCCCTGAACCTTGAAAGTTCTTCCACTCGCAGTCTTTCTCTCCCTTTCTTCGTTCTCTGGCCGTGCTCTTCGTAGGACTTCAATCTGTTAGTATTTTGTCTTCACCCTGGAATCAGAATGCATACCTTGCAGGAAATCCGCGGTACGTCTTCGCATCCGTGAGTGAATATATGCCTTTTCAAGCTGTTAATAGGCGTGCGCTTATTATTAAGATACTTTGACCCTACCTTGGATGCTTTGATATGGTAGTGGAAATAGTCTCGGAATGTTTGAATATGGGAAATGACTTCATCTCGTCGCTGTCGGGTCAAATGCCGGGGAAAGAGAACTATGTCTCAAGTTAGCTTGGAGAACGACAATTTTCCATATTCAACATGCGCACCAAATGTCACATAACCGATTTCTCCTTTGCCGCTATCTTTTACCCCAGGTACACCTTGGAGTTCTAAAGGAGGATCGGTTCTAAACAGGACCTGTGGAGCATTCTGGATGGCCCTTCTACGAGCGTCCACAAACTCTTGGATGAAAACCTTTCCAAAGACCCTGTCAGTCTCTTCCCGGAAAATGGTGCTGAATATGACGGTGACTCGGTCATGGCTGGCTTTTATGTAAATGGCTTCTTCGTCGCGATAGTGGATGCCCTTGACCGCCCCTCCTTCCCTGATTCCTTGGGGTGCCTCCTCTGAAGTAAATTTCGATGCTTCCTGCGCTAGCTGGTAATGTTCGTCAAATGCGTGCTCGAATGGCGCTGCCATCGCGTTGCGCTTCAATAAGGAAACCCTTCGAATCAAGTCATCTCGGGCTTCTGCGATGTGGTAGTCAAATTAGCTTGTATCCCGCATCAGCCTTGGAAGTTTCAGTACCTTTATCTTCCGGTAGGTCATCTAGATTGACCTGTACAGAAAAGTCATACCCAGCTTCCGGCGCAATAACATAAGGGCCATATTCTCGCTCGAGGACTTGCTGAGCGCCGTATTGTAGGAGCTCTTTGTAGCACCGTATGTTTATAGAGACGACAATCTTAGACTTGGCTTCTGGTGTGGAAATGTGGAATGTAACTCCATCAAAATCCGATACTGTCTGGTCAATGTTGACTGGAGGGGCTCTGGCGAAGGGATTAGCACAATTGCTTGATTGGAGGGTATGTGCTGTACCCGGAAAACCTCTCTGTCAGCACTGACTGGATCAGCACATTCTGGTAGTCTAGAAGAAGCATGATGGATCTCTAAGTGATCCGTTGGGAAATGCTGAATGAGATTCTCTTGCTTCCGGTCCTGTATGCGTGTACCACTCAGTCGAGGAAGGCTGATGGTTGGTGGTGGGGTGTTCTAGGACCGAATGAGTTTGACCTAAAGCGGTGAGCTGGCAGAAGCTCATCTTCTCTCCAGGGCTGTTGCGCCGGTGGCTTCTCTCCGTTATTCTGCCTTCGTACACCGCCCCGACTCGCACAGCCAATACGCCGAGACTTGGGCTCATAAAGAGTGGTCCTTGGCCCGAGCTTGGAACTCGACGCGATCCGTCCGAAGCTCTCATCGCGGTTCATTAATTACCCCAGTACGCCCACTTAAACTTTGCTGGGAGCTCTTGCGTTTGTACCGCAAATAATCAACAACAACATCACTCGGTTTCGCCTCAACCGCTCGAATTTTGCTCTTTTGACTTCCGGATGCTTCGGAAAACTTTTGTCCGGGCGTGAGCAGTGTTTTGGATCACAATAATGGCACCCAGAGTCAAAGACGGCGAGGTAGTACTCGCATTTTCTGGCAAATGGGTGTCTTGGACACATACAATCGTTGCTTATGGTAAATATCTATGATTATAGTTTCACATTTGCTAAGCATCTGCTAATGCGACTCAAGCTGCCTTTCTTAGCGCTCTCGTCGTTGGCGTTTCGTTGCATTACCGTAAAATCGTTCAGAATGAGCACTGGGGTTATCCAGAGGAATGGTTTCCCTCAGTTTCGGCGACAATTGGCGACAGATACCCAGAGCGGTCATTTTTCATGGTCTTCATAGCCATCACATCAGGTATGGGGTACTGTCATGCAAAAATATGCAGCCTTTGATGAAAAAGCAGGCCCTCGATTTGTCCTCGTCGGTTTATGGTACTTACTCACTGCTCGACCAAACTCTACCCTTCCCAAATTCGTCGCATTTACTGGGCTTTTTCGGACGCTTACTTGTGGAGGATGGACTTACGTCACCTCGACGGATGACCACGATTGGCACGATATCTTTATGATTTCATATTTGGTTGCTACACTGCCATGGACGATAGGCTGTCTCGCCTTGAGCCCCGAAAATGCAAAAGCGGTCAAATACCGTAAATATCTTGCCTCTGCATTTTTTGGAACTCTAGTACCTCTTGTATACTACTTCATTCAACACAAGGTCCACAAGGTTGCGGGAGGTAGGTTTTTTCACTTCTTGGGACACTATCCCAAATTTGCGAATAACACTAACAGAAACAGCATACACCAAATACGCTTTCTTCGAATGGGCATTAATATTATTTGATGTTGCCTTTGACGCGGTGACTGCGCTCGATTTTGAAACTTTCGAGCTCGTGGTTAAAGATGTTAAAGGGGCCAGCAAGGGGTACGTTCATTGGCTTCCAAAATAGCCATGTAGGCACATACTTGTACGATTTGTCGTTATAGGGCTATTCTAAAATAACTCATTTGATAGAAACAACAAGATAATAGCCGATGCAGTTATCGAAAAGCAGTATGTGAAAGTGCCCTTGCTAAGAAGGCTACCAAGCTAATCAAAACTTAGAAAGGAAAACCAGGTTGGGCAAGTGTTTGCCCACAAATTTGCATGGAGTGAGGCTATTGATGCAGCAGCTGATGTATACAATGGCGTAAGTGAGCAGCCTCTGTAGACGGAACCTTGCTTACACGGCAGCAGTTTGTTTTTTGGTCAATATTGACCTCTTTGGGGGTTGTCGTATGGTGTAAGTATAGCTTAATGAAGGTGTTGTACTCTCGCTGATAGCAACAGATTTTCCACTTTGGCATATGGGCATTTCTGGTTACGAAATACTGATCATGACTACCATTTCACCTTTTCTGTTGGGCGTCAAATCTGTGCGCTCAATGGTTGTCAAAAATCTACGACTTTGCCATTTACTTTCGTCCTTCGGATTACTAGCGTACCTGGTTGAAAACCCAGTTCTTCGCTTGTTCGTCGTTGGCTTTGCTGTTTGGATGTCGTGCTTGTCATGGGCTGCAACTTGGTATGCTGAAGCGGGTCACCCAGTCAACCTCGAGTCGAGAATTTCTGCGTGGACGATTGGCTTATTAGCTTCGAGCGTCGTGAAATTCGCTTGCCGTACTAGTAATCCAATCTGGCCAATTTCGCATTCTACAAATGGAGGTCTGAATGGTCTTGGCTTCATCGTTGCAGTCCTTTCAGTCCTTCGCTCAACTCGCAGAGGGCCACTAGGGGCTGGCGATCTTACAGCCCAGGGACGTATGGAAGGGTCATCGGTGCTTGCTGGAATGGGAATTGGAGGTATTTTCTTCGGACTACATTCACTACTATCCGATTCGAGCACCATGATCCTTTGGGTATGGGAAGGTTATCCAGTTCGTGGGCCGATAGCGGCACCCCATGGTGCGTTGACCATTGCTGCTATGGGTGCTGGTCTTCTGTTTGGGATTTTCAACGAAGATTTGGCACGTGGGTGGACAACATATGGAATTGGCTGTATCGGTGCCGCGCTCCTTACTACACGCAGTAACTGGACGGGGTACTATGGAGCGCTTATCATGGCAGTCTATCTCATGGCAGTGGCAACTCCATTGATCACTTCAGCCGCGAGAAAGAATCCTGCCACTACGTTTGGTTTTGGATTGTTGGTCTATAATTTCATGACTCTTTTCCACGTTTGGGTGGTCGCTTATGCTTTCGTACCGGGCGGGCCTCTTGTACGAGAGCGTACTGATTGGGTCATGATCTCCAATATGCTTCTCATCGGATGTGGCGTGTTTACATCTCTCGCGCCTAACCAAGCCGCGCAAAGAAGGCGCTTCGGCGCATCTCCTAATTCTCGAAAACAACGTCCGTATTACATGTATGTTCTCGGAGTCCTGGAGCTCTTCGCAGTTGCTATAGCTTACCTCCGATTTCCAACGTACGATTACGTCCCATACCACAAAGATGACAAGATTCTTACAGCAGGAATTTGGACTATCCACTTCTCCCTCGATAATGACATGTGGTCCTCAGAGTATCGTATGAGGGATGTCATCAAGGAGTTGGAAATAGACGTCATAGGCCTTCTAGAATCTGATCTTCAGCGCATCATTATGGGAAATCGAGATACTACGCAATTCTTGGCCGAAGACTTGGGCATGTATGTCGATTATGGACCTGGTCCAAACAAGCATACTTGGGGCGCTGCGTTGTTGTCAAAGTTCCCTATTGTCAACTCTACTCATCACTTACTTCCATCACCCGTGGGGGAGCTTGCACCAGCCATCGAAGCCACTCTAGATGTGTACGGTGAGATGATTGACGTATTCGTTTTCCACTCTGGACAAGAAGAAGATCCGGAGGACAGAAGGTTACAAAGCGAATACCTCTCCAAGCTGATGGGTGCAACGCCCCGTCCAGCAATTCTTTTGTCATATCTTGTCACGAAGCCACTAGAGGGAAACTACAATACTTACGTTTCTGAAACGAGTGGAATGCACGATATCGATCCTAGCGATTGGGACAGGTGGTGTGAGTACATTCTCTACAAGGGACTAAAAAGAACTGGATACGCTCGAGTATCGAGGTCTACAATCACTGACACGGAGATCCAAGTTGGGAAGTTCGTGATTGGAGAGCCAGTGCCAGAGGCTGAAAAAGCACGCAACAAGTTAATAACAGAAGAGGAAGTTCCTGAGGGACGACGTTTCCCTAAGATGTTTTATGGTGAGGGAGTGCGGGGACATTTTTACCACGTCTTCGATGAGCCGCGATATTATGCTTAAGCTCTGTTGATGCCTATACCCATCTTGTATTGGTACTATTCTTTTTCGATAATCTAATTGGTATCATTGGGAAAAGCAAAGGTCACGTTATCACGGCCTTATAATGATTGGGGGATTGGGGTTAGGTTGGATTATTACGTGCTGGGGCAGCACGAGAATTGGTCATTGTACAAATATCCGGGCTGGTGCGAGGATATACAATTCATGAATTGCATAGCCATAGTGAAACATTCTTACTCTAAAAACGATCGCATATTCGTATCACAGCATCTTTCTACTCGTGTTTCTTCTAATGCTCTTATCATAATGGTTGATTAGATACGCAGACAAATTGTGTCCAAAGGGTAATCCTGCTTCAATCGATCTGCTCGCCACCCACTGTTAACTTTATGCTTCCTATGTCTTAAACCTATTTCCAAGGACTCTACACTTTAAACCTGAACCGTCCCCTCCATAACCACAGCCGCCTCCCCACTCAACCAAACGCCCTCAACCTCACCCCCCTTAATCTCAACCTCAACCGTAATCTCATTCCTCCTCCCCATCTCCACGCCCTGCTCAAACACAAAGCTCTCCCTCCCCTCCCCCCCACCCACCACCTCCTTCGCAAGATACGCAGCCAACCCACAACTCGCCGACCCGGTCCCAGGATCCTCGCGCGTGAAAATCATTCGTGTTCGATAGTGCCTCTGCTCGCCCTTCCCGGGCGTGTTCACGGGTACGTAGTACATGGTCCCCACGAGCCCGACTTTCCAGCCCTCGTCCATGGTTTCGGCGGACGCGTAGGTGTCGCCTACCACGTTTCCGGTCTGGAGATCTACTTTCCCGAGCGTTTCGAGATCGGGGAGTTGCACGTATATGAACGTCATGCCTTTCACGATACTACACATAGGATGTCCTACGTCCCCAGTGAACTTACTGGTGAAAGTCTTTGCATGTCTATGGAAAGTCTGGGGGATCACGGCCCTGACTTTGTTGTCTCCAAAGAGGGAGATGGGGATTGGTCCCGCTTTGGTGGTGATGGTGTCAATGTTTGAATTACTACCTTCTCCGCCGGTTTTGAGGAGGTAGAATATGGTGCCGATGGTTGGGTGGCCGGCAAATGGGAGTTCGGCGTTAGGTGTGAAGATGTCGATGGTACGGCTGGTTGTTTGGTTAGAGTCATCGGAGGTGAGGTGCAGGAATACTGTCTCTGAGAGATTGAATTCTGCGGCTATGGCTTGTTTTTGGTTTTGGGTGAGTTTGGAGGTTGATGGGACGCGGATTATAGCGAGCGGGTTTCCTTCTGGATGGGTTTTAGCTGTCTGATCATGGATGTATAATTGGATGTGACAGACGGTAGCGAGTGCTCGTGAAGACATCTAGAGTTGTGAAATTGAGCTTCATTTTGGCTGTGGTGTTACCTGGCAGCTTATTACTCAGGAAATTGTATGGAAATGATCCAACGGGGTAGAGTTTCTTTAAGTTGGAAAGAATCTCAGAAGTGTAGGGCAGTCAATTTGTAATAATACCTGCTCAAGCTTGGGGGTTGAGTTTAGCACCCACGTGATCCACTATTGACTCACAGTCCGATTTTCGAATCAAATCTCATCCATCGAAGTCTAGCAACATTTTGGTTTCCTAGATGCATATGGAGTCGATGATTACATTTTCCGAGTGCACTAAAATGAAGGAGGAAGGTATCGTATGAAGAGGACCGCTGTGTATGTGGGTATGGCTGATTTGCTGAATCTGATATCAGGCCTGACTTTGGTTGATAGACTTTGAGAGCATACTCAAGTACAGTGTTAAGATGACAATATTGGAAAAGCCATTGTCTCCTTTGTATGTATTACATTGAAATTGTGCTCATCTAATGTGTAAATTAAAACAGATCTAGCCAACTATCACATGAATAACTCTGGACCATGATAGGGAGAGTCCTCGGTAACCGCGTCGGTCTTCACACTCGTCCTCTTGGGGAATCCGTCGAATGTTACTGCATAAGTTGCAATGGAATGGGCGATGAGCTAGAATGTTTTAGCAAGGACAATTAGTTTGTACAACAGGTTCATACCTTTGTGTTTATTTCCCAAGCTCCAAGATTGCAATTCTGTACATCATCGCATAATTGATGGTAACACGGGTCGTACCATGCTCCGGCGCGTCCGCCGAACATGTCGACTTCCTTCTGGGTCTTGATCCCCTCTGCCCCGGTAGCGATGCCACCTCCAGGAATTCCGTGCTTGATAAAAGCATCATAATCACTTCGCCCATCAAAAGGAATGTAAGTGTAGTTCAACCCATTCGCGGTGTACCAGTCAATGTATAGATCTCTCAGCTCCTGAGATCCAACAGGGTTTCGACTGTTTCTTGCATCGTATACTTGGTAAGCATAGTTGGGAGAGGCCATCATGTCGTAGTCCATAAATAAGCGAATCTTCATATTTTCTTCGGAGGAGAGCTGGGAGACGTAATAGTCGGAGCCAAGAAGACCTTCTTCCTCGCCAGCCCACCAAGCAAAACGAACACAGTTCTCCGTCGAGTACTTTGTAAGGTGGACGGCAATTTCAAGTAGACTCAAGGAGCCGGTTCCATCATCATTGATGCCCGGACCCTCGCTTACAGAGTCACTATGACCTCCAGCCATTACACAGTTAGCTTGATCACCTCCTTTTGTCTGAGCGATGATGTTTGTTGTTGGGGTCCGTCTAACGATTGCGTCGACCCAGACTGAAGATGGAATGATCTTCCCAGCTTCCAGATCCTTGATGTATGGTTGAGCGTCTTCATTTGAAATACCAACAGTTGCAACATGGTATTTGGAAGGGTCGCCGAGTGTGCCTGATAAGCTTCCTGGGTAATTGTTGTATACCACTGCAGCAAGCGCGCCAGCCCTTCCAGCTGCCTCAGACTTAGCACCAAAAGAGCAGATGCCTCGGCGTATCAGAGCTATCGACCCTGTCGCATTCTTCGGGTAATCGGATGGATTACAGCCTTCGTTCGCCACGAGAACTAAAGGCGCATATACGGGCTCTTTCTTTGGAGTTGGGGGTGTCAAGGACATTGGAGAGGCGGTAACCTGAGCTGATCCCAACACCAGACGGGATCCGAATATCTTGCCGAGAGTTGCGTAGAATGTTTGATTCGAAATATCATAGTAATCGGAGTATTGTGAGAGAGTAGAGTATAGGTAGTTGAGTGTACCCGCATGTCCTATAACACAACTGTTAGCTTCGTACTCACCAGACTGTAGCTGATTGTTGTCTTACCTTCGCTACCAATAACTCTAGTTGGGTGGCCATACTCCGCAGTCCCAAGCTCAGCAATCTTGTACAGCTCCTTGGCTCTTTTCAGCAGATTATCAGAATGTATGTGGCCCTGGAGCTGTGTTGAGTTCACAAGCGGGCGTGACTTTGAGCTGACAACAGCTTCTGAAGAGCTCGCATCTTGAAGCGGTCGTTGAACAGTAGACGAAGCTACAATAGTCGATAGCGCAAGCAGTGGAATTAAGGATTTCATTTTGAATCAGACCGAAAAGATAAGATGAGCAATTACAGAAGAAAGAAGAAGGAAATCGCTGCGAGAGGAGCTGAAGATATGGTAGAGACACTGACCGAGTCAAGGTACACAGATCGGCGAGGCGGCACGATAAGGTCGGTCGGTGATGGATGCAAGCTGCCAAGTGGACCAGCCTGGCACCTGGTGGAAGCACTTCAGCACATGACTATTCAACACCGCCCAGCAGTGTCCTCATAAGTGAGACAGATTGTAATTAAGACAGACTCATGTAGCTTCTATATCACGAGATCATGGGAAAACTGTCATCTCCTCAGTGTGTAGCCTTTCTAAGCTTTGCTCACTGATGCAGATGCCGGGTCGGGATGTCAAAGCATCCCGAGGTCGTCGACAACCTTGTCCAACATTCGTCAGGTACAAGACGGTTTCTATTGGTTCCAAGCAATACCTTGAATCACCCCACCGTATTTGTACCCTATTTGTACCACCACGTTTACTTGCTCTTGCTTTGAGGATAACTGTTGGCTTGGGAAAGGTATCAATTTTGTCTCAATTACAAGAAATCCCACAGCACCGCAAAAAGAAGCTCGCAAGAAGCCAACATAATCATATTCGTTCCCTCATCATTCTTACAGTCGTATAACTCATTGCTGAAAACCATCTACTCGCAAGCACTCGCCAAAATGATAAACAGCCATTTGAAACACCCATATCAGAATCAATCAATTTCGTTTATCTCTGCCATCAATCAATCAATCAATCGTCCCGCAAACGTCCTTCTGGTTACCATCTTCCACCGTATCGCAAACTTCCTTTCTCTTCGCCATCTCCGCCCTTTTCTCGTGAGCATGCTCTCCTCCCACACACGGAGCTTCGTATTTCTCCTCCCACAACTTTCTCAGCACTTCGTATAGGAATGCATATTGCTCATACGCTTGAACCATGGTCTTTCTCTGTTCACGAAGCTGGTTGACGGTTTGAAATACCGGATCTTCTCCAGCGTGTTTTTCTTCCCAGTTCTCCCATGAGCCACCTAGCAGTTCGCCAAGCAAGAATTCCAACGCAACGAAAGTACCAGTACGTCCAACACCGGCGCTGCAGTGGACAAGCCGCGGATTTTCACCTCTGCCATTGGCTTTTCGAGAGACCTCCATCAAGGTAAGAATGCTGGCAACATTCTCCTCTGCCAATGCGCCAAAATCCGGCCAGCTAGGGTAGAGGTAATGGAAAATAGGCTTCTCCTCGTCTTCGCCCTCTACAGTCATTTCAAATTTGCGCACTTCGATTGATGTACCTGGAATGCCGGGCTCTCTCGAAACAAAAGTAATCTTCCCTTTGAAATCATCTCCAAGCTCGTTTGTTTCATTGATCATGATCTCGTGCCCCTCCTCCATAGGGAAATATGGATAGCATTTCTCCATTTGCTTAGTGGGATCATTCGGATCAGGGCCATGAGTTGGGCTAAGCATAATGATGACTGCGGGTGAACTGTTGTAAGGTGTCGCTAGTTCGTGCCAGACCATGTGCCAAACATGGTCAACTGTTTGCTTCTTTGGACCCTGCATACATATGTACTTGTCTTGAATTCCTTTCTTGAGGGTACTTTGGGTACTGGCAGTTGAAACCAAAGTCACTGGCGACGCATTAATGTAGTCGTTGACGCCTTCTGGGACCTGAAGCTTGATACGATTGACGGCCCAAGGATGAATGTTGTTATAACGATCAAGAACTGGATCCGGGTTCAGACGGCCCCATTCTGGATCATCGTTGCCTCTGGCAAGACGCTCATTCTCGAGACGAACCAACTCAGCATATTTCTCTTTCGTATCTAGAACCTGGTGAGCTTACTTGTCCGTACGTTACGAGATGCGGGAACTCCTACCTGCTTCCTCTAACCGCAGGAAAAATGGCATGGCCGGCATGGACGGCTTGCTATCAGCTTCTGGAGAAGCAGCAGTCTCGCCCGCCTTGACAGCTTTTGCGGGAGGAGCAGCATCTCCAGCAGCATCTGGTTTACCTAGACAGGCACCATCGACTTGAGGTACGCTGTTATCAGGTGGAGGGGTAGCGGAGTGAGCACGCTTTGTAGAGGATCGAAGAGCTTCCATCTTTCCTCTCCAGCCAGGCGATCTAGCTCTGGTTTTGTCTGGAGTAGATATGGCGAGATTCGGCGTATCTGAGGGAGACTCGTGGCGCCTTCGAAAGGCACGTATGCGATCCACGGTGTCGAGGCTCGACACTCTTGAAGTGCGAGCAAGGCTGGGTTTGGTAATGAGGCTGAAGGGAGAGAGTAAGGCCCAGCCGAGGGGTTTGGCAATCAATTTGCGCCCCTCAATTGCGTTTGATAAGATGGGAGGAGCCGACTCAACTCTGTTTGTCGAGTCAGATGAATAATGCGGGACTCTCTGAAAATGTTTGAATTGGATTAGAACGACGATGGTGGGGTCCAAAACCAGGAGACAGACAGAAAGAAATGCTGGGGTATCTTTTGGAGGATGGTACAGAAGAATTAAGTCGGAATTAGGGAGCGAAGAATGCAAGACAGAAGCGTAGTGGTTTGTAAGAAAAGAGGGAAGACGGACGGTGGACAGAGAGGGAAAGAAAGGGATAGATTGTTTGTTGCAAACATGGAAATCAAGGGAAGGAAGCACCTGGTCTAGCTCTGGATGGACCGACTGATCAACTGCCAGTTGCTGGAAGAAGGAACCGTCAGGGAGGGACCACTGTGGACTCCACGAACAAGGGCCGGCCCACCAGTGAACCGCCTGCACCACTATTCGGTTCGGCCTGCACAATCAGTGCCGGGTACTTATCGCGACTTCAATCAGTCAGAATCACCGTCGACAACGCCACTTCCCGTAACATCATTTTGGTCAACTCCAAGTCTCTTGCGAAATTGTATCAGCATATTCGGGTACACGCATAATTCCTAGGAGGTGGGGATGATGTTCCTCCGACTGTTCGAGGTATTACCCCTCCTCCATTGCCATCCGCAGCGAATGTACTGACAAATCCATCTAGGTCTGGTTGACGACGAGGGTGTTTTACATTTTATTCCAACAACACCACGCGGCTCCATGCTAATCAATCACCAGCTCCTCGCCAGTCCTACCTTCCATCGAGCCGTCCGAAATGTACATAAGAAAGTCCATGAAGCAAGACATGGCAAAGATCCAGCGGAGATGGGAGGCACAAATATCGACTGTAGGTATTTACGTACCAGCGAGGTAACGGGAGACTGACCTGTTCGTAGCGCCGGGCGGATCGCAAATTCAGAGGTTTGCACAGAATTTCAAGGAGGAGGTGAAAGAGCAGTTCTGGGGCGCAAAGAGGAAATGAAGAGAAGAAGTACCACTGAGTGCTTCATAAAAGCTCGAAGCGCCGCTTTGGCTCATTTAAGGATGGTAGGTAGATAATGTAAAAAGGGCTGGCAGAGTGATTGCTTCTGTACTTGGGTGGCGTTTTGTTAGAATGGCGTTCGGGGTGAGGATACCAGCATAGCAAGGGCTCATAATTGGACTAGACTTCGGCCATTGACCGAGCGGAATTATTACAAGCGACAGATCTTTACTCACTATCTGAAGTATTCCATGCATACTTAGGTATTTCAATGCCTTCCGTTTCCCCAATTTCAACCTGGATTTTCCTTGCGTTTTCACATCGTGAGACATAATCACATTCAAGGAGGGTACTACAATGGCAGAATTGGGTTGATATGTTCAATTGTGCAAGTCTCCACACTTCTATGCAAAATGATATTGCTTCTACAGTCATCTACCTCTCCCTGATCCCAGTTAACTTGATATGAGTCAATAAATCCTGTACAAACGCCTCGAATGATAAAGTGATGAACGAAAGTAGCCTCAACGGACTGTTCTCCCTACAACGCCACGCTCTATTCTCGTATATTTACGTTGGAGGCCTCACGGCCTCCCTTATATATCCATGTGTCCCGGGTTGGGCGTGACTACGCACCAAGTACCTGGTTCTCTTTGAGCTCAAATTTACCGTGATGTAACCCATCAAGGACCTCTCGGCCATCCTGAGTAAGTTCTGGTTTCCCCAACGGCGTGACGGCGCCAGTAAAAAACCTTGGTTGCCATGTGGTGCCAGATGCTTCTCGTTCCTTTGCCTTTTCTCTCTGGCGCTCTTCCAGTTCTTGCTTCAAATTGGTGGCCCGAGCATATTGCCTCGTGGTAATAGCTTCTGTGACGCCTGACCAGAATTTCAAAGATTCGTTTGGTAGTTGGGTTTCAATAGGAGGAAGTACTTTCTGGGCTACAGAGAGGGGGGAAAGATCTATCAATAAGGTCTGGGTATCCTGTAGTGCATTAGCTTTGTCAACTGACCAAACCGAGAAAACCTACCGATTTAGGGCCAAGCGAGAAATAAAGCTTGTCTTTCCAGTTTCCAGATATTCGGGCGAGAACGTCCTTGTCTGGAACGTCCTTTACTCTAGTCTTATTATCATTCTCGGGATCGTATCGAAAGATAACACCTTCAACCTTGTTCTGTGTCTTTCCTAGCCATCCTTCTTCATGGTAATGGAGGATGGTTTTGATCTTGGTTAGTGGGCAGGTGACGTAGCATATGTCCCCGACAGTTACGTTCAAACTACCTCTCAATAACCCTCCTAAATTGGCTGCTGGATGGGTAAGTTGATACTGCTCATTGTTTCGTCTTGCAATTGTAATGAAAATTCCCAAATTGTGTTCTCCTGGGGTGACTCGAACGCTGGTCCCAGTGAATTTGGCGGAAATTTGATCGAACCCTCGAGCGGTGATTCCCTTCTCCGGACAATCAACATAGAAAGCAGATACGGGAGGATGATGTGAGGTTTGCTCGGTGAGGTAAGAGACTGTGACAGGCCCCCCAGATTTGGAATTAGGATTCGATGCAGCGTTCGAGGATGCTGGCCGCGAAGAGGTAGGATTTACTTTCGCAGATTTGATCGAGGAAGCCGCGCTGCCGGAGGCTGATGCCACCTTGATGGATTCGATAGGAGGCAGACTATCTTCAACAACCCAATTACACTACAAAAAGTTAGGATCCATATCAAGGAGCCAGAGATCTTCACTTACCCGGAAAAACTCTCCCAGAGTAGAATTGTAAGGTTTACAAGGCTTGCCCTTCACGTACTTCAGGTCCTTGGTGAACCAAAATCTCAAAACCTCCAGCATTCTATCCAACTCATCGTCCGAGTCTCCAATTGCCACAAAAGTATTAGGAGCATCGAGGTAGTTCCAATATTCAAGATTTGGCGTAGGCTCCAAAAGCTGGGCTGGAAGGGAGAATCGTACTGACGCAATGTCCGCGACGCCGATGAATCTATTGAAATAAGACTATTAATATTAGGCATTCAAGGCGCGGGTAACGAAAGGGTACCGGATATCGAGAACTAGAATTCAAGCCAAAGAATGTCGCCGCATAATCGCCCCAACAGCAGGAAATGAAAGTACAACAGCAACAACCGGAGAAAACTAGACTCACTTCCTTAAAATGCCCAAGAACATGCGAAGCTTTGAGGTGTCATCTGGTGGCTTTTCTGGCGCCGTAGTGGTGGTCGTTATGTCGGATTCAGAGGCTGTTGAGGGGGCAGTCGAGGCCGGAGAATCGTGAAAAGATCCTGATGAAGCAGACGCCATGTTGCGCTATACGAATAAGCGTCTGTTGAAAGAGCTGTTGTATTTTGTTTTTGGTTCCTCCTGCAGAATGTTCCGAACTTCTGCTGCGATTTTGTCGTCGTTGTACTCCGTAGATGTGTCGGTGATGTTGGAGACGACTGACTGGCTGGGGTGCTTGGCTGTGACGTTTTGGAGTGCGATAAGGGCAGGGGCCAGAGATAGTCCCCTCGACAAATCTTTAGCGAACAATTCGAGTACGAAGAGAAGAAGTTCTGTTAATCACTTCACGGTTGGAAAGTACGTGTGTATTTCAGAAGAGCGAAGGAAGTGGTATAAGAGAAGGATTGCTGCAAGCTGCGCAAGTATCTGGAGTGCTTGCCGCCTCCCGATTGAGACTCGAGGGCAATGTATCTCTGCAACCTGATTGCGATGTCTCTGCGGTCACACCAGGAAACGATGCGCAGTCATTTGGCACGACATAACGGCGACACACGATTCGCGAATAGCTGGAACCCTTTTGCCCACGAGGGTAGAGTACCCGATCATCCGGTGCTGGAGGCCACACCATACAGCCGCATGGTAATGTCAGAGAACACTACCACTTGATGCGGTACATTGCAGACTCGTAGGCGTCCCCAGGAATTCGAGTATGGCTGTGATATGAAGCGAGTTTCTTGTGGCTTTCGGCGGAAGGGCAATGTATATCTCAGGGTGATTTCTAGGTATGGATCGCAGATGGACTACCAAATAGTCATCATGTGAATTTTGTTTGAGAATGAAATCTTGTGAAAATTCTAGTAGTATTCAACTAAAATACCAATTGTTACAAGCGATTTGTTACTAGAAATCATCTTATCTATTTATCAAGCTTATCAGTTCGTGAGCTATTGTCTGCCGGAGTTTGTCAACTACAATAGCCCACTTCAATTATCCCGTCTAAATAGAATCTTAATCCAACACAAAGATAACTCGTTTCTGCTTATCAACCAGACATAAACGCACCTGCATTCATCAGACAGAATGAACGATCAAGAAGCTTTCGCAATCGCTGTCGAAGAAGCAGAGATGGGATATAACGAGGGAGGAGTTCCTGTAAATCTGATTTTGCCCCATCTTTGATTCTTTGGAAATATGTCACTGACCGTGTACCGAACAGATTGGAGCCGCTCTTGTATCTCGCGATGGTAAATTACTCGGCCGCGGTCACAACATGAGAGTTCAGAAAGGGTCCGCCATTCATCATGTAAGGCTGTTTGGCCAAATTGCTGCACTCAGGTATAGAAGCCTTGTATTGATAACCTCAGGGTGAGACTTCTGCCCTCGAAAACTCAGGTCGTCTCCCAGCATCGGCTTACAAGGGGGCTACTATGTACACTACACTAAGTCCATGCGACATGTGGTAAGCTCTATTAATCCTTGACAGCGTGCCTAGCTCACTTCCGGCTAGCACAGGAGCGTGCATCCTTTACGGAATCTCGAGAGTTGTCATTGGAGAGAACAAGACCTTTCTTGGTGGTGAAGCATATCTCAAGCAAAGAGGTATCGAGGTAGTGATACTCGAAAATAAGAAAATGCAAGATCTCATGGAGAAGTTCATATCGGAGAAGCCGGAAATATGGTAGGTCTTGTCTATCCATCGCAAAATGAACAGTTTCACTGAACTTTGCATGCAGGAACGAAGACATTGGAGAAGAAGAGAGGGTTCACTCGAAAGAGCTCAAATGATATATAACTATATGGGTTTTCAAGCCCTTATTTTTCCCCGATCCGGTGTAATTCCGAGAAGTAGAACTTCAAAGCATCTGGATTGACTCCAGGCGTGATACCTAAATTCGTTAGCTGGCTCTGTTAGGTCAAAGTGTGAGATATGAGAGACTTACCATGGCCAAGATTCGCGATCCAGCCCTGTTTACCTCCGCCAAACCCAGCAACCATGTCTTCGACGGTCTTAGTGATACCTTCTTCCTTTCCGTAGAGGATTCCAGGATCCGCGTTTCCTTGGAAAACAATAGGTCGATCACCTCGAATTTTGACAGCTTCAGCTGGATCCTGCAGCCAGTCTAGGCCAACAACTTGATAACCAAGACTACATAAAGCATCCAAAGCATACCAAGCACCCTTCGCAAATACAACCATAGGAACAGGTTCTAATTTCAATTCCTTCAGTCTTCTAGGCAAATTCTCCGAAATATACGCGAGATATGGCTGAGAGAACTCCTTGAAAGAAACTGGAGATAACTCGGCGGCCCAAGAATCAAAAACTTGCACAAGCTAAGTGTGTCAGTGTATGGCTAAGAGAGAAACGGATAAATGATGTACCTGGGCTCCAGCCTGGACTTGCAGAGCTAAATATTCGACACAGACCTCCGCAATCTTTTGCAACAGAGCCTTACTTGCTTCAGGATATTTGTAAACCCACGTCTTGGTCTGGATAAATAACTTGCTTCCGCCACCCTCAACCATATAACATAACAGTGTCCACGGTGCTCCGCAAAAGCCAAAGAGAGGTACTCTACCCTTCAATTTGTGTCTCGTCATCGTGATGGCCTTGTAAACATAATCCAGCTCTGCTGCAACGTCGACGTCCTTTTCGAGGACTTGCGAATATTGTCCGTCTTCTGGCGACTTCAATGGTTTTGGGAAATGGGGACCTTTGCCGTCAACCATCTCGACCGTCATACCAAGAGCCTGAGGAATGACAAGTATATCAGAGAAAATAATAGCGGCGTCTACAAGCCCGGCATATCTATCAATCGGTTGGAGGGTCAGGGTCGATGCGATTTCTGGAGAGCGACAGCAGGCGAAAAAGTCATTCTTGCCTTTCGCCTCGTGGTATTCGGGAAGGTATCGACCAGCTAAACGTAGACTTAACAGTGGTACGGGACAGATGGCACATTGTGGTCTATACCCTGACGCATCACCCACATTGGTGGTCTCTCTACTTTCTCACCTACAGAAATACGTTAGCATAGCTCCTCAGAACATAATTTATTTTTGGAGAATCAAGAAGCTCATACCCCACGCTGTCCTGATTATAAGATCATTCTGTAATGGCTCAAACTGGTGACCCATCTCGACTTCTGCGTTATAACAAATCGAAATATGTGCACGCGCTGGATCGAATTGCATATGCAGCAGCTGGCGGTGCAATGGTGGTTGATGTATCTGGAGAGTCAATGTCCCCGCCGAGGCTGTTGTGATGCGGGCACCGCGGGATTGGTGGGGCTGCGAGCTCAGGTCCTCAGGTCCTGGGGCAGGGCTGGCACGGTTCAGGGAGTTTGGTTCGACTTCACAGCTCAACTTTCTCAAGCGACAACGACAGCTCGAATCAATTGAACTTCCCAGAGCAATTGACCAGCTTCTTTGCGTGTCCGACGCCTCAGAATCGCAAATCATCCCCAGCGCTTGCATGCGCTCCTTATGTCGCCCCCATTTCGATAGCTCATGCCCGGTTGCTCTCCTGCCTGCCGCCGAGCAGTGCAGAGCAACATTGCCATAAATTCGACACCTTTATGGATCTCCGACGATGCTCTTTCTCAGGCCTTCCAACGCTTCGTTCGAGTATCACATGCGGCAAGACGACATGGGAGTTTTGTTCCTGGACCCCTCGAGGCTCGGCGGCGGTTGGGGAAAAGACGAATGGCATATGCATCTGAAAGCACACCAGCTGGTCCGTTCAACCTGGGATGGATATGGGATATTTTACGATTCCTTCGCGAGAAGGACAGAACCAAGTTCACATACGAAGCGCCAACTCCCCGCTCTGATATAGCAGCGCGCACGCTAGACGAATCGCCAGATTGGCTGTCGAAATGGTTCAATACAGACCTACCGGTTGCAGACACATGCGAACCAGGCCTGGCCCTGGATGATACAGTTAGCCCAACTACGACAGCAGACCTGGGGACATCCAATGCGCGCGACATGCCCTCAGATCCCGCTCTTCAACCTGCCACTCTGGAAGAAGTTTATCAACAAAAGGTCCTAGATTTTCGGGCATCGTTGACGAGTACTCGAGAAGATAAAGGGGCATTATTCGAGGAATTTAGGCGGTGGATCTACTTATCTGTCAGTCGGGGAGAATTAAGGCAACGGCACTATAAAGATGTAATGTCTGTCCATTTCATGCGAGACATTCGGCGCGCATTTCAAAGTGATGTGGAGGCAAATAAGCATTTTCTGCTTCTTTTCAGGGCTATTTGGAAGGGCTCCATGGACTCCGAGGGAACCAGATCTCGAACTGATGATGGATCTCTAATGGATCGACTCCTATCAAGCATTTCCAATTTGTCACTAGAGGATGAAAATGTGCAGGCCCTTGCTGTAGACGTTATACGTTCACTATCCGAAAAACAGATGCTTCAATTACGAAACAGAAAAGCTGGTTTTCATCAATTGGTTAATACATGGACACGCACTTGGATTAATTGCATTTCCGCATCTTCAGACAATGCTTCCACTAAGCTCGCATCGGATAACGAGACTCTTGATAGCTCCTACAGCTACACTTACCGACTGCTCCAAGGCCTTTCGGATCAAGTGGCTGGTTGTCAGAAGATAGAGGATCCAACACGCAAGCGCCATATTGTCAAAAGTCTGGAAGCTACACTTGGTTTGTGCAAGACGAATCTCGCTGAAATTCTCAGACAAATTGAGCTACGAGAAGACGAGCTCTCCCCGTTCAAAGTGTCTGTGGCAGCCCTCTCACACGCGCTGGCTGGAATCACTGGCACTAGAACTCTTAACATCGTGGTCCAATCATGCCTAAGCCAAGTTCTTGAGCTTTGCGCTGACCTGGAGGGCGACCTTGGGTTGGATTTACGCTGTGCCTGGATGTCTATCATTGCATCAATGCCATCCGTCAACGGCAAGGTTTTTCGCAAATCGTGGGAGATGCTAAATCTATCATCTGTTCCAGATCAAGAGGGTTTTATCGTGGACATGCTTCAGAGGCATTGGAAGAGTCGCGGATACTTGGATAACGCTGACCTAACGCGCAATGCGTTCCTCTTCCATTCTACTGATGGTGGACGAAGTGTGAGGTCTTTCCTTCAAATTGCCAGCAAATGGGAGCTCAACGAATGGAAAAGAACGAAGAGACTGGCAAGTCTTGTCTGTCTGCTTGCAAATAACGGTCACCCCAGAGCAATAGTTCATGTGGTTTCTCAATTACGTCGAGATAGTGTACACATGCCCGCAAACATCATCACCTCGGCTTTGCGAGCTTTGGCCGTCTACAAGCCTAAAGTCGCATTCGAAGCGTACTATATGTGCGTAAACATGCCCTCGGGAACCACCTATCGAAAAAGCATCAAGCTCGATCGTCATGCAGAGTTAGTTCTTTCATTGATCAGACACACTTCGATCCCACCAAATATAATATGGGAGGCGATGGGGGTACCTATATATTCGGCAGACGTCCCAAGGGCACATTGGCCTAAGTGGGCACTCTACAGAAAAGGCGGGCTGCCACCTCAGACCGTTGAATTGATTGGCAATATGGCAATGGCCTTTGCAAATTCGGAAAGGACGTCAAGCCGCGTGGCATTGAGGAATGTCACGCAATGTTTGAATATACTGGTTGTACATAATGCACCTATACCTGTAAATATTACAAAGGCCATCACTATAGCAGGCCTTACCCGGCCTCTGATCGAGAACAAAGGTCTCGTCAGCTTAGAGAGGTTAAAGTGGGCTTTGCCATTAATCGAGCGGGCTGAGGGGACGGAGGTCGCAGAAAGTGTGGACGAAATCATTTATGAATACAGGTCTGCTTTCAAGCGATTGCGAGCGGAGAGAACGGGGAGATTTTTGCCTCTACGCTAGATAGATAAGATGAAACATATACCAATTTTTTATTCACATTGAGTATTCAGTTATGTAGGAGTTAGCCCTAGTTCAGTCTTATTTTTTGGTTATACCAAATAGCTATGAGGAAGCAGCCTTCCTGGGTCATGCACTAGTAGCCACTAGGGTTTCCCATGATGAATGAAAGGGAACAGTTTGAAAAGGTGTCAAGCTCTGCCATTGTAATCACAGTACTTCATAAGGTAACTTTTTGTGATTATTTTTCATTTCTTAGCTTGACAGCTCAAATTTCAACCGTCTTCCGCCTCTCCACCATCGATCTCACCAACCCTCTTCCTCAGATTCTCAATGCTATACAAGAGATTCTTCATTCGCTTGTTCTCCACACTATCTGCATCCACGATTTCGCTATCTTTGACTCCCGCTATTTTGAAGTCTGAATCTTCTTCGAGTACACCATTAGTAAACTTGAACGTGACGAAAGAGGAGTCTGGCTTGTCGGAGCTGCGAAGTTCGATTGTTGAGGCTGGTGTGTGGATTGTGTCGATTGAGGTGATTACTCGGCTAGGGGTTGTGACTACGCCGAGAGCATTTCCCCGTAGGAAGATATTTTGGACGTGTGTAAGGGTGGTATCAATGAGTTTGAAAACAAAGATTCCTGGGATACTATCATTCTATCAGTCAAGGCTCGGTGTAAGAAATGAAGGGGTCTTTACGCTTCAACGGTGACAAGTACGAAATCCACGCCCTCGTGATTTGTATGGTAAATACCTGAAACAGCAATCTTCTTCTCCTTTGCGCTTTCGCTTACTATCTCATTCACGTGTGTCTTTAAATCAGCTTTACATAAAAGCTCGGCATTCTTCCACTTCCAAACGTAGATCTCATCATCTCCGCCGCCTGACACCAGTATGCCGGGTCTTGTTGTTGGGATACAGAGTCTGCTGACGAACTCCCTATGTCCCAGACAGAAGGACTCTATGACATGAGCTTGGGGAATTCCTCTTGATATCCGAATGTGCTCATCTCTATCACTGGTAATGATGTATGTCTTTCCTTCCAGGGTTGCTAGCTTAAGATCGATGAGCAACGAAACATGACCTAAGAGAAGGGTATGTTCAAAAGTAGGAAGTTGATTCTTAGGGGCACTGTTGTGATGGCGTTTTTGATTTTCCAAGGCTATACGGTTGCGTTGAGAGTGTATTGTTTTTTCATTTGCTGATGGCTTGAAAGGTCTTTCTGCTATGGGTGTGGCTGATTGGGCATCTTGGTCCAAACTTGGTATAAGCGGTAGCGAGTAGACGTCGCCAAACTTGTCAGCGCTCAGGATAGTTGCTGAGTCTGGTGTTATAGCTATCGATGATGGTCGTTTTGGCATGATCCTAGACTCATGAGTATGAGTTCAAATGGTTGGGAAAAGTACTTACCGTTCGCTGACTTGATGTAATTTAGAGACATCTGCTTCATCGACTATCTCAAATACCCGAATGCATTTGTCTTCTCCAGTCACTGCAACTACATGCTTATTGTTCACTGTGACCGCCAAAGCAATGATAGCTGGAGCTTCCAATCCAATTGCAATGGCAACTGAGCGGTTATTCTGCTTCTGTTTCTTTTGATTCTTCTCGTTTCCATTCTTCGTCACTTTCGCCGTGCTGGTTCCTTGAGTTTCTGGCTCTACTTCTTTAATTAGGTCCTTGTCCGCTTCCCCAGATGAGAGTTTTCTCCTTTTGGCTGGCGGTGATTTTGAATCTATAACTATATCAACCGATGACGACTGAGACTCTTGAGTCGCGAGGAGCTTGGATGGTTGCTCAATCTCGGGTTTTGATATTTGAGGCTTCTCTGGCCAGGGACAAGTCCATGTTGAGAGGTATGACCCATTTTCCAGGTTGATGAGGTCGATACTCGAATCTCTGGCGGCAATTAGCAGGTTTCTTCGTTTGTCGATACACTGATATGGCATCTTCAATTATGAGATACTCTCTGAATACGAGAGAACTATAAACGAGAAATATGATACATATTATTTATTCTGTGAATCTTTTCGTCGTATCTTTTCGAAGGAAACTTGATATCACGTGCCAGATCTGACCGCCAATCGATACAAGCGAGTTCCGCGCCAAGACTTACACACTCCCACACTTCCAATTCCGAAATTGCGAGACAACTTTTTGCGACATCAACCAAATCTCGAAATACTCAGCCCGAGTATCCTTCAATTTCATTAAATAAAATCTGACCCTTAAACATCCTTTCTTCAAAATAAGAAGATATGGGGGGCAGATCAGCAAACAAGGCCGGTTACTTCGACAAGCTCAAGGGTCTCCTCGAGGAGTACTCCAGCATCTTCATCGTCACAGTCGACAATGTCTCCTCGCAGCAGATGCACGAGATCAGACTCGCCCTCCGTGGTGAGGGTGTTGTCTTGATGGGAAAGAACACTATGGTAGGTTCATGCGATTGCAATCTTGCGCCGCGATCTTTGCTCTTGTATTCGGACTCTAACTTGTGCTCGTTCAGGTCCGTCGTGCCGTCAAGGGCTTTATCAGCGATAACCCAGAATACGAGCGTCTCCTCCCATTCGTCAAGGGCAACGTCGGCTTCGTTTTCACCAATGGTGACCTAAAGGAAATCCGTGACAAAATTCTTGCCAACAAAGTTGCTGCTCCAGCCAGAGCTGGTGCCCTTGCCCCAGCAGATGTCTACGTCCCAGCAGGTAACACTGGTATGGAACCCGGAAAGACCTCCTTCTTCCAGGCTCTCGGTGTCCCAACCAAGATTGCTCGTGGTACCATCGAAATCACAACAGACTTGAAGCTCGTTGAGGCTGGTAACAAGGTCGGAGCCTCCGAGGCCACTCTTCTCAACATGTTGAACATCTCTCCCTTCACCTATGGTATGGGTATCTCCCAAGTCTACGACCAGGGCAACACTTTCCCACCAGAGGTTCTTGACATCGAAGAGTCTCAACTTCTCAAGACATTCTCCAGCGCCATCACCACCATTGCTGCCATCTCTTTGGCTGCCAACTTCCCAACTCTTCCATCTGTTATGCACTCAGTTGTCAACAGCTACAAGAAGGTCCTTGCTGTTGCCATCGCAACAGACATCGAGTGGGATGAGATTAAGGAGTTGAAGGACCGCATTGCCAACCCAGACGCTTATGCCTCTGCCGGACCAGCTGCTACATCTACCGATGCCGCCCCAGCCGCCGCTAAGGAGGAGGAGAAGAAGGACGAATCTGAGGCTGAGGAGTCTGGAGATGAGGGATTCGGAGGCTTGTTCGACTAAACCGGTCTTGATCTTGCATAAGTACGGATTTATTTGGGCTTTACGAATCATGATACCACATAGACGATATGCATTTTCAGGTAATTGAACGTAGCTCAAGACGCGAATATAAGTCATCCGCACTCGTTCATGGTTACGAGATGAGTGATGTGAAATATTGATGTTGCGTCTCTGCACAGCATAGGTGTTCATTTCAAAAGGTCAGTCACTATTTTCTTTTATAGCATTCCCCCGCATTATGATGAACAACTCATAGCTTTTTAACCCTTAATGGAGATCTGCTCCTTGAAGACCAAAAATAACAACTCTAATTTTTTCCTGATTGCTCCTTCAACTCCTCAGCTTTGCATCAATACCTAGTCAAGCAACAATATACTGACTATTATACAGACCTTTACAGTTAATTATCCTACATTGCGAATATCTTCTCGTCCAAAACTTCTTTAGCCACCGCAATTGCGTCCTCCGGCAGTCCAGCCAATCTCGCCACTTTCAATGCGTGACTGCTCCTATTCACTCCTTCCCTCAATTTGTGCACATATCTGAATCCCTCGCCTTCAGCATCTTCTTTCACATCTGTACAATAAAACCCAACTCCCTCCATTCGTCTCTTGATTGCCATATCTGCCAAATTGTGAAAATGTGTTGCAAATAGAGTTCTGCATTTGTTCACATTGTACAGGTGATGCAGACAAGCAAAAGCTACCGCGGTGCCATCGTTCGGAGTTGTCCCTCTGCCTATCTCGTCCATGATCACAAAGGATCGCGGCGTCGCAAGCTTCAGTATTGTTGCCGTCTCCAACATTTCGACCATAAAGGTCGACTGATCCTTGAAGAGGTTATCCGCGGAGCCAACACGGCTGAAGATTTGATCAACAATTCCAATCTCTGCATACTGTGCTGGCACATATGAGCCGACTTGGGCAAGAATCGTAATGAGAGCGTTCTGTCGCAGAAACGTACTCTTTCCGGCCATATTGGGACCTGTAATCAACCATGTTCTTTCCACATCGCCAACGAAACAATCGTTAGTAGTAAATGCCCGACCATCTTCCATCAATCCTCCCTCTACTGTTGGATGTCTACCGCCTATAATCTTATGTGTCGTGCTGGTGTTCAATACCGGCCTTGTCCAACTCTTCTCCGCCGCGAGCACTGCGAAAGAAGAGCCGATGTCCAGCTCATCCAGTACGTTTGCATTCTTTCGCAGCTTCACGATGTTCAGGATGACTTGCTCTCGAAGGTCACGGAATACTCGTTGTTCCTCGGCGCGAATGTGATCTTTACATCGATCGATTCGGGAGCCTAGATCAGACCATGATGGGTGATGGAAAGAAGTTGTGGATTTGGAGGAAGAGACTCGTTTGCCCTCTCCGAGAGAACGAGATGCATCTTTCCCTTTCATGTGACAAATATGACCTAGACCAGGTGTGAATTTGAGTGTCAGAGAAGGTGCTTCTAAACTAGCGCTCAGCGATTCGGTGAGTTCTATCTTCTCATCTGCTAACTCCAATAAAGATTGATGTAGGCGTTGGAGAGTTTTCGATGCCGCCGGTTTCATTATCCAGGCTTCTGTGTCGTCCGAGTAATGTTCTCGTATACTTGTTGGCTTTTTCCGTTTCGTTTTGGGAGTTGCGGAAGTTTCCAAGCCATTCTCGTCGCCACTTACCACTGCATTAGCTAAAGCGCGGATTTCTTCTTCCTCTGCTGTCTCGATAAGATGCTTCTGAGAGACACCTTCCTCGTCGATAGCTTCCTGGATCCGTGAAGCAAGAGCAAGAGGACCTTCAAGATCGATACGAGTAGCGAGAGCATGAATGCAAGCTGAAGATGGCGTTGTAGAAGAGAGCAAAGTAGTCACCAGGTCCTGCGTTGCTTGAATGGTGGCTGAGAGGGCCAGCAGGTCATCTGGGTCTCCGCGGCCGAATGCGAATTTCTGAAGAAGACGATGGGAATCATGAGATCGTCCGAGAAGGATACAAATTCTCTCTCTCAGATCCGCATTTTCTAGCATATGTGATACCAGATCGAGACGTGAGTTGATAATGTCGAGAGATGTCGAAGGGGAACCTAGGGAAAGGTCAGTTGGAGTTGCGTTGGTGAGGCAGTAAGAACTCACTTAACCAAGTCTCTAATAATCTTGCGCCGCCTTTAGTAGTCATTCTTCGAATTGTGTGCAGTAAGCTTCCTGTGAACTGATCATCTCTCATTGTCTTCTTTATTTCCAGTGCTCGCATAGTGTTCTTGTCTATTCCCATCATATCCAATTGACGCGAAGGGGGTTGAAGTTTCATATTCGAGCCCTGAAGTTTCTCCTCCACGTACTGAATCAAAATACTGCCAGCGGCAACCTCTTCATCAGTGAATTCCTCGGCTTTACTTGGAAATATTGGTGATTCCAACATAGGTGACCAATCTTTCATCGGTTTGAATTCTGTTGCAAGAGCGTATGTGACTATGTGTTGGTCCTCCGCAAGCACATTGAAAATAGCGTGGTCCTCATCGCCTTTGAATCCTTCATCTAAGACGATCTCTCGAGGTCCAATACGAGCAAGGAATGATGGTAGCGAAGAAAGAGTTGTGGTTTGGGTGAAAAAATGGCCAGTGGACAGATCCATCCATGCCAGACCGAGGGTCATAGAAGGCTGCTGCAGGCGTACAGGAGCAGATTCATCCGTTCCCAAAGTTTCCATGTCAGTCTGAGGATTGTCGGCAGCATGAACAGCTAAAACATAGTTGTTCGTGAAAGGATCCATGAAAGACTCATCAATCAACGTCCCGGGAGTGATGACCCGAGTGACTTTCCTATCATTCAAAAGGCCCCCGGACTTCGATTGTGCTACCGCATCATTCTTGAACTCCTCTGCAATTGCAACATAGCGATGCAAATCTTGGACCAAAATCTTGAGATAACGATCCAGTTGGAAGAAAGGGAAACCTGCCTAGAAAGAAATTAACATGGCAACAAGTTACAAGGCTCTCGAACCACGTACCATAGACACATAGACAGGACTATCTTTCTTCCCAGTCTTTCTCTGTGCAACTTTCAAGTTCAGGAGTGGTCCAAATTCATCCGCATGTTCAAAATATAACTCATAGAATCCTCCCACGCGGGTGAGGAGCACACAGTTCTCAAATTTTCGAATGTTGTTGCGGGCTTGCAAAAGTACAGTTGGTAATGTGGGTTCTGTATTCTCAATCGGCAAAGGGTCTAGGGGGATGAGACCTTGAGGAAGCTCATCATCATCTTCGGTTTTAGCGGCGCATTTCTTCGTCTTAATTGGCTTTGTATCAGACTCCCTCAATTCTGACTCCGTGGGCGGCAAGGGATTCAATGGCAGTTCATTGACAACACGTGGGGGAAAGTCGTCGAATGTGATAGTAGACTTCCGCTTCGCTCCCCTATTCTGAGCGCGCCGAGGTTGACGCGATATTGGAAATGCATATCTTCTGAGCGACGAAGTGCCAGTGTATATTGTACGGTAGTTCTGACGGGGAATGTTAGCGTTAAGCTTAGAACGAGCGCATCTAATAGTGTGAAACATAGTACATGAAAGCTGTTGGTTTAGGGAAAGATTTGATTCCAGGTGAAATATGACTGAAGAGGTCCACGTGACTGCGCGACACCTCCCAAATTCAACATCGTCAAAGTAGTTTCTAAACATGAATCTCCAAAGTTTCATGAGAAGACATCTTCATAATCAGAACCCTTTACGATATATAGGAGGCAAAACATAATAGCGTAATGCCAGTTCACACTTGACAAGATTAGTTAGTTATAGACATCATGGTGGTCCTGTTGAGTTGATTTGCTTCCAAGGTACTCCTCCATGAAGACGGAGCTCCAACTTTCTCTCTTTTTCAGAATGGTCTCATCTAACACCAATTTAGGGTCATATTACAAGCTCAATTGATGTCATTTATGGAACGCTTATCTCACCTTCTCGCTCGTGTTAGACATCCAATGAAAGTTCTCCAACGATCATCAATGGCCACCATGACTAGCACAACCACCAAACAAGGCTTCATTTTAGACTTCGACAACACAATAACAACAAAAGATACAATTTCAACTTTGTTTTCCCAGGTTCTCCAATACCAAAAATCTCAAGGCCGCGGCTATTCCAAAGCATATGATGATATCATTTCGGGTTATACTACAGACTACGCAGCTCATATCGAAAACTACAGACCAAGGAAGGAAAATCGACGAACTCTTAAAGAGGAGATAGCATTCCAGCGAAGTCTCAAGGATGTTGAGTCCAAGAGCTTTGAGCGGGTTAGCAAGTCTGGGATGTTCAAAGGTATTAGTGATGAGATATGGAAGACTTTAGGTCGACAGGCAGTAGCAACAGGAGAAATTGAAGTACGATCTGGATTTTGGAAAAGTGGGGGAGATCAGATGCCCAAAAGAACATCTGCAATCTTGTCAGTGAACTTTTCGAGAGCTTTTATCGAAGGCGTCATCAGCGTCCATCCAGAAAACTGCTTTGGGGATTTTGATAGTATTGTGTCGAATGGACAGCTTGATTCCGCGGAAGGGAATGGCGTGGTTATCGGTCCGAAGCTTGATGACAGTAGGAATATTATGGCAACTTCAGATGGGAAATGGAATGCTATGAACAAAATACGGCAGAAGTGGCAAGATCAGGGCGATGCTATTATGGAATTGATTTACGTAGGAGACTCGGGTACAGATATCGAATGTTTGACCGATAGCAGTGTTATTGGGGTGATAATGACGCCCGATGGAGGAGGATCGCTTATGGACACAATGAATAGAGTTGGAATCGAAGTTGTTCATATTTCATCGTTCAAAGAAAGGCAAGAGATGGAACGGATCTTGTATTGGGCTCGCGATTTCGTGGAAATAATCGAAAGCCCAATCTATAGATCCGACTATTAGACAATAAATTAAACTCTGATTGTTGTAGGAATTGGTTGTAATGTGACCGCTTAGTTTAGCCACACAGTTTCAGTAAATGTAAATGTAGGAGCATTCGATCTATTGTTATCGGGTCTAACCCAACGTGTGTTTGATCAAGACTTTATAGCCCTCAACAGCCTCCTCTAGGTCCGAGATTTTTAAATGCTCGTGGTCGCTATGAGCCATCAAGATTGTCCCAGGACCGTAAAGGTATCTTTTGTGATCGCCCTTTAAATTAGGTATGTCGGTACCATAGTTTACTGTTATAGTCTCAAAACCTAAACAGAGTTAACAATTATTACCATTAGAAATCGGTTGAGACAGAGAGGTCATACCTGGTACATCTGAATTGATAAAGACAGGGCCGTATCCATACCCGCCAGTAACCTCAATTTCAGGATCAACGTTCTTGACGGCCTTCACAACAATATCCTTAATGACCTCTGGGCCCCCATCAGCGATACGTATAGCTATCTTTGCACTTGCATCCTGTGCAATAACATTGGCTGCAACGCCTCCTTCCATCCTACCGATGTTGAGCGTGGTATTTCCATACTTCTTGCTCGAAGGAAATTCCGCATTCAACAAGGCGTTGAGGGCAGGAATCAGCATTGCATTCGCGCTTCTCCCCAACTCGGGATATCCAGAATGGCCAGCCTTCCCCTTCGCCTTAATTTCAAAACCTGCTATCCCCTTGTGTCCACTTGCGAGCTTCAATTCTGTCGGCTCCCCAAATATTGCGCTTTCCCATGTCAAACCTAAGTCGTTTGCCTTTTTCATACCATCTCCTCCAACCTCCTCTCCTACCACATATAGTAGCGCGACATCTCCTTCTTGTAGTTTGCCGGCGGCCAGAAGCTCTTCTACAGCTATGATCTGAGTCGCAACACTGCCTTTTGCATCGACACTACCCCGTCCCCATATCTCGTCACCCTTTCTCTCGTATGGCCAAAATGGCGGTACTGTATCAATATGAGATGATACTAGCACTCTCGTCTTTCGCTGACTACCGAAGTACGCAAGGATATTCTGTCGTGGTGGACCGGAACTTTTCTGAGGACCGACGTCCTGCGTTTCTACCGTAAACTTTCGCGATTCGAGGTACTCGATGAGGTATTGAGCGACATTGTCTTCGTTTCCCGTTATCGATTGGTGCTCGACAAGTCCTTTGTGAAGGTCTATTAATGATGAAGAGCTGGAGCTTTCGAGGATGGGGTACTGTGTAAGGATGCTCGCATATGCTTGACCGGCCAAGAATGCGCACGCCAATTGAGAGTACTTCATGTTGGGAAAAGCTGTAGAACAAGGACAAGGAAACAAACAGAGCTCAGGGACTCGACTTGAACTTCAGATAGATAAAGATTACACCAGCAGCTTGCTTTGGGGTACTTATCGTTCAAGCACAGGATTCTAGCTTAATTATCACCCCTGCAGCAAGCTTCCAAAAGTGGATAGAGGGGTGACGTCTGGTCTACTCGTAGAAGGAATGGGGAGAGCACGAGTGGCATCAATATTACAGAGGCTCGAGAGAGGCAAAACATTCCAAACCGAAGCTCATACTACTTAATATGTGCGCCAGATTTCACTATTACCAAACAAAAGCTATATAATACCTATTGGATCAGCTTTCTTGGCATCTTGCTCGTAAGAGTTGATTCTATTGACAAACATTACCAGTTTTGCTGTCACAACCAACGCTATACATCCAGTTATCAAAAGAGTGTAGCTTAGCTTTACATAAAAATTTATCCAATGAGATCAATCATCCAAGTAGTTATCACGTTGAATCACCTGAATACATGATATTCTTTTTGTTCTAATTGTAGCCAATGCTATAATGAGGGGCATGGGTATACTTAACACTCTGTACATTTTTACTGTCTTTAACAGAAGAACAATGAACTAAATTGAATCCGATAATATGATAATAAAGAATTTATGCCAATAAGAAGTTACCTAGCTATGCTTTTGTACACCTGGGAGAAGATTATTGTACTCCATTAGAACGAACGCCCATGTATTTTCACTCGCGTGAGTGTCCATCTTCGCCAAGAGATAGCCGCCAAGATCGCCTTGCCAAGTCTCGCCAAGATCTCTCCGCCACTTATTTTTTCCAGAGCCTCAAAATCCATCGGCCGATTGTTGCTAGCAAGTCCCGAATGATTGAATTTGCTTCTCATTGTGCTCCTGGAAGCTGGAATCGAAGGGGGAAATCGTGACAAGAGATGAGGTCACGGGACGGACGAGAATGGAAGGTCAGAGGTTTGTTGCACTTCGCAATTTATGCCCAGAAATGTGACGAGTCTGGAGTGGTCGATAGAGTGCTTGCTGTTTTGGGGGAGAGGAATCAGGATGGATGCTGCCGTTGCCGGACTGCCGCTCAGTGCTGGTTGCTTGGCCATGTTGCTTTTCTCGGTTATTTGGCAGGGCAGTCCGGAGTATGATCAGCTGATTGATGATGACTTGAGATAAAGGTACATTAACTTCTTTTTACCTACGTTGTGAAGAAGATAATTGATTGATAGTATCCCATGAGAACCGGAAGTGAAAGGTAAAAGCTCAACATGTTGGTGTGAATCATAAGCAGACAACTGCGGAAAGCAACCTTCACTCAATTTCGCTTTCAAGAGACGACCAGATAGTCGAAGGAACAGATCACGGAAATGTGAATATTTATAAAATATACTGAAATTAAAAGCACGGTGTATGGTATCTCCATATCCTCAGACGCTCCTCAACCGGTGACCTCAAAGTTAACCTGGAGTTTGATGGGCTGAATGTATCACTATGTCTGTAGTACCAGGAAGATTGAAGGATTGATGTTGACAGAAAAGCCGGGATATCATGACAGTCAGGAATGTAGGAAACAACAATAGCACGAGAACCCTGACTTCTAATAAACTAAGGTTATCTTATTTAAGCAACGTTGTCTGAGTACCTCAGGCGAGTACATGCAGTCAAACATCACTTTGGCACAAGAGAGAAATCAGCTACTGCACCATCGTTTAATGTAATTAAAGTACAAAGTTGAAGCATAGCATACTCAATCTGTATTCCAAACACAAGTAAATCCGAGCGAGACATATTGTGAAATGTCACGGCTGACACGGTCGATAGAAATGACCGACGGTCTCGGCAATTCAACTACATTTTCCGGTGGCGATATCAAAAGAAACACAACATGCTTGGCGGCTTCAAGTATTCCACCAACCTGAGTCACATTTGAGGGGTGATTCAATGCTTAAGGATCTAAGATCGATTTAATCAAGTTCTAGCCACACTTTGTTCCAGCTTCACATGTTGTGGCGTCGAGTTTATGGCCTATCTGTGGAGGCATACGCGGCTCTCCCACTTCAGCGTCCAATCACACCACACCATTCCTCTATTTTGTACTCGTGCTTTCTATCTCGTTCACAGTGATTCTACCCAAATTGCGTATGCTGTTGCTGGCTGAATGATTCAGACCATTATTGGCTGCACAGATGGCTGACGTTGACGAAGCTTGTCGTGCCTGCGTGGTGAGTGCGGGCCAGCTACGGAGTTGGCCTCTTAGGTACGGAGTTAACTGCTGGTACAATTTAAGAGTATATAGCTGCTATCATTTCCTCTACGTGTCTCTTTTTTCTCTGTATACAATTTCATCTTTACAAGAAGAATTCTTTTACCTCATTAAACAAGACAGAAACGACAACATGGCATACAACAATTATCAGCAATTCCCATTCTGGGACTTCGTACGAGCATTCGACAACCAACATGGAGCAGGTGTTGACCATCAGGCTGAGGGGTTCCCTGGACCTCAACCACATCCAGAAGAAACCGGAGATCATCAGCATCCAGCACAAGCCTTCGGGTTCGGAGGACCATTCGGTTGGGGAGGTGGGTTTGGAAGAGGACCATGGGGTGGACGCGGTGGTCATCGAGGAAGACATGGACCAGGACAACACGGCGGTCCTCATGAAAGGAGAGGATCTAGAGGTCCATCCCGAGAGCGAGGTCCCGAAGGAGAACGCCCAGAAGGTGAGCCGGCAGATGGACCATCCCATGGTCGTCGAGGTGGCCGACATCATCACGGTAGAAGAGAACATTCCCACTCGGACGGAGAGCATTCTGGGAGTGATCGAGAGTCATCGCCACATGGAAGACGCGGACCAAGAGGGTGCGGTCGACGGGGTAGAGGAGGACCTCATGGACATGGTCCTCGAGGATGGGGAGGCCACCCAAGAGGTCCACCACCACCACCATTTGGTGGCCCAGGTGGTTTCGATATGAGTGGACTTATGCAAGCTCTATCAAACCACCCACTGGCACAAGCATTCCGTGGCTTCGCCGAGCAGGCTCCTGGGAATGGAACTGACCAACAAAGATCGGGTACAATCGTTTCCGAAAATGACGATGTAAACAGTTTCGTCCCGCCAGTCGACGTCTTCTCTACTGAGAGAGCTTATGTTTTACATATTGCTCTACCAGGGGCCAAGAAGGAAGATGTTGGAGTCCATTGGGACGAAGACAAAGGAGTCTTGAACATTGCTGGTGTAGTTTATCGTCAAGGCGATGAAGAGTTCTTGCAGACCTTAGCACAAAGCGAGAGGAAGGTAGGTGTTTTCGAACGCATCGTCAAACTCCCACCTGGAGATGCAGAGAAAGAAGAAGTCGATGGAGCCATGATCACTGCGAAGTTGGAAGATGGTGTTCTGGTGGTAACCGTGCCAAAGGTCGAGAAGGAATGGACTGAGGTCAAGAAGGTTGATATTATGTGAGCTGTTGGGCATCCGGTTCGGCAGCGCAGAAGGTGGAATTTTTGATCTGGTAATGGTTGGCGTTAGCGATGATTTAATTTATTTTTGACCAGTAGTCTAGCACAAATGATCGGACGATCAACAAACCAATAAAAAAAGCCAGTTGGCGAATTAGAAATACAATCTCCTCCCTGTGGTAATATAATCGACTAAGATACGCGACATAGAACTCAGAGGCCTGCCGCGATTCTGCCTTGAAGCTGTAGGGTAGGTGTAAGTTCTTTGTACATTTGGGCACTGGATCATTGGCCTGCTAATGAAAGAAACAGCTCACGATCCATCTCAGAAGTTACGTGACTTGAGGCAGTTAGGTTTCCTGTCACGAATGCGCAGTAGTGTTTCGAAGGAGTCATCTTTGTTTACGCGACCGCTGGAGTAATTCTCGTGTTCAATTTCATTCCAACAGTCAACATGCTTTGTATCGCAATCTGCTTCGCGACGAGCAGATAGGACTGTTCGCATAGCACTCGACCAAGGCTACCATCCCGACGCTTTTGTATTCCATCGTGCAATTATGTATTTTAGAGTCGAATGTGAGTCGGCTGGCCGGACGTCGTGAGCTGTGCACTTCTTGATGAAATCTCTGCACCGAAAAAATCTTCTTCGCGATCCTGCCCTCAGGCAAAACCAACAATGAAAAAAAAAGATGGCCCGTCAGACGTCCATCAGCACCCACCCAGTCCACGCGGCCGAAGCCAGCACGAAAAGGGACAAGATCATCGCCACTCTCTATACAGTATCGCGATTAATCGCAACACCGCCATCCTTTCGGACAGTGCGAAAGTAAAAGGCCTCACTCTTGGGCACCGAGGATCGGCTCATCGTCCGGGTTGGAGTCTGAGGCTCGTGAGAGGATCTCAGAAGAGGACGTTTACTATAGAAATGATTCTATGCTGTGAGGGAGTTAGCAATTGCATACATGAAAGACCGTGAAGGTTTGGGGTGAAGCTTACAAGTAAGATCGTCTGAAGAAGAAAAGAAATTTTTGGGAAGGAGCGATCGAATTTATACAGACCTCGCAGCGCACGGCCCACGCTAGTTTAGCGTGGTCTAGCGAGTGATGGGCAGGCACGTGAGGTCGCGGGCGAGCACCTCGACATGGGATACCTCTGCCTATCAGCGCCCGCCGTTTTACCGCTTGTTCGCCAGACAACCATTTCTCACAGCTTTATTTTCACTGCACCCCCCTCCGTTATCTTTTGCTTCGCGACCGACGAAGTACCACGGCCACGCGACTTCGATACTAAAAGGCTTTGACTGGTTTATTTTATCCAAATCCTGAGTTCTGAGTCTAGTCCCCGGAAAGGGCTTCTGCCTACGCATGTTGGTTTACGTCATGGTACGAGCTTGTCTCTAACTATCCAGAGTACCTGATTTCAAACGCCGCCCTCTCTTTGATAGGATATTTCGCAAACACATCAACATCTCGTATACTTTGCGACCTTGCCTCACTTTTTCGTTACCCACCGCTACTATTGAGATTCACACATTGCGAACTCCATATTACACAAGCCACCTCCTTGAAAGATGTCGGATTACGAAGGACTTGAATACTTGGAGCCTGGCTTTGAGCCCGCCAGCCTTACCGTCCCGAGGTTGCGATCAATTTTCGTAACGCACGATATCACATACCCTGCGAATGCCAAAAAAGCACAACTGCTTCAGATATTTGAGGATGAAGTCAAACCAAAGGCAAAGAAGATCCTCTCTGTTCGAGCACGAGCTCGTCGGACCAGTCGAGGAATCACCGATGCAGAGTCACAAGATAGCACAGTAACCGAGGAAAATTTGGAGGAGGAAGCCATGCCACCACCGCCGACCCCGCGCACGACCAGAAGAAAGCCATCAAGATTGCGATCGGAAGAGGTGGAGTTGGAACCCGAACTCCCTCGTGCGAGAACTAGAAGTCCTACCAAAAAGTTAGCACCCGCGAAAACTAGGCAAACGAGGACCTCAGACACCAATACAAGCGCGGATCCAGATGCAGAGCAGCGGACTGTGAGGAGGGTCCGAAAAAGCGAGGCACCCGGGGCAGTTGTGCCAGTTCACAAAATCAAACTAGAAGACTCTGACGACGCCCCGACAGTATCCAAACGTCGCGAGAGTGCTTTCACATACGATAACCCTTTTCAGAGTGGAAGCTCACCTCTTTCTGAATCAAGAAGCACAAGCGGGGAGAGGAGGCGAAAGTCTGTAGGGACAGCTATCAGCACTCGAAAATCCACTTCGTCGACAAGACGAAAGACGGATGGACCAGTCCCGTCAACGTCTGCTGCCTTCCAAATTCCAATCAGTGAACTTGAAAGCCTCAAGCATGTAGACGAGAATGGCGTTGTCGCTAGTGAAGAGTTCACGCCAGAAGAGCAGCTAGAAATATCCCAAGAGCTGGCAGTAAAAGGCGTAGACGCCCTTGGTCCGAGAAGAGTTAAACCTCAGCAGCGACGAGCTTTCAACATGAGCGGGCCTATCTGGCTGGCGATCGTCGTCCTTCTTGGAGGTTATGCTACATGGTATAGCCAGGAGAAGTTTGCAGTTGGATATTGTGGTGTTGGCCGAGATGCGGTTCAAGTGCTTCCTGCGAATGTCGAAGTTCCTGATTGGCTTCAAGTGCTCGTAGAGCCTCAATGCGAGCCATGTCCTCGACATGCTCAGTGTTTCGAGAAACTAAAGACGGAATGCGAGGGTGATTACCTGCTCAAGCAACATCCTCTCGCCTTGGGTGGCCGCATTCCCATTGCTCCTACGTGCGAGCCAGATGGAGAGAAGGCACGGAAAGTGAAGGCTGTGGCGGACAAAGCTGTTGAAGAGCTTCGGGAGCGGAGAGCAAAGTTCGAATGTGGGGACCTGACAACTGAAGCTGGCCTAGCAAAACCAACTGTGAAAATCGACGCGGAAGAATTGAAGACGGAAGTAAGCAAGAAACGCTCCAAGAAGATGGGCAAGGCCGAGTTTGAAGAATTGTGGGCGGGTGCCATTGGAGAAATTGAGGGCAGAGAAGAAGTTACTAAAACAGATGATGGGTAAGTCAAACGATCTTGTTCCCTTTTTTTAAACGCAATGTTAGCTGTTTTCAACTTTTCGGAGGTCAATTACATATTTCTGACAACAATCCACTAACCAGGTCCATTTCTCCCCCTACAGAAACCGAACGCTTCTCGACAGTAACTCACTCGCCCGACTTTCTTTCTCCTGTGCAGTCAAACGACAATTTAGACACACATTGGCAGCAAATCGCCTCGTCATTAGTGCTGTAATCGGAATGTTATCGTTTGGTCTTTATCTTCGTTCGGCCTACCGTTCACGAGCAGCCACAAAGGCTTTAGTCCCTCATCTTGTCTCGTTAACGCTGGATAGACTTGCGACACAAGCACATTTACATGTCCAAGACCGAGAGACCTTCCCAGAGAACTGGATCAGTATTGGTCAGCTTAGAGACGACGTCTTGAGAGACCAACATAGTCTCAGTAAGCGAGAGGCTTTGTGGAAGAAAGTCAGAGCTGTTGTTGAGATGAATGCAAATGTTCGCGCATCTCAACGTGAAAGCCCGAGTACTGGGGAAGTTAGCCGAGTTTGGGAGTGGATAGGAGCCGTCGGTGCATTGGAGAGTGGAGAAAAGCGCCGCAAATCTGGCAGAGTCAGTTGGGGTGTATACGACGAGGCAAGTAGTCCTGTTAGTGGCACTGATGCTGGTCCGGAAATCGTCCGGCAGAAGTGGGAGGAGAATCGACCGATCTACTAGTGACTGATTTCTTTCTTTTGTACTCTATGTTGTACTAGTTTGGGTCTTGGAATAGCGCTGTATTGTATCATGGGCGGTTTGGGCTCATATACGTGGTTTTTTGGGTTGGTTTCTGGGTTGGGGGGAATGATACCAGTCAGTCTCATAGTACACTTAGTAACTCATAATACCAAGCTAATCTCACAATTACTTTTTACATTTTCTAAACGTATGTATAGCGCTTTCTCACGTCACAAACCCTTTTTACCCATCTTATGATATACACTTCCAGTCGCAATTCCCTCACAAACTGTCCTTGAAAGCAACATGAAACTATCCTAACATTAGCATCAAACCCCTGTACTTAACAAGATCTCAACTCACCATCTCAATCCCCCCATTTCCCTCCCTCAACAACCCAATATTCTCCTTAAAAACCGCCGTCTCCCTAAACGCCATATGATCCTCCACACTCTCCCACCCAATGAACAACTTACAAGCCCTCCCCGCTTCCCCTCCCTCCTCTTTCGCCAACTCTTCCACCACCTCTCCAATCTCCACTCCTTTTAACCCGGTCGTTGAAGATGAACGTACCGCGTTTGCGAACTTGGTGAGGTTTGAGCCATAGAATTCTGGGGTGGCGAGGAAGACGGTCACGGTTTCTACGACGGGGACTTTTGAGAGAAGGGATTGCGGGGGCGTGAAGTGGTGGATTTCGACGGTTGTGAAGAGGGCGGAGACGGTTTCGAGGAAGGATGTGTAGAATGACGCTGTGGTGAAGGTTTCATGGTCTTTGTATGATTTCCAGTCTATTTCTTGTGAGTTTAGTCCGTTTTGGTTGGGGGGGTTAGGTACTGATGCAGAGGATTATGATGGTTGGGTCTTCGATCTTGGAACCCCATGTTAAGCTTAGGAATCCGGGTTGTGAGGAGATTGTTTTGAGGATCTCAGACCAGGCTTGGGAGTCGGCTTTGTGGATGTCAATGCCGGGTTTTAGGTGGAGAGTGGTGAGTTCTGAGATTGGTGATGAGGATGTCATGGTTGGATGAAGGGTTGATTTGAGGGTATTTGGCCTGGATTCTTGTCTTTAATTTGCTGGGATCTTTGGAATGATCGGGTTGTTTTTGCTTAATGTGTAGTTATTGAGCTACAATGTACTTGCTCACGTAGACGCTCTAGAATTCGTAATACGCTGTGTATGTACATGTCCTATCCGAATCGTACTCCGTACTCGCATCTAGAAAGTAGGTACCCCTCCAGCCCCCCGTCGTGGCGTCTCGAGCCGAGCCTGGGCAACACTGCGGGAGCAACATCGTCTAGTGCACCGCAAGTCATCCTCAAGCATACCAAGCAACAGATTCAAAGAGGCTTCGTCGCAATGTCCTATGATATGCAAAACGGAACTCGGCATTTCTGGATATTAAAGATCTTTCAGCTCTGTAGGCCTGGAGTCAAGCCTTGGTATTCTTGGCCGTGCATTTTCAAGGTGGGGAAGAAATATGTTCTTGGTTTTGGTGGTATTGTTTGGTACGGAAAAGTCGACGAGAGAGTCAATTCTCAAGCTGCCATTCTGTTTAGAACGAGGAATAGACATGGAAATTTCAATTGAGCAAACTCCACCTCCAATCGTTGCTCTTTTAAATTCAAACAGACTCTTCCATTAGTCTTTACGGGTGTCAGACGTCGAATTCCCACTTTTCCACAGCCAAGTGGTGCGAATACGTAGCCTTACAGGGTGCAGCTCGGCGGACCGATAGTTTGCAATTTGAGCGACTCTAGAGGAGGGTGGAGATCTCGTTCCAAGTCATATCCGTCCGTCTTCCGTAATATATATATATACTGTTTGTTCTGGCCGTATCGTAGTGTCTCTCCTTCGCTTAACCCGTTTGCTGTTTCAACGTATGAAGCCTGGATACTCCAATTTAGGGACTGCTGCGCCATGGCTGCTGTGGCTGGCCGCCGTTCCGACATGGACTGTTGCTGCTGAAATTTGTAGGTGTTTTGTTTCTCATTGCGAAAACTGCTAATCATCATCCAGCATGCACCCAGCAATCGCGCACAATTACGACACAAGCTGAAGCAGATGCTCTCAGCTCTTGCGTCAATGTCACCGGTACGATCATCGTCGAGAGCCAGTCCTTGACACAGCTCACGTTGAATGGCATCGAACGAGTCGATAACCTTCAAATCAGTTCGTCACCTTTATTGGTCGACGTCTCTGCTCCTGCTCTATATTGGATAAACCACAATTTCACCATCTCGGATGTCCGTCTACTATCGAATCTGTCTCTACCCTCGCTGAGCACAGCGGCCGTCGATACGTTATCCTGGATCAATGTACCGAATCTTGTTCAGCCGGTCTTGCGAAAAGAAGCTGATCAATATGGCAACGTCGGAGCCAACATATATGGGGATTTGATCATATCGTCGTCCGGTATACAAGATCTGGACTTTTTCAATTTTGGCACATTTAATCAGGCGCAGAATGTTCGAATAGTCAGCAACAAAGATCTCCGTACGATCAATTTGACCACACTCGAAGAGGCACAATCAATACATATCGCCAGTAATGGACCGAACATGATTGTAGATTTACCCGCATTATCTCGTGCCAATTCACTTTCGTTGGAAGGAGTCTCTGTGGTGAGCGTTCCACGACTTACGAAGGTCGATGGAAACTTTGTGCTTTCGGGAAATTCGTTTGAGCGATTTGCAGCTCCGGCATTCAATGGAGTCGCAGGAGATATACACATTGAAGACAACGAATTGCTTTCGGATCTGAGTCTGCCAATGCTGACCGAAGTTGGCGGTGGATTGAGTAATGGCTCCTTTACAGTTGCCAACAACCCAGGCCTCAAATCTTTGAATTTAGAGCGTTTAGGAGGAGGGACAGAGGTGGGCGCATCTGGTGCTATTGATGGAAATGCTAGTTTTTCAGGAAATTTTGAGACGTACGATAAGCTTCCTGATCTCCATGTTGAAGATTGCTAACCTTGCATTTAGTGTTTATATGCCAAGATTGATCGATTATACGGCGGGCTTCCATATAGCTACTACACATGCAGACTTCAATTGCACCCCTTTCGATAGACTATCATATTCTCCTATAAACAAAGGGTCTCGAAAACTATATTCATGTTCAGGAATCGCATTGGGCAGCACGACCGACACAGCTATACACTATTCCCAGAGCAAAGGCTCATTACTGCCAAAAGGCGCAATGGCGATCATCATCATCATCGGCGCTGTAGCAGGATTAGGTGCAGTTGCATATGCATATAGATGTTTCCATCGACGTAGGATAGCCCAGAGGCAACTAGCTCCTACACAACCGTCACTGGCGGATATGGGAGTTATGTTGCCTGGTATTCGGGTACCACGCCAGCATGAAGATGGGGATGGGATTGAAATGCTTCCTGAATATTCGAGGCATGGGAAACCAGGAGAAGTGCCGCCAAAGTACGATGATAACGCGATCTATGGTGGACCACCGCCAGGCGCACCTCCTCCCGCTGTCACAAAGTCTTTCTTCACGAATCTGGTTAGGTTGTCGAACTGGAGTCGAAGAGGAGGAAGCAATGACGGGCCTGGTACGGGAACCAGTGGGCCGTCTGCGGTCTAAGGCTTCATTGGTAGCTCGAACATACATTGACACACACTTATACCCCTCATACATTCCGTTCCTTATCTCTTTCGAAGTGAAAAGCGTCAATGGTGTCAGCCCGCTACCACGGACCGGAACCAGTTACAGTAATAAGCGCTACTGTATGAATTGACATTTCTGGTCGTGGGGGATCGATCGACCAGAGCTGTCAAAATGATGATCTTGCCCCGCAGTTGCTTGCAATGACGTCCCTAAGCGAGGCGCCCCCTTTCTGCGTTATCGAGACCGGATTTCGTTCAACAAGTGAGGGGGAGGGGCACATGAGGGGTTTATAAGTAAATATTTTCCTAAGATATTCCAAGCTTTCTCATCTACTATATTCAAGACATCAAGAAAGCTTAAATCCTAAATCTAAATTTCCAACAAGACAAACTTCAGCACGCCAGAAAATACCCCGCCAAAATGGAGACTATCAATAACCTCGCCAGCAAAGCCGCCAATGTCGTTGGAGGTAAACAAAACACAGCTGCAACCGATGAAAGTGTTCCACGCTCCATGCAACAGAATGACTCAATTGGTGGTTCATCCCAGCCAAACTACAGTGGTAAGTCTCTTCATGTCCATCTCAAAGTCTACCACTGACAGAAACACAGGAACAACCGATCCCCTAGGCCACACCAACAACGAAGCACCTATCGGCGGCCCCTCCAGTACAGCCCACTCCAACGTAAAGGAACCCGGCTTCACCCAAAATCCAAGCTTGAACTCGTCAGAAATGGGCGCAAGAGACGATGTCACCGGCACCTCACACCTAGGCAAAGGTGTATCCGACTCCACCCACTCAACCAACACAGAAAGCGAGTCCAAGTCCGACCCCCTAGGCCACACCAACAACGAAACCCCCATCGGCGGCCCCTCAAGCACCGCCCACTCCAACGTCAAAGAACCAGGCTTCACCACCGAACCCAGCTCCGAAGAAATGGGTGCCCGCGCCGACATCAAAGGCGCAACCCCAGCGCAAGGCATACCCACCGCCCCTCGCGCCGCAGACTCCAAACCCGCAGACGCGACGGACACGAAGGGCGCACAATACACGCCTACATCGCGCGAGCCCGATTCTTCAGAGAAGGAAGAAGTGAAGAAAGACGACGACGGACATATCCTGAAACCTGGGTCTGCGGAGGCGAAGGTGCAGGGTAAATCGGTGTTGCCGACGAGCGAGCGGCCGTATGGCGAAAGCGGGATTCCGGATGTGGTGGAGAAGGATTTGAAGTCTGATGGTGAGTATAGGCGGGGTGGGGAGAGGGGGGGGATGAAGCCGCCGACTGGGAGTGGGAATGAGGAGGGGAGGTTGGAGGGGAAGGATGATGATAAGGTTTTGGAGGAGAATGGGGTTAGGATTACGGGGAAGACGGCTGCTAGGTAGGGTGTTTGGAGGAGTACGAATGGACTTTCGGATGTAGGTCTAGGGTGATGGTGGTGGGTCTACTGTAATATTAGCGACATGAAAACGATTTTATCTCTCATACCGTAATTACTCATGAACAACGATTGTCCTGATGTTAGAAGAAGTAAGCTACTCAACTGCAGCAACCTGGACTGCTTCAATCACAATGCGAACAACACCATAGAGCTTAACGAGTTCAAGTTTGAAATCTGTCACATTCTGACTACCTAAATGCTCAAATACATGGTGGAATGTCACCGGTTCACCGTCCAATCCCAAGATGAGCAAAAACAACTTGTAAATGAGAGAGAATTGATAATATCTCCTGATCTCAATGACCTTTTTATTTGCCCCCTGAAACGCCATTAACAAACTCGAACTTCCAAAAAGTGCAAAATATTGTTCGTCATAATGCTGTCATGTTCAGTAACCGGATCAGATTCGGTGCTTTTCACTCTCTATTAAGTACGTTAGCAAGTTGAAGCACATTCAGGAGCAAATAAACTAACCAAGCCGTGAATATAGCATGTAAAGTGCCATCTGGTTACATTCTTGTGTACCTGTTATGGTGACTAGTCTCTCGTTGCTGTTGTCTTGTGGCTCGTTAATCTTGATGACACTTCCACTGAGCTGTCTGATCTCGTTGATCTTCTGTCCACCCTTGCCGATAATAGCGCCAACCATGTCGTTTGGAATGAAGATTTGTTGGGTCAGTGGCTGGCCTGGCACCAAACCTTGCATTGGCTGCGCTGGTGGACCAGCATGCGATTGAGGACCAGGCTGACCTCCCAATTGAGGTTGTTGTGGTCCGACTCCACCATAGCCTTGGACAGGACCTCCACCTCCATAATGAACTGGTAACGGAGTTTGTTGCTGTTGTGGAGGGCCTTGTTGATAGGGCTGGCCATATTGTTGCGCCGGTGTATGATTACCATGACCACCGTGATGACCACGGTCCATACGACCACGATGATTGTCTGGATGTCCATAGTTTCCTCCAGCTGGTTGAGGGACATATGGAACGACTTGCATGCCGCCCGGAACTACACCGGCTGGACCACCGCTTCGAGACGCATATGCAGAGGCCGCTGGCCCACCAAATCGCTCTGACAATTGTTCAAAGAGCGTGCTGCCAACATAGTATGTGGCGATGTGAACCGCATCTGCCACACCAAGGACAACAAGCGATCTTTCGGTGGAAAGTGGTAAGCATGCATCTGAGGCGTTAAGACGAGCACCAGATGCTTCTTGAATCTCTCGAATTCGCATACCACCTTTACCAATGATTGATCCGATCAAGATATGCGGAATCAACAGCCGGAGCGGGTAGGTTCGTGATTCAGCGCTAGATGCTTTATCAAGCTCTTCGTTGTTCAGCGTGCGAATGATCAAACCAAATGCCTTTTTGCAATTAGCTGGATTCACAAAACTACGGAATGAGATTCATACCTTGGCCGCAGCATCTACTACTCCACTGACAGTCAATATCCGTTCAACAGCGCCTTTCTGGTACTCGCTGACTGTGCATTTAGCACCAGACATTTTTCTAATCAGAGACACATTCTCGCCGCCCTTGCCAATGACCGTGGCAGCTTCAGCGCTTGTGATTACTGCTCGAATATGGATCCAAGAACTCTCATCGTGAGGAAGTGTCGAGCTGACACTGTGCTCTCTGTTTGAGGAAGTCGTAGTCTCAATCGATTGTGGTGCAACGTCTGGTACCGCTGTGTCACCTTGTCCATCAACGCCTTGTGACTTTACGCCGTTTGTAGGTGCCTTCGTATCTGGTGTGGAGCTGACAACCGGGAGCTCGACCGTACCAGCGTCGGGCTTCTGGTCTTCCTCGCCTTTTACGATTTTATCGAGCGCCGGTCGTTTGGCTTCTGGGCGATCGTCAGGTGCTGAAGGAGATGAAGGGTCCTCGAGAGGTCTCTTGGTCGATTGAGCGGGAGTGGTTGTAGGGGGTGGTGAGGCAGACATAATGCGTGCTAATGGTTAATCTCTTCACTAAAGATTTGGAGAAGCAGTCGGGAAGGAGGTCGGAACAATTATTGATTGATTGATCGTTATGTACACCAGGGGCCTTCGAAAGAAAACGTGCTGGTGGAAGTGATCGGAAAGGAGGAGAGCGTGTGTATGGGTGCTGAGAACAGGATGGAGTCGAAGGTATGAAGGGAGCGGGAAGGTGGTGCGGATACAGAAGTACAAGTCTTGAGAAATTGATCGTGTGCTTGTGGAGGAAGGAGGCTGAATGTGAAGGCGAAGACGATTATGATGAAGATATGCGAACTGGTTGATGTGTGGAGGTGATTGAGATTGAGGAGATATTCCCTGGGGAGAAGCAGTAGTAGAGACCTTTCCTCAAACCTTTTAGGCCCGCCAACGACGATTTGTCGATTCTTCTTTTGTAGCTTGTCTGGGGTCGGGTCGGGCTGCAGCTCTGCTGAGCGTTTGCTGGAGGTGTTTCTGTTTGGTTTCGGGAAGCGGACTATGGTCGAAGTATCGAGATGGAGAGGTGGAGAGTCGTAGCCTGCGAGATTGGTATTCCCGATCAGAATCAAATGTAGGAGAGCACAAATCGATCAACGTCGGAATGGGAGAAGAGATGGAAAAGCTCAAAGGTTGATGGAGTTGTTGCTGACGTCGCGAGGCGTGCTCTCTGGAGAAGCTCAAATAAATCGGAAGGACCATTAAGCTTAAAGAGCCGACCAGATGTGTCCGTGCTTTCAGGCATAACATCTGCAGCCAGCACACATCAATTTCAGCGGACTACGAGTACCTTCCACTTCTTCGAAAAACTAAAATACTTAGATTTACTACAGAACCTTTAGTCGCCTACTCGGTGGGTATTGAAAAATATTTCCAGAAGTCAACCCATCTGCGTCCAGGAGGGCAGCTAATGTCCCAATTGTAGGCTTCCGGGAAAGTTCTCTTTTCGGAACCTTAGGCAGAAAGCTTTGTGCATCATCACATGACCAATGTGTGTCCTCGCGTCTCCTCCATGTGTTCCAAGAGGAAAAAGGGCCCGTCAGAGTGTCGAAAGTAGACTTCAAAGTGGGAGTCTACGAAGCCAGGTCGATCCACAGGTAATGATAATGAGATAAGCGGTCACACCAAAAATGAACTTACCACAAGAATCAAGAAGCATAGCTTCATATACGACGCGTCTAGATCAGACGCTCAAGATTTTAGAAGAACGTGTCAAGCAACAAGAGCAGCTTCTGGAAGAGGTGATCCTTGATTACTTACATCGATATATGTTAGAGCTGACTAAGACTTAGCTAAGAGCTTCCACGGCGCCTGTTGAATCTACCCCTTCCGCTGATTTGAGGATTGAAATACATCAAATACTATCACTCAAGGCAGTATATGAGGATTTGAAACCCAAGCAGCTGTGGCTTCCGGGGCCTGATTCCCCTCTCTCAGCATTGTTAGCAATACAATCAACAGACAAATGTATAAAGGGAACACAAGACTCCATTCAGCAGACTCAGGCTGACCTTGAGGATACCCGCCAGCGTCTTGCGAAAGAGTCAGCGTTTCTTGATGATTCTAGAACAATACAGGCTGATATCAGAACACGGATATTGGTGCTGCAATCACAGATTGATGATCGAACTCAGAAGCCCCAAAGTCAAGTTGCAAAGGACATGTTACGTGAATTGGAAGCGAAGGAGAATTATTACAATGAAGAGACTAGGAGGCTTGTAAAGGCCTTTCAAACTTTTATCAACGATCATCTGGCGCCGATGCTAGCCGCTGAGGAACTTGGAGGGCCGATTGTGGGTGATGATCTTGGTGTCGATGAGACAATGCTTGAAGCTGGGTTCAATGCTCAAGGGAGAGCCAAAAAGCCAAAGAACCTACCCAGTGAAGACAAACGCCAACAACGAATTGACCAGATATGGGGCTCTAAGCCACAGAGCGGTGATATGGCTGAAGCCGAACAAACTTGGGATGAGAAAGATGCTGCTGGAGCCGAAATGCGAGACTTGACAGAGCAGCTGTTAAACCGTCTCGTGGAGGCTGGTGGTACCGGGCCAGGGGCATATGTCGAACTCACCCGAGAATCTGCTGCTGCAAGATTCTTGGTCAGGTCAAAGGTTGCGCAGTTTCATCCGCGGGATGCCAGAAAGCTCCGGCTTGTTGATTTTGGCGGCGAGGTGGAAGACTAATTGCGAGACGGTACTTGCTGCTCTCCATGGTGATGACCGAGTTGGATCCCAGGAAGCACAATTGACAACCAGTCAAGACATCCGATACAGCATGCCAAACACGATAGCGTAAGCGCAGTGTCCTTCCGACTCAACTACTTGATATTGCAGCCTAGATTACTGTACAAGCGACGATGAGTTCCTCGTTCAAATTATACGAACAGCACGTGATGTGACGCGAGGTCTCCATGATATCGAAGCACTTTGAGCATGATCAGGACATATCAATTATTTGATCAGCGTGGCTGGAGATGAATCTTAACATAGTTGACGCTTATTCCTTGAATGGCTACTCGACCGGCTTCCTGGTATGCGTTCTGATTATAATGTCGCTGTTCCGAAGATAATCGGCATACATCCGAAGGCCGAAGTCTAATAGTACCCACTCTTGAAAACAGTTACCTAGATATAAACATGAGCATGCCAAGTGGCTTTGGCCAAAGAAATTTCAGCTTTCTTAACAAATATATCACCTATACCCATCGCTGTTGTTGGAAAACAAATCTTTCGTCTCAAAATTCCTCCCGACATTTATTAACCACACTCAAAGATCCAGAACTTATCCTGTATAGCCTGTAGCCAATCACACTACGACATTTCATTATGGCTGAACATTACCGCTTAGACGCTAGTCACGCATTATCCCTAATGCAAAATGGTGACCTTACCGTTGAGGAATATGCAAAGTCTCTTCTCTCTCGTATCAAGGAAAGAGATCACGTTGTCAAGGCTTGGGCATACCTAGATCCTGATTTTGTTCTCAAGCAAGCTCGAGCACTTGACCAGATACCAGCCGAACAACGCGGGCCGCTTCATGGTGTCGCCATCGGAGTGAAGGATGTGATTCTTACTAAGGGTAATGAGCTCTTCTTTCTCTTGCTGAGCATTAGGTTGATGACAGATTAGATATGCCAACGCAACATAACTCGGCAATATACACGAGCAGTGAGCCTAGTACAGTTGATGCTGCCCCGATCATCACACTCCGTGCTTCGGGTGCCTTGATTTTTGGCAAAACCACGACAACAGAATTTGCGTCCGTCACTGATGGCCCAGAAACCAGCAATCCACATGACTCGACTAGAACTCCAGGTGGCTCTTCAAGCGGATCTGGAGCTGCAGTTGGAGATTTCCAAGTCCCAATTGCCTTGGGAACTCAAACGGGTGGTTCAACCGTTCGACCAGGGAGCTTTAATGGCATATTCGCTTTGAAGGTGTGTTTTGAGTAGTGGACTGTAAATCCGTTTAGTGAGCTAATACGCGCGCAGCCGACCTGGGGAGCAATATCTCGTGAGGGTTTAGCACAGTACTCGATCACATGTGATACCCTCGGACTCTATGCTCGCTCTGTTGCTGACCTTCAACTCCTCGCTAAAGTATTTCAACTGGCCGACGATAAACCCGTCAAGCCAACTCCATTTGATATTAAACGCTCTAAGGTGGCATTTTGCAAAACAGCCAACTGGCCCAAAGCTGGACCTGGAACGCAAGGTGCCTGGGAGAAGGCCAAGTCGATCCTAGAAAAGCAGGGAGCGAAGGTTGAGGAGATAGAGCTACCTGAAGACTTCGCTAAAATTAAGGATTGGCATGCAAATGTCCTTGCTGGCGAAGGTCGAACGTCATTTCTGGGAAGTATGCTGCCGTGCCTGTCATTTCAATACTATGTGCATGTCCCTAATGGAATCTAGATTATCTTCTTGCAAAAGACAAAATGCATTCGATGCTTCATGGGCATGTAGAAAACCACACCAAACTATCCCGGAAAGCACAACTCGAGTCTTATGATGGATGCGCAAGGCTACGTCCAGTCTGGGATGATCTTGCCAGCAAATTTGACGCCGTGTTCACACCTAGTGTTGTTGATGAGGCTCCTGTAGGTCTGGGGAGCACTGGAGATGCTGTTAGTTACCCTATTCGTTTTCCCCAATGGCGTGTTTTCAATTAATACAGCGCCAAATATGGACATTCCCCTTACTGATATACCACAGTCTTTCTGTTCGATGTGGACCATTCTCCAAGTTCCGTGCCTAAACATTCCTGGCTTTGGGGGAGAAAATAAGTTACCTATCGGTCTCACCCTCGTAGGTCCGCGGTATACCGATGAGCATGTTCTCTGGGTCGGAAAGAGCATTGGGGAAGTTTTTGCGCGAGAGGGTGGTTGGAAATCAAAACTGATCTAAGAACTTGAACAAGGAGTAGACTTCTCAAGTATCAATCCACTCTGAGCCTTATAGCTTAAAGCAAGTGCCCTAGATTTCATTTCGCGGTGGAAGAGATAAGCGGTAGTGGTGTTCTAACCAATTTAGTAATTACAACATAAACAAAGACATAAATCTTTTTATCTTGACAGCACGATCTGGAGTTGCCTGCTCTCCCCTGCATATTCGACGAGAATATGATTTGTTGGATGTTACATATTTCAACTACCCCTTATTTTGTCCACGGCCAACCACAGCTCGTCTCATCTTAGCGGCGAGGGTTGCCCTCGAAAAGCACTAACTCGGCGTTAGTCGTGTGACCTAATGATAGTCCATTCATCACGTGTGTCTCTACATTCCAGGTTCTTTGTTGCTATTAGTCAATTTCCGCCGTTAAGCGGCTTAAAGCGATACCTTGCGGCTCTAGTAACGGCTCGATAAGGAAATTATCACAAATCGAACGTCGAGAGTTATCAACAATGGGGTCGAGTCTACAGTGTTTGGCCAGGAAAGATAGACCATGACTACAACCAAACGACAGCACTTGGCGGTGTTTACCCGATTTCGCAGGGCGTCCGGTACGAATAGCTTTCACTCGCTCAACATATCTGCTCCACCGAGCAATCCTACCTAAATCCTTTTCCTCGCCGTACTAGACGGACTTCGGAGCAAGTACTTCTTCCTCACCTGTTGTCACCTTCAACTGTGCCTCATACGCACCATCTATCTTAATTATCCAATTCACCCCGTTTCTTGACCGCTTTCACAACCCCCCACTGCTGCTCCAAACAGCGCCCTTGATTTGACAAATAAACCGACAATCAATCGCATCACAGCCAGTCACATCCGACAGCTCAGCGGCAGACTGCATATAGAGCTGGCATAAGTACGTACACACTTCGACTGTAGGTGTGCTACGTAGTTTACTTCCAGCATCACATCTTACAATTCTCGATCTTCAGAATATGGCTCCTCCAGCAGCTATTGAAGTTCTGGCAACTTCAGACACGCAAGGCATTGTTATACCAGATGCATTGACCGTCAATGGTGTTTCTGCTAGGCGTGCGAAGGCGGGAAAGTTAAATGGAGGAACCGCTGCGTTTACCAGTAGTGATTTTTTCAAGCATCCGGTGAGTGATGAGATTTGTGCTTTTTGAAACTCACTGACGATCTGACAAAAGTCATCTGGCAAACCTAAAGCGAAAAGATGGGATAGTTCGTAACCCTGGTGCCCCACTCATATCACCTACTAACCTCAATTGAAGATTATCTGAGTCTTGAGAGTAAATCTAGAATGCCATCCAGTCTGAAAGGTGCGGCAAAATATCTCGGTAAACCTGGGTTAATATCACTTGGTGGTGGCTTGCCATGCGCAGAAAACTTCCCAATAGAAGAGTTGACTATCAAAGTCCCTTCACCACCTGGGTTCAGTGAAGAAGAAACTAGTAAGACGGGGACAACTGTCACGACAGGCAAGTACGATGTCTCAAACGGATCCGGTGCGTACGACTTGTCGATTGCATTGAATTACGGACTGGGAGTCGGCTCCGCGCAGATGATTAGATTCGTGACAGAGCATACAGAGATCGTATGCAATCCTCCGTATGAGGACTGGCAATGTGCTCTCAGTGTGGGAAGTACCTCATCTTTGGAACAAGCATACCGAATTTTCTGCGAAAGAGGTGATTATGTCATATCAGAAGAATACACCTTCGCCTCAGCAGTCGAAACCGCTCTTCCATTAGGTATCAAATTCGTAGGAGTTCAAGTGGATTCCGAGGGTCTCCTCCCAAACTTAATAGACGAGATCCTAACAAATTGGGATGCCACCGCTCGAAAAGCCCGAAAACCACGAGTTTTGTACACGGTTCCATCCGGTCAAAACCCTACAGGAGCAACACAAGGCACAGCGCGACGCCAAGCCATCTACAAAGTAGCACAAAAACACGATCTGTACATCTTCGAAGACGAGCCGTACTACTTCCTCCAGATGCAACCGTATACAGGGCCCAACTCCCCGCCCGTCCCCGCCCCCAAGACCAACGAGGAATTCCTCAAGGCGCTCATCCCGACGTATCTGAGTATGGATACAGACGGGCGAGTCATGCGTATGGATTCGTTCTCGAAAGTCATCGCGCCTGGCACGAGAGTCGGATGGGTCACTGCGTCCGAGCAGATCATCGAGCGCTTCGTCAGACATAACGAGTGCTCGAACCAGAACCCAAGTGGGATTTCACAGCTAGTGCTGTACAAATTGCTTGATGAGACATGGGGCCATCACGGGTATTTGCAGTGGTTGATCCATTTGAGACTCGAATACACACGCCGGAGAGACGCACTGCTCGAAGCGTGTGAGAAGTTTCTTCCAAAAGATATCGTATCGTGGAATCCGCCCGCGGCTGGCATGTTTGTAAGTCCCACCTACCCTCTGACCATTTCCCGGTACTAACATAGTAAGCTCTGGATGAAACTAAACCACAAACTCCACCCCTCGCAGTCCACCAATAAACCTCTCACCATCGCCGAGATGGAAGATCAAGTATTCCTCGCCGCCGTCGGGAACGGGGTTCTCATCTCTCGCGGTTCCTGGTTCACAGCCGAGCGTGAGGGATTCGAGGCGCATGAGCTGTTCTTTAGGGCTACGTTTGCGGCTGCTACGGAGGAGAAGATGGCGGAGGCTATTTATCGGTTTGGTGATGCTGTTAGGGCGTGTTTTGGTGTTAGTAATGGAGGCGGGGACGTTGAGGCTTAGGTTTTGAGGTTAATTGGTGTGTTGCAAGAGGAATCTCATGGGCTGAGGAAGCTTTTAGTTTTTCACTAGAAAGATCTCGGGGATAGTGTGTACTTCAACATAGATTGTGATCTAGATAGATGAAATGCAGCAGTGTGATAGTAAGCGCCACATGAATTTGAAAATTCGGGCCTGGAGTAGCATGGAAGTTACCTCTACGCGCATTGAAACAAGATAAGAATATTTGCGATCATATATTACATACTTGTATTGTACATCTGCAGTGAAGTCCAACATGTCCCAAAAAATGATAAGTATTCGCTTGATAACCATTCCAAGATATTCCAACATCTACTTCTCGCTCATCTCACCGCCCTTCCTATCATAAAAGCTCACAAAAACTCCGTCACCAGGCTGCAAAACAATTTCCGCCTTGAGGGTCGGATTTCCTCCATCCCGCCTCAGCATATCCGACTCCACCCTCTCAAACCTCTGCATAAGTCTCACAAGCGTGTATCCCATCTCGGTGAGCGCAAACTGTTGACCAATGCAAATCCTGGGTCCACCGTTGAAAGGGATGTATTGCCAGGGTTTGGGCTGCCATGTCTCCCAGCGTTCCGGGGAGAAGGTGAGAGAGTCTGGAGTGAGATCGGGACGGCGTTGCATGATGATGGTGCTGTAGCCGATGGGTGTGTCTTTGGGGATGCCGATGGGGTCGAGACCGGAGGGTCCGCCCCCACGGGGGAGAGTTGTGTCTTTTAGGGCGAGACGAACGTTGAATGGCACGGAGGGGTAGAGGCGGAGGGTTTCATGCATCACGTTCTGGAGATGGATTTAGTTTGTGGAAACTAAGATGGAAGGGTGATGCTTACCTGCAAGTACTTCATATTCTTCAGATCGTTATACGTTGGTGCCCTCTCCAATCCAACGTGTTGAATGATCTCTTCTCTTAATTTCTCGACTATCTTGGGACGTTGAGATATCTCGTAAAATGTCCAGGATAATGTGGAGGCCGTGGTATCACGACCAGCGAGTAGAACAGCAACGAGTTGATCGCGAAGGACTTTTCGGTCACGGGTAAAGGCTGCTAGGGCATGGAGAAAGGTATATCCTTCGTCTGACTTTGATTTTGTGGCCAATTCCTCAGGGGAGAGCGCGAGGGCTTCGTCGATGAATGGCTCGACAAACTCATTGAGCGTTTTGAGGTGTTTGAAGAATTGTTTTCTAGGGACGAGTTTGTTCATTGGGCTGTCACGTTAGTTAAAGAGCTGTGATGAAGGTGATGGACTTACCCAGATCGAGCAATGATATTTTGCCATTTCTGGACCTCGCCAAATGCCTCTGCAAACGCTACTTCATGGTTTTCGAGATTTCCGACACTCCTCCCAAGCAAGAAGTGTGTTGCAGCATCCAACGTGTAGCGGAACAACATTTCGCTGATATCAAATGGCTTTCCCTGCTTCCCGTCGGATGTTGTGCCCTCCTTGACCATCTGCTTCATAAGAATCTGTATATGTTCCTCAAAGATCCCCAAATCGCTAACACGGTCCTTGATGAACTGCGGTCGAATCAACTGCCGCGAATCGTGCCACTGATCCAAATCTGTTGTAAAGATTGAATCCCCCAAGAAATGCTTCCATTCTTCATGGAAAGGTTTGCCTTTGCCATAATCCGTAAATTGGGTTGCGAGAATCGTCTTTATATTTTCCGGATCCGCGGTAAAGATGAGACGGCGACCAAGAGGACGGGCTTCAACGGTGTAGTTTGGACCTTTGGGCGTCGAAAACCAATGTGTCCATGTTTGGAGATTTCTGTGGTTGATTGTTCCATGAATAGCGCGGCCGATCAGGTCGAGTTCTGCTCAAGTGTCAGCCAATTGAGCCATAGAATGAACTACGTTGAGAGTGATTTACGGAATGGCAGATAAGTCTGAGCTCGGCGGGTGTGCCCACCAAGTCGGCGAACCTTAATCTCTTCTGCTAGCCATGTTGTATTCCAAATGATTGCCAACACGGCAACAATTGCAACGGCCAGATTCAGAGGCGAGGAGTGCTCAAGCACCGTTTCGACGATGCCACCCATTCTGAATATTCGTATCTTTCGCAGTCGATTTTGAATATAGTGAGCCACACCACAACAGTTCCAAAGTCTTCTCAGAGTCACCAACCCGCTCAACAGCTTAGATGTCTCCTCATATATTCACGGTCGGATGAATTTTCGGCCATGTCGCAAGTTGCAAGCTCCGACATCTTCCAACCTCGACCTTGCATCATTGGGAAATTGTGGGGTTCGCAAAAGCTTGAGGTTCTGGCTTGAAACCACGCGATGGGCTTGGAAGGCCTGCAATTCGCTGTTTACTTCATCCACGATACGGGGATGGGGTATCGATGGTGGTTCACATGCCGACGGGAAGTGGTCGCAGAGAATCGATGTGTGTTCGTGTCTCTTCAGCGCAAAAGGGTGACAAGGATCGCTCTGAACCGAGATGTGGGGTAAATGCGGGGATCGAGGAATAAAGGACATGTGAGGGTACTTGACTTGTACTTGTAAGATCTCGCGATGATCGCTGTCTACATAAATGCGAAGTCTATCACGAAGAAGAAGAATGTCGAAGTTCAGAGCCACGTAATCAAAGCCTAGCTTCACTGGTGCTCGAAAGCTGTGTATCAATTATATTTGTAGATAAACCACCGGTACGCTTAAATCACTATGTACAACGCCAACTCCCCCCCAGACTGATCTTTTTTTGTTTCAAACTACAGCGAACATTCCGTCGCATTGTTTTGCGTGCAAAATACCATCTGGACAGGCCCAGCTTGGATACCACGAAGAACCATACGTTCTCTCATTTCTGCCAGTCTTGGGCTTGCAGTGATTTGACTCCTGTTTTGACCCGAAGCATCTTGTCTTCCAGACCAGAGTACTTCACCTGCTGCACTTGCTCTTGGCCATACAGCACCATCGAGGTTGACTGGGTCGGTTTGTTCAGACCACATGTGGACTTCTCCCCCTAAGACTAGATGCTGCTCAGCAGCTGGTACGCCTGCAAGAGGGTCATAAGCGTAAACAAGACGCCAGTTCTTGAAAGGAGAACAGTAATCGTTGAATGGATAAAACTGCTTGAATGATGCTCCGTTATCAAAGTCTAGCCATTGTCCTTTTCCACAGTCGAGGTACTATGCGATTGTTAGCACGCCAGAACTTGTAGTCAGTAGATGAATGCGGCCACATACCCAGGAGTTGTAGTTTCCAGCCAGTACCTTGTGGCCTTGACCCGTAATTAAAGCAACGTTCTCGTCGCTTTGCCATGCTTGTACGATAACATCCGATCCGAGGGTGAGATTCCAGACCAAAAGCATTTCTTCCCAGACAATTGGAGTCAGTCCGTTCTTGCGAAGTGCCGCGTGATTTCGGTCAACCAATTTTTGAATCAGCGGGCCAATGACAGCTTTATCACTAGACTTGACAGTAGGGTCGAGTAGATATGTATTGGTATTTACTTCGTCTCCACCTGTATGAAAGTAAGAGCTGTACGGTGAAATTCTTGGTAGAAGGTCGTTCCATAATGTATCAAGAAACTGGTCGACCGCTGGCTCGTTGAGCTTTAGCGAGCCACAAGGTGGTTCTGCACAGTATGTGTCCCAAGGATGTGCATTAGCTGCGGCGATGAGATTAGGATAGGCTAAGCTAATTGCTGTGGTGTGACCTGGCATGTCGAATTCTAAGAAGATTTCGATCCCACGCAAGATACCGTAAATTTGAATGTCCTGAATATCTTTTGGACTGTAGCTTAGCCCTGTCTGGTAAGCACCTTTGGCGGCTAACTCAGGAAGAGCTGGAATTTCTATTGGCCATGATTGAGAGTCTGTTATATGAATATGCATTCTGTTGAACTTGTTCATAGCAAGCGCATCAATCGTCCTCTTAATGTCTTGCACAGGATACCAGTTTCGAGCAACATCCAGGTTCATGCCCCGATGAGCGAACTTTGGCGCGTCAGAGATAGCAACGGGCGCCATGTTTGTATAGAGACCATTTCCGGAAGAATGAAGATAGAAAAGCTGGGTGAAGGTTTCAAGCGCGTGCAAGATTCCAACTGCAGATACCGCCGTGATACGAGCATCCCCATTAGTACTAATTGTTAGGTTGTAAGACTCATCAAGCTCGCCATCCAGGGGTTTATAACTTGTTGAATTGTCCTTGCCGGTTTGAATGATTGTTATCACTTTGATGGATACCCCGGAATTAGAGTTGACTGCCGGCTCGAATTTGGCGAGCTCATGTCGCGCAACCAATTTCCAAGGGATTAGGCTTGATTTGAAGAGAGTGTCTAATGTGCGTGTAATCGCCTGTTGCACGATGGACTGACTTGATAAAGCACCACCACTGCCATATCCGATGGAGGAAGACTGTACACCCAAGAACTGCTCAGTTTGACTGTTTGAAAAATTATCAGAGAAAGGAATCCACCATACGCTTCGACCATTATAGGTCACTTTGACATCAGAAGTAATCCACAACACCGAGTTGCCCGTCGACATAGATACAGGAGCAGGCCATATTGCCAGTGCTTGTGAGAAGAAGGCGAGAAGGGTACAGAGTAAGAAGAGCATCATGCTGAGGTACAAATGAGATGTACAAGATAGCAGATTGTTGGAACTCAAATGTTGTGACAAACGGAAACAAATGTGGGGGAACGCAAGCAGTTATATATGTCCCAATACCATTCACAACCTAATGTCCCACAACAGAAGATAGCTTGCAGTGAGTGAATCCTCCACCTCCTTGCCAGGACTCAGGATGGACAGCTGCAGGGAAGCTAGAGCCAGGCTAGCAAGAGTCAGGCTGAGTTGTGCGAGGGTTGGTGATTAAAGTTGGGGATCTGCTGTCATCCCAGGAAATTAACGAACTCTCGGATGCAAGAGCAGAGTCCGATGTCGTCTGGTATCGTCTTTCTGCTATTCAACATGGATGCACTCGCTTGCTCGGATCGTTGTGTCTACATTTAGGGGTGTTCTGAGTTGCCCGTCCCGTTTAGGTTGGATCAACCAACGAGCAGACGGCAGTGTGGCTCTGCAACGTTACGGCAGAACCAGCCGCCGTCGGTGTTTTGTCGACACTCGGAGAATACTTCTTGTGACGTCCTGTCGCTTGGGTGTGATGCACAGCACAGTAGTTGCACTGTTTGCGGGAGGGAGGGAGGGAGAGCGAGGGAGGTGCAAAAGGGCCGTTGGACCAGTCGATCGTGGTCGACGGTGAGGAAAGGCCGGTACCTGGACAAGGCCAACGACAATCGTCAAATCAAGTCGTTTGAGTGCCGATGGATCGCCAGTGATTAAATCAGTTTTATGCACGATTAGTCCGGGGGGTCATCCTGTCTCGCTAAACTGCTCGAGTACGCAGGCGTGTGCTCTCCGAGTCCGATATCCATCGATGGCACGAGGCTAGTCCGTTGACAGGTCTGGTAACATTAGAGTTGGATATTGTGAGTGGGATGAATAGAGATAGGCGTTAGGTCTGTGGCTGGCAACGGAAACATTATGCTTAAATGGCAGTGACTGACAGGAAGAACGATAGCTTCGCTAGGTACGCAAAAGATCTCACTAATAATAACTCTAAGACCACCAGCCACAAAAGGCGGCTTACAAGCGCCGACAAATGGAGCGTTTGATGTCGTCTGGGCTCTGGACAGATGGATTCCAAAGTGAGTAAGATCTTAGCTAACAGAGAATATCAAACAGAAGAAAATCACCCCTGTTTGGAAGCTTGAGAAGGGAACCTCAGGATACACCATATTTCTGATTAATTCACAAAGAAACTGTGACTTTGCTGCATAGTTCGTTTGTTGGTCAACGATGATCACCATACGCTTGAATCATTAATAGACGAATACCTCGTAGCTCGCTTTCTGGGTTTTAACAGCACAGATACGGATCTCAAAGTCCCCTCGGTCCCCTATGTACTGGTCCTTAGCGATAAGAGATGTGGTGCACGGCTCAAAACACTTTATCGCTCGGAGCTAGCATCGGCGATTAGGATACACAATCACGAGTGCACGCGACAGACGCGACGGACCGTTGACGGCAAGAAACAAGACAATTCTTCGCAAATCTCCCACTGGACAATGGAAACCAATTCAGATTCCAGCCGAGTTCTTGTCAATGGCGTCTCTGACAATACTCGTCCCTTAGCAGGTGCAGTCGTCTGCTGCACCTCGGTGCCGGAAGAGAAACGCGTAGGTTATTGCAAACGCTCTGTTCTGTTTCTTAAGTTTGTATGTCTTTCCTAACGTATCCTCCAGACAGCCCTCGCCGAGTATTGTCAACAAATGGGCGCGACCCACCGGCTGGACCTGACTGTGGACGTAACTCACCTTATTGTTGGTGATTACAAAACTACCAAATACCGCTATGTTGCTAAGGGACGGCCTGACGTCAAACCTATGACAATTGGGTGGCTTGAAGCTGTGCGAGATCTATGGATGAACGATGAAGAGATGGATGTAGAAGCGTTGGAGAAGGAGCACGCATTGCCAACCTTCAATGGTTTGAAGTTTAGCATGACGGGATGTGATGATCGTAAGTGCTATGCTGTAAAATGTATAAAAGGGTCCTGACTGACAGACCTCCAGCGGACGAAAGGTCGGATTTTGCGAATCAGGTCAGATCGAATGGTGCTACGTACGAGGGTGATTTGACCAAGCAAATAACTCACTTGATATCCTTTCGCACCGATGGCGCGAAGTACAATGCTGCAAGAAATTGGAAGCTTCAAGTGGTAAGCCCGGAATGGGTGCGGGATAGTTTGGAGCGCGGGATGATCCTGGACGAGAAACTATACGACCCTATAATGCCAGTTGAAGAACGAGGAAAGGGAGCGTGGGACAAAACCAAACCAAAAAGGGTATCGTTAGGAAAACGATCGAGGGATGCTAGTGTTTCTGGAATGGAAGGGGTAAAGAGGAAATTGAGGAGGACTGCAAGTACAAAACTTAACAGTCAAAGCGGACGGATGTGGGAAGACATTGTTGGAGGTGGAAACATTACGGAAGTCGCCCGAAGTGGTGTATGGGATGCCCAGGAGGTCACCACCCAGCTATCCTTTGCCAAACCCCGACCGAGAGCAGAAAATACAGTCACCGTAGGGCCGGCACAGCCTCTTTTGGAAAATAGAACCTCAACTAGTGGGTTTTTCAATGGATGCAGGTTCTACTCCTATGGGTTTTCTCGGGACAAAGAAGAAGTGCTTTGCGGCCACCTACTACCTCAAGGCGCTGAGGTTGTAGGCTCTCTAGATGAGCTACGATCTGTCTCGAATCTCGATCCTCCTGCGCATCTTTTCATGGTAGTACCTCATGACTTACCCATATCAAAACATCCTGATTTGCCATTGTCACAATTACTAATACGAAAAATAACGGTTTGGTGGGTAGAGAAGTGCATCCAGGAGAAGAAGTTTATCGATCCAGACCAGTATATCATTGGCCGGCCACTCCCTGTCTTTCCAATCGTAGGGTTTCAGGGCATGACGGTATGCTCTTCAGGATTCTCGGGCATCGACCTGCTACATTTGAAAAAAGCTATAAACTTAATTGGCGCAAAATACAGCGAACATATGACCAAGGACTGCTCGGTACTTATTTCCAAGTCTCAGACAGGCTTACGGAAAGACAAATACGAGTACGCCAAGGATTGGAAAATACCTATCCTTGCGGCAGATTGGTTGTGGGAATGTATCTCACAGGGTGTTAGAGTAGAACCAAAGGCACATACCTTCAGGTCACAGAAGCGTTTGGACGCTTTACCGACCATTACAGCTCCTCCGAAGACTAAGCCCGAAGAAGAAAAAGAGAGAAGTCCGCCTACGCAGAACCATTTAGCATTGAAGATCGAGGTGGAACGACAGCCAAGTCCGGTTGCTGACACTTCTGTGGTTACTGCTCCGAATCAAGCTGCCAAGATCAAGCAAGAGCAAGAAACACACTCTGCTCCTAAGGAGATACAGGCTTCAGACGCTACATCAGAAGACGCCTCGTTTAAATTAGACCCTCTGTCAGAAAGGGACCCCATTTCCCCGTCTAGAACGGTATCGACAGCACCAGCACCATCAGGGCACCCTCATTCAAAATCAATTCATGAAGATTATAGCAGCGGTATTTCGGACCTGTTGGCCAAAACGAGGCGGTCAGTACAGCCAGCGAGTAATGAAGGTCCTGAAGGCGTACGAAAACGTGGGCCCAGTCGCATTTTCGGACGGGTTGCCAGTAATATGTCAGCAACATCAAACACTCATTCACGCTCGGCATCAGTCGATTCGACGGCTACACATAGCAATGCAGTCGAACCTGTGGCCACGAAGGACGACCAACTAGCTATGTTTTTAAATGGTGATAGAAATATGGAGAAAGACAACGAGAGTCAGCCTCCGTCTACTCAGTTGCAGTACGCGGATGAAGAGAGTGCTGCGGTCACGGAAAGAGTCATGGCAAGAATGTTGGGCGAGAAGCTTCCACCCAGACGTTCGGGTTTGAAGCAGAAAGCGATAACTATTACCAGTGTGTCAGATTTAGAAACTAGAGCGAGGTCCACCAGGCAAAGGGCTCGGTAAGGTGCAATGTATCCTGTACCACATTCAGGATATCTTTAAGGCGGAAGCCTCTAGCAATGATGTTGAATACCAACTTTATTAAAACTATGCCCCTTGTGCTAGAATATAAACGTTTTGTCCTTTGAACATACGTAAGTGTCGTTCGGTTATTGTAATACTTGTCAGTACGTGAATTTTTCAAAACGATAGATAGACCACACTAATTTACACAGGCAAAACCCCAATGGCACCTACTTAGAGATGAGCTCTCGAAACTTTACCAGCTCAAGTACAAACGACAAAGCTCACCAGCTTATTAGAAGAGGCACAGCTACGGCACGTGACGTAATTATTGGGGTGGAGAAGACAACTTCCAAGCTTGTTTCACGATCTCCCGCCATAATGCGATACTTCGTGCCCTTACTTTCTGTGGGATATTCACTACTGTTATATTTGAAGCGTTGTTGATGTAAAATACAACAACTTCCCGAGAATCGAAATACTAGGGTCTCGATGGGAGGTACAGGACCAAACTATGCACCTCACGTGTGCGACCCTTGTCGACGAAGGAAGAAGGCATGTGACCGGGCCATACCAGTATGCTCTCGTTGCGAGAAGTTAGCCATTACTTTCTATCCTTTAAACAGCTCGTTAATAATAACGTTGCGTTTAGATTCAAAGTCAAGTGCTATTATGTTAACACCAAGACCGAGACAGCAACACCTGTAGTTGCACCAACTGATGTTCCATTACTACCAGGTCGAACCCCTCAATCTCAAGGTGTAGAATATCAGGTTCTGATAGAAGCGAGAAAACTCCTGAATGATATACTCGAAAGACATGGACACCTCACTGAAGTATGGGATGCGTACTTCCGGAATCTACACAGGTCACTTCCCATCATTAACCAAGAACAACTTCAACGGCAATTTACAAATAACGATGAGACTTCACAGGCTCACTTCCCATTAGTTTTGCTCTCGATATATTTATTAATAACGCGATTGCTACCTCATAATCCAGAAAAGGGAGACGATCAACTATATGTTCAGCTGAAGAGTATACATTCTCTTCTACAGTCTACCGGGAATGTGTCAACGGACCTCATCCAGGCGGGTCTTATGATTGCGGTCTACGAGCACTCTCAAGCTATGCATAGGGATGCTTGGTTAACTGTGGGAACTTGTGCCAGGATGGGTCATCTTCTGGGTCTACATACTTTGATAAAACAAGTATCGCCTCCTGAAGGCTCGCAGCGTGCAGGATTTGAAGAAAAGAGACGTTTATGGTGGATCATTGTGGTGCTTGAAAGGTAAGTAATTCTCTAGTTCTTAAGACTTGACATGTCACTGCTAACACATAACTTGAAAATGATAGAATCGTAAGCCACGACAGCAAAGACACTCGTCTACCTTTTGCCTCAGAACCACCACATGCTCATGATATCCTTCCCCCAAGATCTCTGGAAGTAGAAACTCCACCCATTGTCATCAGCGACATGCTGTTGCCCGAGCACATCAACCTGGAAGACCGAGGAGCAATACCCAGTCGCCAATTCACAGGCCTCGGACCCTTTCCAACCACAATCCAAGCCGTATATCTCTCAACACTCATTGACGAACATATCAAAACCACATTCTCAAACCCGGAGCTACGCAAACTCAACGCTAGAAAACTACATGCGTGCCTTGAATCCTTCTCGGGAGCTTGTATCCCCGGACCCGGGAAATCAGAAGGAACTTACTGTGGTTCCTACAGCATTCGAACATTGTACGTTTCCCCTCTCATCCACTCCGCATAGTTCTAACCATATTAGCGCCGTCTTCGCACTCTACGAACACGAACTCGCTCTGGCTGTCCAAGAAGGCGATCTAGACAGTATCTCACAAATCACCACCTCCTCACTCGCCCTCGCGAACCTTGTTATTTACCTCACTGGAAGTACCGAAGACAAACCTATCGACATGCCTACACTGAGTTATTGGAGTCATAGAATTACTTATCTCGCTTGTATGACTTTCATCAAGTACGCCCCGCGAGATGGGGATTGGGAAGGGAAGATTGAGGTTTGTCGGAGATATCTAGGACAATTGACGCCGAGGTTTCGGATCTATAGTAAGCTACCCTCAACTTGTTTTTGTTTTTGCGATGACTAGTGTAGTTGGATTAAAGGCTGACTTGTAAACAGGTGATGCGCTATTGGATATTGATGAAGCTAGGAAGAATGCTCTACGCAGTTCGGAAAGTACAAGCATGATGATAGATACGTGAATAGCAACAAGATCAGATACTTACACGAATCTTATCTGAATTTCATTTTCATACTTTGAATTATTATCAGCTGCAATCTATTAAACAGTGAAATTATGTCGGATTGTTAACCTAAAATCACGTGTAGTATTCATTCGGCTGAGTTCTATGCTATTTCTATATAATACCTCGTACGAAATCTGCTCACTCACTCTACTCAGGCATCTCAATATATTCCTTTCCCACTTAATTGCTCACTTCCTATAGTCACACCTCTACCCTAAATCTATATTAATGTCTATAGAGAAATATCCTAAATATTCTACACATATATCGATACGTTATCAAATGGACATTAAATTTGTGAGTTACACATACTCAGCGATTATACATTTTCTAAAAGAAAATACACCCTTATGTTTCAAACTTATGTATTACACAACACCGGCTTTTACAGCGTCAACCACAAGTCTTTAGACATCCTCCCTGAACCTCCATCTAATCACCCAGGAAACGGAAACACAGCAGGACTCCTATACCCATTCTTCGCAACGCTCCTGACGCCAAACACCACATTATCCTTACTAATCGGCACCCTCGCCCCCGTCACATCCCCAACCTCGATATAATGAGTCCAGAAAGGCTCATCAGTCGGCCTCCACATAATCTCATACGCCACGGCCCCCTTAGCTCTTGCCCAGCTGAGAATACTGTCATTCGTCAGAATCGTCGTGTCGATCGTGACATTCTGCGGGTTCTCCGGTCCGTTCGCCAAGCTCCATGCCGCAGCGCCGTTGACTTTGGCGACGCGGGAGATGTAGTAGTAGTCGCAGAACTCTGGTAAATCACCGTATTGCGTGCCGTTCTCGACTCTGACGTCTTGGTGTTGGTGAGCGAAGTTCTCTCGAGGCTCGGTGAAGCGATTGGCGGCGTAGCCTTGGGCCAGAAAGGAAGAGTGATCACCGCCTCTGAGGTAGCGATCGGTACGGTATATAGTCTCCACGGACATACCCGTCAAGACGTTGGATGCTACGTCGCGCGTGAAACGACCAAGCTGGCGAGCAGGGGAGTCAGATTCACCGCCAATTGTGAGGCGACGAGAAGCTCTTGCGGAGGTCTCATTGACGGGTGTTCCTTGTGCAAATAACCGGATAATATTTGAGTTGTTCTTTCCGTCATCTCCAATCGGCGAGCCTACAATATCGTTGGCTGATTATTATGTTAGTATCATGTTTTGTGAGAGTATCAAAAGCTTGCCACTTACTCCACATGCCTTGGACGTTTGCGTTTTTGGCCGCTAGCTGTCTAGCCATATATCCTGACCCATAGAGGTTCTGTTCTTCACCTGCCACGGCAGCAAATTGAATCGTTGCGGCAGGTCGGTGAGTAGCCATAATTCTTGCTAGTTCCAGAGAAATAGCTACGCCAGAAGCATCGTCATCAGCTCCTGGAGCATCGCCAGTGAAGTCCATGACATCTGTTTTACGAGAGTCATAATGGCCACTACACTTGTCAGCTATGCCATTTGGGCTCTGGGAACCGGACTCACGAAAGTACAATAATCCTACCAGGGTCGGTGGTTCCTTTCAAAGTTGCGATGATATTGCTGACATTAGTATCAGCCGTCAAACGGCCGCCGGCGGGTTGAATATAACTCTGTAACTCGACGGTCATCCAGCCGTCGCTCGCTGCTGCGTAACTTTGGAACTCCTTCAAAAGCCAGTCTCGAGCGGCACCAATGCCTCTTGCTGGATCGGTTTGCGTACTCTGTGTATGCCTCGTCCCAAAAGAAACCAGCTTCTCAATAATAGCACCAATTCGCTCTGGCGAGACTTGTCGTAACATAGCCGTGAGCTCGCCATCTGGAAGTTGAGGTGTGGAAACTTTCCCTTCTAGACCTGTAGGATAGCCATTGATCCCACAAAGATCTGAAGGAAACGGAAGCGGGGCTAGGATAGCTGTAGAAGAATTCGCCCTAGGCGGTGCAATAGTCTGGGCATTGCTAAAGGTAAGTGAGGAAAGCAAAGCTGCTTTCATAAGATTTGAGAAACCCATCGTCATGAGAAGTAATAACAGCAATTTGAAAAAGTGAACAGACACATCAGTTGAGGAGAAACAAACATATATAACTCCCACCTTTCAGTGTTTAAGACTTACAAAACCCTTGGATGACTTCATCGAACGGTAGAGCTCTCGTCAACCCCGCCATCAAGCTGGTGCTCCCCGGTTAAGGTGATATCGTTGTGAAAGCTTGCGCGATCGTACCTGGTATGTCACTGCTTCCAGGGTACATTACAGGTGGGATTGAGCAATTGAAGAGTTATGATTTATGACTTTACCCCGATAAGGAAGCTGTATATGCAAGTGGATAACAGGGCGACTGGGCAAGCCATCCCATCATTCATTAAGCGAGCTGGTACCGGTATACCTAGGTATCTACCGAGACAGTGGCAATCGACAGAGCAATTTATAATAAGAATCCGATTGAGTGGTAATTGTTGTCGAAGAAGCTGAACAACAATACAATTTCACCTAATAGATTTCTAATTAGCCGAGAATCGTTTTGTGAAGGAGACTTACCTTACGCAAACACTGAACGTATACCGAACTTCGGGAAAAGGCATCACACAGTAAAGTAAGTACAACAAGACAACATTGGTCAAATATAATGCCAGACGGCCATAGGAAAAATTCTTATTATACCTTCTTAACCGATCTCAGTCTTAAACGTATAGCGCTAAATCCAAAAAAAATACACACCAGGGTATTAACTCCGCGCCTATGCCCGCCACTCTATAGAATTTAAATTTATAGAACTTACCCCTGCCCCGTAATGACTACTACCTTCCTTTACTTGGCTTCTTGTTTGTCTTCATTTTCATATCCCTTAACACACCTACGCTATGCCATACGCTATCACTGACCCGAATCGGCAGCTTCCTTCCTTTGAGTCGCTGATCAACTAGCCAAAGACCAACGACAAACTCTTCCTTTCCTAAGCTGCCCCCTTCGGTTCGGTTGACGAGGTCATAAGCTTCTTCAAGGATATCACTGTTTAGCCTAGACCTAGACCAGATATCTCGCACTACCAAATTAGAGACTGATGATTCTAAGCCAGCTGATAGGTGGAGACCCCTATTACTAGCCCAAACAGCTTCATAGCGTCTTCGTTCTCTTTCGGTAATCTCATCCCGCCAACGCTTACGATCCCCTTCATGATGCTTGTTCGGGTGCTTTTTCATCAGGTGTGCCTTCTTCATTCGACGTTTCGCACCTTCATCAGGCTCTTTTTCCAACTTTGGTTTTCTCATCGTCGTTCGCAGACCAACAGGTTTGGAAGGACTCCCAGACCTAGATGTTTCACCATGGTACAAATGATGGCCTCTGGGGCTTCGTCGTGACGGAGGAGCTGGTGGCCGGAGGCTCTTGGACGGAGAGGCGGCTCGAGAAGAGGCTAAGCTACTTGCTACTATTGCATTTGCTAATGAATCTATTGCAGCTGCGGAGTTTGCAGTGTGTTGGGAAGTAGATGCAATACGCTTTGGCTGATCAACTTTGGCGCGGACCATTGACCTGCCATCTGTAGCGGACACGAAAGATTCATCTGAAGAGGCCTCCTCGGTATCGTTCTTTGCATTCAACGTGGGATGTGGTCGAGGTAGTATAGGTGCTACCTTGTGTGTATCTACAGGTCGAGGTGGATCTACTATATATCTAGATGATATATCTTTTGGTCGGGATGGCTTTAGTGGCGGAGCAGCGTGCTCTTGGGTCGGAACGGTGCGATTTTGGTAAGAAGATGAACTGACGCTTCTTTGCGCAGCTAAGAGAGCCGGCCGTGCTTGCGATTCCGTCTGGCTCTGCTCGAACATATGTATCAGGGATGTGGTTGGCGGGATAGATGTGAGATCTAAGGGTTGATCGGAGCCTCTTGAAGAACCACTACTTCTCAACGGAGAGAGTGATCGCCGAGAGATAGCAATTCCTTCCCAATTACCAACCGTACCGGGTCTTTGGTGTTGCTGGCCAGTAACATTCGGACTGACAGAGGGAGATCTTGAAGCCGCTAGATTTGCTGCGAGGAAAGACGCTGACTTGGCCTGCTCTGGTTTAGGTCGTAAGAGGCCATTCCCAGTCCGCGCCGTGTATCTTTGATCGTCGTCAACATGGTTTATATGTCTCCCTGGACCATCGTAGATGTGAAGTTGTCCTCTCCTTTGTCCCTCCAGTGTTCCATCTAGCAACGCCCCATTGTTTACACTCCGAGCCCCTCCTACTTTGGTCGCAGCAGCCAAAGCCCCATTATTTCCGCTGTATGTATTGACTTGAGGTTTCGGTTTCACAGGAGGTTTTCCGAAGGCGAGTGCGGCTCCTCTGAGAGCTGTAGCACTTTGGGTTGCTGCAATTGCTGCATCCTTGTCAAACCGTTCGGGGGCTACTCTTGGATGATTGGTACTCATCTGGCGGCCATAAGCTTGCGAACGAGTCGTGTTCGTGATATCGTCGCAGAAGAGGATAGAGCATATATACGAAGATGCTCATATGATTGAAGAAGGTCGAAATATTGAGATCAAGGAACTTGTTAGCCCCGAGGTCTCCGTGGATTGTAAGCTCTCGGGCAACAAGGCTTGATACTTTCTGACAAGGCTGTGGTGCAGGTGATTTATGTGGGCCTTTACGAGTAAGATCTGTCGGAGTTAATGAACGTTTGCTGGTATGCTCGATATAGGAGTAAGCAATAGTCCACTTCGTTGCACCGTTACCGTTTATTATGATTGACAGTTAGATCATTTATTTATAGCTAATTGTAGGCAGTTAAGTGCATCAATTGCAAGTACTACGTGATGAGTGAATACAAACTAGAGTGATCTAAATGTCAGTTGAATAGACTTATTTGCACCAAACAACTGTGAAGAGGTACTTATTGAATATGAATGATTTGGATCGGTCATCATACAATACTCGAGTAAAGCAATCGGTGTTTTGAATACGCTGTATTTCTATTTCTTATTCATCATTCATGCCGATCATCTATCATGAACTTACTCGCTGTGACTTTCATCTGTGAAAATGACCTATACCCGACTCTAAAATGCGCAACTCCAGTGCCTAATGCTAATTGATACCTAATTAACAAGAATCCCTGCTGAATGCTTCGCTCAAACGACCAGAAGAAATGATTGATTACATAACTCATGTACTGGTGGGACAAAACCCTAGAAGATACAGAATACCTCAAAGCAGGCCTTTGCAGCTGTCGTACGACAGTCGAAACGCAGAGCAGTTGATTGCAGTTTTAGGTATGCACGCCGGCATAGCAAGGCACACGACTGCCCTAATTTCGGTCTGCATCAAAGACCCTCCATGCATGTCGTATACTGACTGCAGCGCTGTCTGGTCCCTCAATATTTGACAATTTCGAGCCCAATCATACTGCTAACAACGAACCCAAGGAAGACGATGGTTCTGAGTGCTAGAAATCCCAATAAAGGTATCTTGGGGAGCTCGCTAGATATTTGAAGGACCAGGGAGGTGTGACAGTATTTCAGGCCACTCGAATTAGAATGGTGTCATATGCTTCAAGTTGCCTCTTCCGCGATCCAAGGTCTGCCAGAGAATCCAATTATCCAAAGTGTTGTCCGACTGTCTGGATGCCAAAGCTTTGGTCTTGGTGTAAAGTACTGCCGTCTCCTCCAATTTTTCTTTCTCTTCAGACGGAGTTCGCTTCAACGACCCTTCCTTAACAAAACCCTGGTTACTTGCACCTGGTATCGGAATCTGCATAATCCTAATCCACCCATCGGAGATCCACTTCGGAAAAAGCACAAAGCAGCGGCAGAGTGACCGCGAGTCGCAACGGTGATCATGATCTCGTCAGCACCCTGGACTAGTGGTTCTCGATTGTGGGTCATAGAACATTTCCAGAAGGTGAAAAAATCTCAAACGGACGAGGGGTGCGGGCCTCACCGCGGGGTTATAACCCCAACGTGCGTTACTGTAGAGAGCTGCCCGAAAGAGAATCGCGTCGCACGGTAAACCGACCGTCCTGTCCATAGTAAATCATTATGATGGGACTAAAGCTACCCATCTCACAGGAACACCGTCTACTCCGACTTCGTAACTCTTCGTTGGCACTTTCCTCGGCGGCAGCGCCCACTTTGCTCGACCAGGCTTGTGATCATCTAATTTTCCCTTCTTCCGCATGGCCATTTCCATGACTGCAATCCTGATGAAATCGCTGTTCTCGCGCATTTCGCGCTGACGGGCAACGGGCCCGACGACTTCGGCCAAGGTTTCTTGTGTGGATTGTGTACGTCGACTTATGACATTTGGTGAAGTACCTTTCGCAGAGCGGGAAATTTTGTACGTTTCCATCTGTATAGATGCTGTGCATTTGGATGCTGGCGTTGTCTGCGCAAGAGAAGGGGGTACATGAGCCTCGATTGGAGCGTTCGTCGTGGGATTAAGATATCGACGTAATGCTGGCGTAGGAGTATCTTCGAGTCGCGGTGGCATCCGCTCATCGGTAAAAGGAACCCGCGGGTCAATAGTGATGATAGATCTTGTAAGAAAATCGTCAGGTGTAATCAGGGGTGTTTTAAGAGATGAAAATGACTTCGCCGCTGAGCGAAGGGCTCGTAGTGATGCTGTCAAGTTCGACTTGAAGGCTGACTTCCGTGGTGTTACTTCGTTTGTATTTGAACACTCCTCTTTGTCGTCAGTTTCCCGCTGGAAGACTCGGAAGTCTAATTCATCAACATTGATCGTAGGTGACGATAACGGGTGGTCGTCTGTACTTGAATCTTGTGTAGAAAGAGCTCGAAGTCGCCGCGAAGGAACTGATCGTCGACTCCTCGGACTAGGCGTTGTAACAAAAGAATTCATAGAGGGCGATGCATCGCTTGGACAGTCGCCATCCAAGGATGGCATGGATTCGCTCGAGAGTGTCCTCGCAGACATTATTGACTCCTGCCCAGTTTCGCTGCCCGCTAAATCATCTTCCAATTCGTCCTGTGGACTCAGCAGAAGGTCGAGCGGGCTCCGACCCAGAGAGATGCTGTACTCTTTCTCCGAAACTCCTGTGTGCTGCAGTATAGCATCCACCGTCAGCCTCTGTCCCGCAGTTGGCCGTGCTCGATGCGTAGTATGGTATCGTGGGCCGGTAGGTATTTGGGTGATAGCCAGCAGAGCCGCAACGGAGGGCGAAATCGCATCCGGGGAGTGTATTGTCCTTTGTCCCCTCGCATGGCTTCTACGCTGACGTTCATTTCTGACCTGCGATCTTTGCCTAGGCTCATCGTGCTGTCCGCGAAATGGTATGACAACGGGCGAGGAAGGCGTCGTCGGTCGACTTCCTGTGTCGGTTGCGACTGAAGTGGTTGTAGCTGTCGTGGTAACACTCATAGTCGAAGAGGTCGCGCGCTTCGGCGGAGAGGGCCTTCTCTTCTCTTTTGCCTTTCGATCATTTTTGTCACTGACGTTGGAGTGATGTGCAGTGAAAAGGTAGCTTCTAGGAGCTAGCATGATTGTTGCTCGAGATCCGAGGTCGCTACTTTAGTGACTATTACTTGATAGCAACCAGGATCAGAATCCAATGAATAATCAAGACCAAACCAATCCTGATAGGATAGTTTCTTGTGATTCAAACAGGCCAGTCTGCGAAAAGTCACATTTAACGGTGATTAAGTCTTATCGGTGTACGAATCCCCGAACAGTCATCAGCAGCTCGAAACAGAGGTCGGTCTGGTGTGGTTGGTGAGGCATGTCAGGCTGAGGAATGAGTCGGTGATGATCAAAGTGACATCGAGCACTTTTATTGAATCAGGTCAGGGCGTGGGATTCTAGGTGGAAAGGAGAAAGGATCGAGTAAAGAAAATCCAAGCAGAGAGTCAAAGATACGGTTGGGTTGTTGAAGAAGTAAGCACTCGTTCGCGGATACGTGGAACCTGTATGGAGTACGTGGGTGTAAGGACGTAGCCGGACGAGGGATGAGAAGGGATGTTGGGGTGCATGAAAGTAGAGTCTAGGGCTGCGAGATGTGTAGAACTATGACTGTACGAGGGTGATAGGTAGGATTACTCGGTCGTGTCCGCACAGTATCTAGTATCTCAATACCGTCCTGTAGCGGTACAAGTACGATGATCTATTAGTGGCAACTCTGATAAGAGATCTTGCGATCTGGCTGGCCAAGTTTAAGGTCCCGGAGGCACACGAGCTGATGCAACCTCCACCCGACGGGAGCAGTGACCGGCGGCAGCAAACAACAGTGCAACTCCAGCTGCACACGCATGAGATGAGGCTGTACCGTAGTCGGTGATCTTGATAGAATTATGGCCGTCGCCTTAGCGAAACCTCACAAGACCAACTCGATCATGCCATTCAACTGTGCAGAAGCAAATTCCTTCGTTCTTTTCACAAATCGCAACTATCAATCACTACAGCAAAGGCACGTTAGCCTTCTTAGGCAAGTAGGTAGACATCGATAACCCCCACTACTACTGACGGTCCCTCGGCATCTCAGAGAAGGGAAAAAGGAGAAGGCGGCCGGTAATTCTAAGGCCACCCGAATCCACCTGGGCACTCCGTCCAAGACTCCAAGCTGACGGGAAACGAGTCACGGAGTTCGCCAGACTCAGAGAGCAACAATTTCAGCTGCCATTTTTATTTTGTCTCACGAAAACACCACGCCCCTGCGCTATGTCTCGACTCTCCTGTCCTTTTGCATTTGGCCGACGAAGTTGACCTTCGTGGGGGCCCGTGGCTCATCCATGCAGCGAGACAGTCTTGCAAATAATACTGTCTCGAAAGTCGAAACCCAGGGGGAGAACACCGTTCCGCACAGCCGTTTGGGAAGGATAATATTGCTGAATATTCCGGCTCGACTCCTGAAAACTTACAAATTCGGTCGCGATGCTTTGGCGTCGCAAATTGTCAATCCATCATGACGGAGCACCTTCTTCCACGTCGTCGCGCATCTACGCAGGTACGCAGGACGGTGGAGACGCTGGCGTATCCGTGAACAGTCCTCCCGAATCAGTGGGAAGTCAGGAGTGAAGAGCAAAAGCGATCGTTGCGCTACACAGTGAAAACCACTGTATATCTTCAAGTTTCATCGGACCACAGCTCGAAGTTGCACCTCCAAATCTCTCAACAATTGCTATTGCAAAGTGCTGAAAGAACCTTCGTCACCCCCACCACCTTACTTCTGGGAACAAACCACGCTGCACCCAAATACCGATGATGATTGCATTGGGCCTTGTGACACTTCCCTAACAGAGAACAGCCTCTGTGGCTCTATTCGTGAACACATTTGATATGCTTGGCAGCTGCATGAATACCAAAGGAGAAATGTTTAATCAGTGACCTGTCACATCACAGTATTTTGCAAAAGAGGGTTAAGAAGTGCATTAGTATCACAGCACAAACATGGTGTTGCTGGCTTTGATGTTTGAGTGACGTGGTCTCACATGCGCAAATGCCTTTTAAACCATATTAATGGCAGCGCAGATAGTGCAGAGTGTACTTATTAGCCCATGGCAAGGCTTTGCTCGATTCTTGAGAGTTGTTCGAAGCATGTGTGGACATCTATAAACGGTCGATGGCGGTGGTTGATGATCGATCAATTTGCAAAAAAGGAGTTATGGAGTATAAGTAGTCTAAACATGATTAAAATAACATGACAGCGAAATCTAGAGTAGATCTTGGAGCAGGCATGTAGTGAAGCCTTGGAAGATGCTGTGCTTCTGAGGCCCGCGGAAAGTTGTGCTCGAAAAGAGGGTTAATCATCAGGTGATCTCGTGTCAGTGCCCCACTATGGCCGACGCGTCTGCCTGTTCATATCGTGCTCCAAACCAACGTAGCATAGTACTTTCATCGGATACCCGTATCGAATGTGGTATGTTGGAGATGTCACGATTCTCAGCTATCTGAACGCTTTTTCTTCCCAACATGCCGGCCAGCCAAAGACTTCCGGACGACGGGGCTAACGAGGAAGACCAAAGCCAATACCATCGAAATGCTGCCAGTAACGAGGACTTAGATGAAAAGTAAGTGGTTGTAGTGCTTCCATCGACTTTCAACTAATTATGAAGGTATCCTAATCGACCACACAATCACTCACGAACTCTATTCTTTGGTGATCTTTTGACCGATTTATTTAATCCACTGAATGAGAATAAGAAAAGACCTAGTGGCCCCAAAATCGCACGTGCAAAGGTTGGCCCTCATGGACCGGGTGTTAAATCAGCGCATGAGGTTCGTCGGAGTATCATTGAGAGATTCATATCAAAATGGCGGACAGTTGTTGGCAATGACTTCTACCCTGCGCTGAGATTGATCCTTCCTGAAAAGGATCGTGACAGACTCATGTATGGGTTGAAAGAAAAAGCAATCGGGAAAATTGTTGTCCGGATGCTCAGTATTGCCAAGGGATCCGACGATGCCTCAGATGTTCTGAATTGGAAGTTGCCAGCCAAGAATGCGTCGACTCAGATGGCGGGTGATTTTGCTGGAAGATGCTACGAGCTACTCAAGGGACGAGCTATGATCAACGGTAAAGGTGACATGCGTATTGCAGAAGTCAATGAATTATTAGATGATCTTTCCAAGGAGGGAAAAGAAGACGCGCAACTAAAGATCTTCGATAAGTTCTACCATAGGATGAGTGCAGACGAATTGATGTGGTTAATTCGAATCATACTTCGTCAAATGAAAATCGGAGCCTCTGAAAAGACCATTCTGGAGGTAAGTTAGGATATCCAACGTTTAACAAGCGACTGATCCAATCCACAGCTCTGGCATCCCAACGCAGAAGCCTTGTTCAATGTGTGCTCGAGTCTTCGTCGTGTTTGCTGGGAGCTCACCGACCCAGAAAGCATCTTAGACTCTGAGGACACAGGTGTCGAGCTCATGGCTTGTTTTCAACCTCAACTTGCGCAATTTCAGCAACACAACTTTCAGAAAATGGTGGATAAGATGGGAATGCCTGCCGAAAATCCAGCCTTCTGGATTGAAGAGAAGCTTGATGGGGAAAGAATGCAGATGCACATGGTTGTGGATGATAGTCATCCAGGTGGAAAACGATTTGGATTTTGGTCGCGGAAAGGTAAAGATTATACTTACCTGTATGGTGACGGCTACGAGGACGACAACTCGGCCTTGACTCGACACATCAAGAACGCTTTTGATCCGAGACTAAGAAATATCATTCTCGACGGTGAGATGATTACATGGGACCCCGACATAGACAAAATAGTAGCTTTCGGTACTTTAAAGACAGCCGCTCTATCAGAGCAGAAGAACCCTTTCCAGACGTCTGGTCAACGACCGCTTTTTAGAGTTTTCGATTGTTTATATCTCAATGATCGAGATATTACAAGGTATACGCTGAGGGATAGAAGAAAAGCTCTAGAAAAGGTACTTACTGATGTGTATCGACGAATTGAGCTGCACCACTACGAGGAGGTACAAGAAGCCCAGGCTATCGAGCCAGCTTTACGACAAGTCGTGGCTGAGGCGTCAGAAGGTCTCGTTCTCAAGAATCCAGAGTCACCCTATCGCTTAAGTATGCGTGATAATGTGTGGATGAAAGTCAAGCCGGAATACATGATGGATTTCGGAGAATCTCTGGACTGTATTGTCATCGGTGGTTACTATGGTTCTGGTCGTAGAGGAGGCGGGCTATCTTCTTTTATGTGTGGCTTAAGGGTTGATCAGAATCATATTGCAGCTGGCAAGTTAATCAGTTACTTCCGTGTTTATGGGACTAATGAATCACAGGGGCCAATCCGATGAAGTGCTTCTCCTTCTGCAAAGTTGGTGGTGGGTTTAGAGCAGAAGATTATGCAGCAATCCGGCACCTCACAGGAGGCAAGTGGGTTGATTGGAATCGTGACAATCCACCGAACGAGTTCATCGAACTTGCGGGTGGTGACAGACAGCTCGAAAGACCTGACATGTGGATTAAACCATCCGATTCTGTTGTTCTCGAGGTTAAAGCTGCATCAGTCGGTCCATCTGAATCTTTCAAGACCAACTATACGTTGAGATTTCCTAGATTCAAGAAATTGCGAGAAGACAAAGACTGGCAGTCTGCATTATCTCTCTCTGAGTTTGCACTTCTCAAAACCAAAGTCGAGGCAGAATCCAGTCAGAGAGGTTTCGTCGTTCAAGCCAAACGAAAAATGACGAAAAGACTCAAGAAAGAGGTCGTGATTGCAGGCACAGATAGCAAGATCAAAACGCCATACGCAGGACCACAAACAAAAGTGTTTGAAGGGTTGGATTTCCACGTCATGACAGACATGCTCCAACCATTCAAGAAATCCAAAGCAGAACTGGAGCAAATGATCAAAGCAAACGGCGGATCCATCTACGCCAGTCCCACAGCAAAAGAGCACATCATCTGTATCGCCGAGAAGCGGCCCGTCAAAGTAGCCAGTATCATCAAGAGAGGCGAAACCAACATCGTCCGGCCAGCCTGGCTATTCGATGCTATCCAGCAATCCGAGATCGACGGGCCGCATCGCTCAAGATTCCTGATCCCGTTCGAACCTACCCATATGTTCCACTTGATCGAGAGTTCTAGGGAGGATATCGAGGGGAACGTGGATATCTATGGGGATAGTTATATGCGTGATATCACGCCTCTAGAACTGGGGAAGTTGTGCGAGGAGATGTTACATCCCAAGACTCAAGACTTTGACGCCGGGATGTTTCGGCTGCAACTCGAAGAGCGTGGGCGAGGGATTGGAGAGTTACCTGGGAACATCTTTGGACGGCACATGATCAGATTCGTGTCGTCAGCACGTACAGATGCGGAGAAGGATATCGATCTCTTTCTACTTCGAACGCAGTTTTCCTTCGCGGGTGGCAAGATTGCGGAAAGTGATGGTGCGGATGGGATTACGCATTTTGTGGTTGTTGATGAGGGGGATGAAGATGTGGTGAGTGGGTTGCGGAGGAAGATTGCGGAACGAAGGGGTCCGGTGCCTAGGATTGTGAGGTTGAAATGGCTGCGGGATTCTTGGGCTGAGAAGACTGTTTTGGATGAGGAGAGATATGCTATTTAGAGCCGATGTCTTTCAGTTGAGCACACATGGGGATTTTGAGGATGAATACATGTGTAATGATATGATGACGGG